AAATCTATTTATTATTGAAGGAGAAAACATATAAAATAAATTTTCAAAAAGAATTCAATTTTTATAATATATTTTTTGAAAAAGGTTATAAAAGGATGATTTGTAATAAAATATAAAATAGAATTGATATAAAATAATCAATTTAGTACAATTATTGAAATATTAATTATAATAAACATTTATAAAATAAATTTATTTATTAGGATAATAATGAATTATATTTTGAAATTATTAAATATATAAAAATTAAAAAGATTTGTATTTGTATATTTTAATATTAATTTTTTCAAATTAATATTTTATATAAATTATCAATAATTTTATAAAAATCAATTAAATTATTCTATCAAATATAAAATATTATTATTTTTAATATTATTTCAATATCAAAAAAAAACCATCATTATAAAAATTAATAATATATCAAAACTTTTTGAATGGTTGAAGAATAAATATTCGATGTATATTTTGAAATTATTATAATCGATTTTTTTTCAAAATAAATATACAAAACAAAATATTAGGATTATAAAAATAAAAATAAAAATAAAATATTATCAAATTTGTAAAATAAGATTATCGAATATAATATTTATATCAAAAATTAAATATAAAACGAATAAAATAATCTTTTATAAACATTTTTTTAAATATAATCCCAAATATAAATATAAATAAAATTTAAAAAAAAAGGAATATTATATTTATATAAATTTAAAGTTTATTATAAAAAAAATAAAAATATAATGAATTGAAAAATATAATGAATTGAAAAATCTTTTACAAGTTAATGTATCTATTAAATATTCCAAAATTACAAACAAATATATAGAACTTCATTTATTAGAACTAAAATATATCATTCAAATAAATAAAATAATTGTTAATAAAAATTACAAAAAAATAAAACTAATACTAAAAACAAAATTTAAAATTAATTTAAATTCTTTTAAAAAACCTATTTTTATAAAATCAGAATTTATAATTCAATTAAAAGTTAAACTTATTTTTGAAAATATTAAAAATAGAATTTTAATAAGTATCAAAATCGAATATTTTAAATATATAAATAATATAAAAATAAAAAAAGTATATTGCAAAAAAATTATTGAATAAAATATTGCGAACTAAGGGGCCTGCGCCCCCTGGACCCCTGGCTTTTCGAGAAAGTCTAATGAGAATTTAAATTTTAAAAAGTTGATAATAAATTTAAATATTGAATATATATATATATTAGAATGTAGATAGAATATCGGTTTGTTTTTGATAATTGAAAATTAAATTTTTTTATTCAAAAATAATAAAGTTTATATTAAGTTTTTTGTTAGATTATTTATTAAGGTATTTATTAGGATGTTTTAGATCAATCAGATTGTCAGGATTGCGATTTACTTAAACAAGTTTCTTATTTTCTATTATCTATATTGAATAAACATATATAGCAAGATTATAGTATTAGCAAGTTGACAATAATTTTCATTATTCCTTAATTGAATTATTATTTGATAAATCTTATAAATAAATATATAAAAACTATCAATTATTATCTTCAATATCTCTTAAATATTAGATTCTTAATTATTGAATATAACAATAATCAAATTCCTCAACTTTTTATCTTTTCAAATATATCATTTACAAATGATCTTAATATTTTTAGATTATTTTAAAGATATATTATATTCTTTTTCGATAGTTTAATTATCTAAAAAGCAATCAAACAAAATATTATAATTATATCGATTAATAAAATTAAATTATTTGATATTAAATATATATTAAAAAAAATTATTATAATTTTATAATTTTTAAAAGAACATAATCTTACAATGAAGGAATTTATAATTATATTCTACAATAATCAACAAATTATAAGATTGATAATCGATGAAAACAAATAGATCAATACAAAATTATATCATATTGATATTCAAAATATATAAATACAATAAGAATATTCAAAAAGAAATTTCTACATAATTTACTTTTTTATATTCAAAATAATTATCGATAATCTTATTAAGAATCTTATATAAAAAATATCGAATACTTTTATTTACTTTTAAATTTAAAAAGTATAAATAATAAAATCATCAAAATTGAAAAAATTATTCTTTAATTAAAAACTATTTATAAAGAATTTAAGAATTATAAAAACAATTTAATATAAATTTTCAAATTTTTTCTTTTCTTTTTTCTTAAAATTAAACCTTCTTTCTCAATTAAAACATTTTATACTTTATTTTATCTTTATCAAACAAAACCTTCAATAACGAATCTGATCTTTTTTTATCAGTCAAATCAAATATAATAATTATTTCTAAAACCTTTTTTTTATAATCAAACTTGAAAATCTCGATTTTAAAGAAATTGATCTTCTTTCTTTTAATCAAAAACAATTCGAAAAATAAAAAATCATTTTCTAATATAAAAAAGCAATCGAGATAAATAATACAAAAATTTTTAATATAAAATATAATTTTTATTGTAATTTAATAATCCAAAAAAGTCTATTAAAATCAATAGAATTAATATAATTATAAATAGAAATAGAATATAAATTAATTTTTAAACTTTATATATAAATAATTATGAAAAAGATATTAAAAATAAAAAATAAAGAAATTTTTTCATAAAAATAAATATTACAATTTTAATAATATTTATTGTTTAAATATAATTTATTTAAATAATAAAAATTATAAAATAAATATTTTTTTATTATTAAACCTTTTATGTAATTAATATATAAATAAATTTTAAATATATTACATTTATTTTTAATCTGAAAATTTTATTATTTTTAAATATTAATAAACTTTGTTTTTATATTAATATTTTCTTCAATAATAATCATCTTTATTTTAAATAAAAAATCAGAATCAAACAATTCTAAAACTTTAATTTTCAATTCAAAAAGAATATATATATATATATTTCTTTTTTTGAATAACAAACAAATATTAAAAAAAAAATAATCAAAAAAAAAACTTAATGAAATAATATCAGAGTTAGAACTATCAAAATCATCTAATCAAAAAATTCTTTAAATACTTTATTCGTTATATATTAACTTCAAATTGAAATATATAAATTATTTCTTAATTTGTTATTTGAAGATCAATTGGTAATTATTCTTCTTTTTGTTTTTTAAGAAAAAAATGATTGTTTTATAATAAATTGAATAATCAAAATACTTTTATTTATCTTCATTGAGTTCTATATAATCTTTCCTTTATAAATTTTTTATATTCAATAACAATCTTTATTACTTTTAATAATCTTTACAATTCCTTTTTTGAATTTTCATTATATTCTATAATAATCTTTTTAATTTTATTATTTTTATTATTTTTCTTCAATTTCCTCTTCTTTTTTTTATCCATTACTATTTTTTTTCTCTTTTTTAAATCATTGATATTCTAAATAAATCATAATCAATATATTATAATCTAATAACAATTATATTATTCAACGATTATATTATTTAATTATATTTCTATTTGATAATAATTATTTATAATAATATGCTTTTTTATTAATAAAATCCTTTCTTTTTATTAAAAATTATAATTTCAAATTTTCTTATATATCTTTTATTTGATTATAAAGTTATATTAATTTTAATACAAATAAAAATTTATATCTAATCAAATATAACAAAACTTCTGATCAAGCTTTCTAAGGAATACTATTCAATTATAAAACAAAAATATATTCATTATTAATAAATAAAAACCTAATAAAATCATTTCATTCCTTTGATCAATATATATATCATTGTAAAATTCAAATCGAATCTCGATTTGGAAAATATATCACAAAAATCATATACTATTATATAATCTTATATAATCTCTAATGTTATAATATTTACTCATTTATATATTTTTTTTATAATTATATTAATCTTATCATTCTTTACAAAAATTTATTTATTTAATCTATTTCTTTATCAAAATAATTATCGATTAAATAATCAATTAGATCTTATATATATAAAGCTCTTAATCAATAAGATCAAAAACAAATTTATTTATTTCAATATAACTCTATATACTCTTATATATCATTCAATCCAAGATTATTGTAACGATCTGGTTGAGGCAGCGGCTGCCTCAGGTTTTCGTCTGGTTGGTAGTTGTAGGTTAAGGCTAATAATCACTGGTTATCCACTCGAAGGTGAATACGTTACTAGATCAATTGGAATGTAGGTAAACTAATTGATAACTAAGTTGAGCACGAAGCTCTTAAACTATGAAACTATTCTGACTATATATTAATGAATGTAAAAGAGCTTTGAAGAGTTTTAGAACTCCAAAAAGCTCCTAGAGCTCTAAGAGCTTTCGAAGCTCCCAGGGCTCCTTATCACGTAACTAGGATCAGACTATATGTCCGAGCTTGCTAAAGGTGGGGAGACTACATAAAGCGATTACCATACAAATTTGTATACAAATCGCCTTGCTTTTCGATGAGGCCTAAGCTCATATAGACAGGTTGACTGTTGCCTCTCAACACACTATAATCTTAATCGTGAATCGTGACAATTATTTATATACTTTGTGATCATACTATCCGTGATAATTTAATAATATTATTATTTCTTATTATTCTTATTATTATAAATTGAATAAAATTGAATTGAATGAATAAAGTTGAATTGAATGATTTCAGAGTCGAATGATTTTAATAAAATCGAGTTGAATGATTTCAATAAAATTGAAAAAAGATCTAAATCAGATTTGCTTAAGATTATAAGGCTTATGCCAAGCTTTTTGTTAGATTATTTACCGGGGTATTTACCGGGGTACTTTAGACCAATCAGATTGTCAGGATCGTGACTCATTTAAATAAGTTTCTCATTTTCCATGACCTACACCAGGTAAATTGCAATACACTACACATACAACAAGGTTTTGATGTCGGCAAGCCGACAATAAAGTAACAATTTCATTCATTTATTACAGATTGTTAATTTTTTTAATTACAAAGATAAGAAAATGACTATTTTGGTGTGTTTTGTCAATATAGAGTATAGGGCCATTTTTCAGAGGTAACAGATACAGCTGATACATATTGTGATATAGCCCAGTTTAGGCGGTTGATCGATCAAGGAGGCTCAAGGTAAATTTCTTGGCAGCTCATCCGTTATCAACTAGCGATCTTTCATTGCTTCAGTACATCGATGAATGAGCCAAGTTTGGAAACAATGGTTGGGGTTGGGCTGCCCTAGCTCCTTACTACAAGAAGTTTTATACTCTCTCGCCACCATCTGACTGGGAGACTCTGGAACATCTAGGGATTGAATGGATTAATGAGAAGCGCCGGGGAACCTCTGCACTAATCAGGTATCATTTTTTTGGAGTCATCCAGAAATCACTTTGCAAGGCCTGGACTGATACCTTTCGTCGCTCGGGCAAATCAACTACTGGTGGTATGTGGTCACCATCTACAAGTAGAGTTTGTTCCCATAGAGGCAAGGCTCTTTTGAACTTACACAAATATAGACCCTTTCTCGGGCAACTCGACGGGTGCTTGCAGAAATGCGGACAAGGTCAACTTAAACACGAAGACTCGAAGCTATGGGGCCTCTGCGTGTGGTATACCCGCTCTTCAGAGACCTAACCTTCACATAGCAACTGCAGCTACAGCTTATAAGATCCTGTTTGAGAATAAAAGCAGCGGGATCATTGCTAGAGGCGTGCTTGCCTCTGTTGAAGGGGAGATTAAGAAGTTTGATGCCACTAAGAAAGTTATTCTGGCCGCCGGAGTGTCCAACACACGTAAGTTACTCGAATTACCTGGTATAGGAGATCAAAACTAGTGGTCTTGATTTCCCTTTCTCTTCTACCCTGCCTTATAGAAAGAGATAGAATCATTGGATTTCATTAGTAAAAGCAAAAAAGAATAATGAAGTTTTTTTAAGAATAAAAATGGAAAGGAACAATAGAAATTGAGGTTGGGAATGAAAAAGAATAATTTAATTTTTTATTGAAAATAAAAAGGAGTATATAAAAAATATTAAGAATATTGGGGGTAGGAAACCTTCATTTTTCAACTATTAGGAGCGGGATAGGAGAGGAAAGGAAGAGTAGGGGAACGTTGAGGGGAAATCAAGACCACTGACAGAACCTGCTCAAGAAACATTCCTGTTGTCGTTAACAATTCTGGCGCTGCAAAAAAGATGCAAGATAATCTGATGACGGGTCTCGGCTTTGAGGTCATTGATGGAGTTGTGACTGGAGATCCTTTGTTGCGCCAAGAGCCTGAGGGTTAGAACTTGCTCAGAAACTGTACAGCGAGAATGAAGCAGGCCCCTTTACCATAGGTGGGATGCAATCTCACGCATTTATGCTCGTATTGGATTTCGCTGACGCGGAAGGTCGCAAACGACGGGCAGAACTGTTAAAGGTATATTTGAAAAACATACCGCAAAGTCACAAGACTTGGAATATTTTGAAATTGTGCGTTGAATCATTGAGGACCTAACAGAATGATCGGCTGATTGGTTAATGTTTCTTGCTCAGGTAAATCTAAACGAGGTAGGGAAAATCTTTGTAGGCTCAGATCTACAACTACAGAAATATGCTAGTCTCGGTTGTTGCCAGAGTTGACCCGTCTCGTGGATTCACACACACCTCCTCATCAAACATTGATGATGGACCTCACATTGATCCACGATTTCTCTCGCATCCTGCTGATCTCAAAATTTTCTCACGTCACATTCAGACGCTTGAGACACTTCGTCAAACCAAAGAGCTCTCGGCCTTCAAGCATAATGGTAAGCGGAACCATTCAAAACCCTTCCATATTTATATTCTCGATACCGCCACGACTGAATACCACTCATGTGGTACGACTGCGATGCTACCGAGAGAAAAGGGAGATGCTGTGGATGAGAAGCTGATCACTCACACGGTACCAATAGCTTGCGCGTAGTTGATGCAAGTATTTTCCCTCTAATGCCACGCGGGAACATCCAATCTTTGGTTTAAACTGTGGCGGAGAAAGCCACGGATGTCATCAAAGGGACTTGATATGCATTGGTGGAAATCATGCCATGAATTTCTCTTAGAAAATCGAAGGATAATTACAGTTCTGTTCAAAGATACAAAGTATCAATAACTCGAATAATGTATTAGTTAGCGCTGCGGTATATAACAGAATGACCTGTGGTTACAGGTTTAAAGCTAAAGCTTGGATGGTAAAGTATTGCACGATTACTCATAGTACACGGTCAAGTATACAGTTCAGTCTCATGGCCATCTTTATTGCCTTCATAATTAGTTACATTGGTCAATTCCATGCTGTTCATTATTTCAACTACTGCATTAGGTTATGATTTTTCTCATTTAGATGACTATGACTTCGTCCGTCTTCTGTTACTCGCTTCCACCCTCTAAGATCTAAATGCTAATACTATTGTAACTGTATTAATGTAGTTAGTTTTTCTTCATCAATACTGTATGTATTTGAATCAATGTCAAGGCTGACAGATATATGAACAAAGGATCCCTTGGTACTTCCGGATGTGTCAAAACTAAGCTCTTTGACAGTTGTTATTTTACTCTTGAAAGCATTTCTCTCTGTCCTTGAACCAAGCGAGGGACAAAGAAACCATTAAATTTGGATGTAGAACACTGAACTCGAAAGTTCGTATCATGAGGATCTAACCAACATCATGGTGCTGTTTGTAGCTGAAGAAAAGGCTGTTGCTTACAAGCGTGCCGCTCCCACTTTCAAAATCCGAGATAACATACACAGGAAGCAACATAGGTTGAACCCTGAGGAAATCCGATTCGATACCCACTTACGCATCAGTGGGAACAGCTTTCATTTTGGAATCACTGATACAGGCACAGCAGGACACCGTCAGTATGATCTCAAGCTGCAAGTCATACAAGATGAGGGACCATGGTCCCCTCCATTATCTCCAGGTAGCGAAGATACAGAACAATCACCGACAAAAGTCGAAAGTGAGAGTTACGATGCCAAACGTCAACATGAGATAAGGACATATCTTCGCTATATTAAGAACGGCCATGAAAACATCAAAAACCTTGAAGCTTTTCATCAATACCGCGATGGCGACAAGCTTATGATGGCCCAATTCTTCCGAATTTGCGATGGTGGTAACCTTAAACAGTTACGAATGGGTTACAGGGAGAAGGAAATGATACCACCAGAGCAATTCATATGGCGAATATACAGCCAACTTATTGAAGCTCTTGCTTTTCTTCACAACGAGCACCCTAAATACCAGAACGATCCTAGGCATTTGAATCGCCCGTCCATTCTTCATCCAGATTTAGCCGCCGAGAATGTATATCTTGTGTGGCCTTTCATGCAACCACGCGATGATATCTATCCAGATGTAAGACTAGGAGATTTCGAGAAATCACTTTTTGTTCCGATCGGAAAAGGTGTTGTGATAGACGATCCCGATGCCGACCCGAAATACAAGCCTCCAGAAGTAAATTTTATAAGTGCAAAAAGTGATGTTTGGCGTGCGGGATCGATAATGTACTCACTAACCAAACCTCCGGAGAGTACATCCACCAAAATGCCATGGATTACGGAGCAAAATAAGTCGTTCGCAAATCTCACGAAGGAGCATCAACAGGTGATTCTTATGGATCCTAGAAGAGTACATCCCATCAAATTTAACTACAGTGAGGATCTGAATGTTATGATTCAAAGGTCACTAGTCCTTGATCATAACAAAAGACCTTCAGCTGGAGAATTGCTCAAGGAACTTGAAAATCCAGCAAAATTAAGAAAGAGTGCCGCATGGATGTACAAGGCATTGCCTAGCTGGATGGTAGATAAAGTCATCACGCCAAACAACACATTCTCGCAGGAAAGACTGAACAAATTAATCCAACCTGATCAGATGGCACTAGCACGAAAAGCCCACAAGAAAGCAAAAGCAGCGAAAAGAAATAGAATGAGAGAGGAGGAGGAACGAAAAAGAGTGGAAGACTCGAGGGAAGAAGAAATTCTCGAAGCGGCCGATCGATATTTCACCTGGGAGTTTAGAGAGTCAGATCTCGGAAGAATGGAAATAGTAATGGACAACGATGAATGTGACGCTTCCATTAAGAGATTTGCGGTTATTAGAGCTGCAGGTTTAAAGGCTGGGACTTGGGTCGAGCCAGGTCCAACTTATGAGGAATTCCTGCGACTTGAGAAGATTTACCTCGCTGTCAAAGATCAAGCTTCTCAAACTAAGTAAAATTTGCCATCGATTTCCTAAGTTTTTTCTTTTAAATCTTGGTATGTTAGTAGTATTTAGATTATTGGGGTTGACCCAACACAAATAGTTAATTTAGGTACTACACACATCCACCACTCTATAATTCTCTTACTGAACCGTGCTAACCACCGCAACGGGTCTGTCTATGCACCAAAAAATGAATTTCCAAGCAGTCATTTACTAGACCAGTCTGCGGTTGCAAAGATGAGGTGGCAAAGAGCCTACCTTGCGACGCATTGTCTCCGATGTTATTTCTCTCCCAGCTAAATTTTAAACCAGTCTAGCATTCTCTTTATCTTTATAATATCCATGCCTTTATTTATGTAAGAAATAATCAAGGGTAGAAGAGGACTGTGGAAGAATGGGTCGAACTGAAGACGCCCGTAACAGCTATTGTCCGTCCAAGTTATGATTCAATTTGCAGAGTCCTGAACAGATCAAGGACAATAGAGTTCGTAAAGTAAATAGAACTTTACATATAACCACGAGAGATGCCAAAACATTGAGTTATTATTTCAAGTGACTCTGCAAACATGTGTAAACAAATCACAAACGCGTACACCTGCAGATGCAGATATACTGTTTTCAAGAAGTGTCTAAAGGCAATTCGCAACAAGATCGAGTTGTCGGAATTTAGCAAATGTTCAGACTACTTCCGGGAACTGGATAAGTCTTCGGAGTTTCGTTGCTTAGCCTGTATATTCTGGGATGTTTTCTTAGGAGAAGAAAAATAGAACAAAGTACCTAGCCAATACTCTTGTGACTCTTCGATCCTGTGCGCGCTTTCCGAGATGGGTATCTCTTCCATTGGTTGTGACTCTTGTCGATATTATCGCTATTACCGAATCATAATAAGTGAGTTTGTTTCTTCTGCTCCCTTCATCAGCAAACGCTTTCATACCTAATAAATTTTTTTTCTTCTTCTAGCATTATTTGCCCCTGTTCAATATTTAAAATGCGATTCGATCCATGCGTTTTGATTTAGTAGTTAATATGAACTGAGTGTTAGAACTAGAAATAACTAAAAAGAGTAAGATGTGAGAAACTACAGGATTAATATTATCCTGAGATCTACTTTTATAATAAAAGTAATCAAAATGTATTTATTTAATCTAATGTTTTTGTAAAAATAATAGAAATTAAAAAATTAATAAAATTAATATATTTAATGAGTTTATTTATAAACTTATATAACTTCAAAGTAAGATCTATAGTTTTTGATCAATTTTCTTAAAAAAATTAAATTAAAAATAATTATTTCATTTTTGATTTTGATTAAATTAATAAAAGAACTTTATAAAATTATTCTTTTTAAATTATTGATAAATCCTGAATTTTAAAATATTAAACTAACAGCAATTTAATATATCCTTGATATATATTATTAATAAAATAAATTATCCAAAGAAATAAATTTTAATACGAAAAAGATATTTAAACGATATAAATATATAGTTAATATATTATGATTAAAAATACAGACAATGGTTTGGAAACGTCGTTTCGATACACTAGCTATAGAAACCATTTTCTATGCTCCAGAGATTAAATAGCAATCAGATCATGCTACCCAAGCAATAAACCCAATGAACTACCTAGTACATCAAGCAACCATCTTTCTCGGCTTAGGATCTGGATTGTACTCTAGTGCCGCTGGAAGCTCAGTACAGTCATTGTCGATTGCTAGACATCTTTTTTCCCACCCATCGATTCTTTTTCTTTCCCTCCCTTCAGCAACCACACTAACACTATCATCTAATCCGATTGACATTGCTTCCCACTCATCACCATCATCCCCAAAGTCTATCCCATCATCGTTTTTCTCCATCCAGCTCAGAATCCATTCCCTATCCACTTCATTGGCCATAGCATCTTCCATTGATGCTCTATACCCGTCATCTGAAAAATTCGCAAAGCCACTTGATTGATAAATATTACTGAGCACCACCTTCAACTCCTTTACTTGTCCCCTTGCCTTTTCATGATTGTTCTCCGCTTCAATAACTTCCTCGGTTGCCACCTGATGTTCTTGTAGTAGAGTCAAATCGAAAAAACTTCTCGCAGGTCCCATTGTTCCATTCTTAACCGCGCGTGCATAATCCGCATACTCGTATTCATAGTAGTGCTTCCAATTATTGAGTTTTTGATGCGCTTCTTGCAATTGATATCCCATTTCTTTCATGTGATCCACGGCCTCTCGTGGTTTCTTTCCGGCTCGCTCTCGAGCTTGTTCGCTACCTGCACGAGGTTCCTCGTGTCGAGGTATAAGCTGTGCGGCTGGCATGCGATAAAATTGATTTGATCGGGCATCCTTTCCCGTTGTATCTAAAAGATTCCGATCCTCAAGTACGTCTCTCAGCCTGCTGAACAGAACTTTTCTCTGCTCGCTCAGCTCGCCATCTTCTCGTTCCAAGACTTCTTGCAACACTCTCTTCTGATTTTGAATGCGTGAGGAAATGTCAGAAAGAAATATTAGTTCTTCTAATTTAGCCTCTCGATCGCTTCCTCTTGTGGTACTTGATGATGGAAGTAACCGATTGGGTTCTTTCAAAGTCGAAATGACGCGCTCATACTCTTCACCTACTCGATCTATATCCTTTCTATGATCATTAACTTGTCCTTCAAGGCGAAATATCTCATTCATATTTCTAACTATGTCTTTGGTCAAAGCCAGAGCGGAATTTGGCACACCATTTCGTCCCATGTATATGAATATTTCAGGATACTTTGCCGTCAGAGGTGCTCGCCCTGAAGTTTCTTTCGAGTCGATAATTGGTGCTGGTGATTCATATGAGCATGTATGGCATCTTCTTAGATTTATTTGTGGAGGTGAAAGTGATGTGGCATCGGTCAATACTGCGCTCGAAGGCGACAGGGGTTGTCTATGGAGAGGACTATTCGACTTGGTCCTGCTTGCTCTTACTCTTTTCAATATTTTGCTTCCAGGTGCGGAGATCGACGAGAATTCATCTCTCATCGAAGTTTGACATGCTGAAGTCGTTCCCGTTGCTGTATCTGTTGGCACAGGCACCGAAACCGTGTTGGTTACTGGTGAAGTCTGAGCTGTTGACTCCGGTATATGCTTCGATCGAGCACCTTTGCCGAATACTGAGCTGAAGAATTTCCTGAGAGACTTAGCATTCGTCCATTGATCAATCGACGTTTTCATTGAGAACAATTGGATTACTAAATGTACTCCACATCTACGCAGAGTGCACGAATGATGACATTCATGCGAGGTAAGTTAATAATACAGCTATTGAAATAGGCCAGAATAGAGGAGAATTTCTATGACTTGATTTCGAGACTTATGCGAGACTTCAAGAACAAAGGAAATTATATTTTTGGAAAATCTGTAAATTGTTCTTACGAAAACACGTATTCCACATGCATACTGCTGTTGTAGGAAACAAAGAAATGTACCCCCGAAACCATAAAATTTATTTAGAGAAACCGCCTGTAAAGCGATGATTGCCAATCGTTTTAGTGACAGAAAAATCTCTCCAAGATATAATTAAAGATTACCCAGAAGTTTCCACATTCCTACGGAATCCAACACCGTAACTAGTGTTCTTTTTTTCTTTTTGTTCGGAACGTGGATGCCAGATGGAATTGCTGTATATTTATGAGAAATCTGTGTTCCTACAAACATCTCGATGGCCATTTCATCCCATTCAATAAAGCATTATGTTTCCACAGGAGAAGCAGAGGCCCTCATCCTTTAGCCCTATGTTGTATCTTGAAGTTCTGAAGGATAAAGAGCTCGAGGCACACGACCTTTGATCGAAATATGTGGTCAGACTGAACCTCAAAAATCAATCCACAAATATAATTTTTACAATAAACTGCGAGTGTTGCAATTTAATTTCAGAGATTTACATAATTTATATAAGTTTGACTATATTTGAAAGCACACAATGAAATCCCCAAAAAACCGGTATTCCAGTAAATATAAGCCACCATTGTCGAGCATCGAACCCAAACGCTGCAGTATCTTGCTGATGAATACTGCATAAAATCCCGCAAAGAACTGAAAACGAGGTCGTTTCACTGGAAATACAAAGTACCTCCACCTTCTCGAGTGCCAACCATCAAACCCACATTTGAATCGGCAATCTGTTGACTTCAACACACTAGCCTCTGGACTCTCTGCTGTCCACGTGAAATATGTTCCCGGTAGCCATTCATATGTATCTTCCAAGAATTAAATGAAGCTGGAAGGGGGATAATCATGCATTTGGGCGCAGCAATTCGTTAGATGGATTTGGAATTGAGTATATATTTTTATCTACTTTGCATCATCAGCCGTAGAAACTCGTGGTCATGCGTCCACCCATGTGCTCTAATTGCGTCCTGTGATGAATGCGCTTGTAACTGGGGTGCTCATGTTATTTGGTAAGATTTTGTTGATTCGATTAGTGCGGAAGATACGAAAGTTCACTTGAAAAGCAATAGATGTTGCCAAAATATATATCGATCGCGGCGCGACTCGGAAACTTTCAAGGCTCAACCACATTTGATTGCAGCTAATAGGCAGCTACCTCGTGCCTGCCGTCTACGCGATTCACTATAGGCACGTGGAAATACCAAACACAAGTTCGGTGACTTTCGCATGAAGCTCTGAGCTGATTACCTCGGACGACCATGATATGGGCTCTAGTGTATAAGGACCACTCGATTTATAAGGTCGATCGAGCTAAGCAATAAATCTCGCACCCTCCATAGTCCAAGTCGATGATCTAGCCTTTGAGAACCGGATCGATGGAATTCATGCTAACCATCAACCCCTGCCCTGATCGGCCCATTTCACAACGAAACCAAAAACTGTCCTCCTCAGCTCTTCATCTCCTCTATCCTTCTCAAACATCACTTTTTCCATCTTCTCTTCCAAGACCTTTTCAACAGTCATACCTCCCTCCCGTACCAAGTCAAAGAACGCCACGTCTTTCTCCAATAACCAAGGTCGATATGGAGTGAAAAATACAAGGGCTGTAGAGTTCCTATCCTTCTTAAGAGTTTTTTTGATAGAATCCAATAGTTTCGCGTGCTCGGAGTGATTGAAGAGGAGATCAGCTAGTATTAATACATCAAACCCAGCGTCTTTGTCCTCTGAAGGTAGGAGTGACAGTAGTGGGGATGGATCAGCACCCCAACAATAACCTTCAGCGATCAAGCTTTCTTTAACATCTATCTTTAGCTCAGGGAATTGCTCATAAAAGACGGAAATGTTCTTTCGAAGATTGTCGATGAGATCTGAATCTGGATAATCCGTGACGACGACATTTTTGGCATGAAGAGAAGCACAAGTAAGACTCGGAAGACCAGCACCTGCACCAAGCTCTAGTACCGATTTCGAAGAAATCAACGAAGGATTCTTTTCCAAGTAGTTGGATATGATGCGACCAGCGTTCCAAAGATGATGTCCCCAAAGTGGATTGTGACCAACGAGATGCAGAGTAAGTGTGTGACCGGAGAGAAGCGTATGGGTTTCTGTGGTTGGTTTCGGCGATGGAGGGTAATAATCAGCTGGCTCAGCGAATAGATCAGGACCATCCTCGAAATCCGAGTCAGTCATGATGATTTGGTCGGAGGATTTGATCACGTGTGTGAGTTATGCCGTGTTTGGAAACTTCGAAGATGAAACGAGGTCAGTGTGCTACTAAGGCAGGAGGTTGGGAACAATGAGAGATGTAAGTGCTCTAGATGAACTCTGCGATGGGGATGGGGAAAGATCTCTACTCGTGTTGTTTCAGAAATCAGACCAGATAAACTTATACGAGCCTGACCTTTTACGAGTACCATTTACCATTGATGGATGTTTCCTTAGTGAAAGAAACATGATACTTGAGTAGATGAGATAGAGTCAGAATAACTTTGCTTCACAACCCTGATCTGATGTATACACTCGAGTATACTTGGGTGTAGATAGTTGCAGAGTGCTAACTTACCCTTGGTCTGAATATGATATTTTGATCTTACAGGAAGAAAGAAGAGGGAAGAGGAGAGAATGGTGAGGTTTGATTTATAATTGTCTGTTCTGTTTTTGTTTCTTTTATCGTTTGAAGATATTCTCTAATGTTTCGGAGTTTCCAGACCCCAGAGATGCGTTCGTTCGTTCATTTGGTAGGTATTGCAAAATATATTTGCGGAGTATTTATATTTATATTTTTCATTGCCCCACCATCAATGTGCAGATTTAATTTACGGAGTATAGTTATACCCAATGTCAACCAATAGATAGCTAGTATACCACTTGAAGTATCTATACGTACTAGAGTCTGCCTGATAAGATAAGCGAAGGGAAAAATACCAGATCCGACTACCCATCTATGTAAAGAAAAGGAAAATAATAATAAAGCCTCTCTTTTTGTGATATTGTATCGATCTACCTAGTAAGTACCTACCTAGTATTAATAGCAGTAGTTGTTTGCGTCAATCCACTACGACTATTGAATTCTCGATGGAGTATGATAATAAGACTCTATCCAGTAAGTATATTCTTATAACAAAGCGTGAAGGTATATATATATATATTCTCCATTTATACCTGGACATCTAACATTGGGCTTTTGATCAATTGAATGACGCGCCGCTAGCCCTCCGGGGGCCACTGCCGTGGAGGCAGACTAGGTATAGATAGAAGATCTTCGGCTTGCCCATGATGAGCATATAATATACTAAAAATCCATTGATATATATGGATATTATAAGTATATGATCATGATTTTACAGAATTATATTCATTATCCATTATTATTCATTTTTCATTAATTTGTTGTTTGGCCTCATGTTTTGCATGTCATCGCACGGCTTGTCAAGTCCAACCAACAACCAATTAAAACTTGCTCAAATCTTGACAAGGTTTTTCACACTTCACTCCTCAAATTCTCAATTCAACAAATAATATCAAGCAATAACAATATTCTTTTTTCATACCACCACCCACCTACCATATTGAGATCTTACGATAATAGTACCTTACTTACTTACTTATTTACCATGACTAACTCAATTTTCTCTCATTCAATATGTTCTAAGAAAATCGATCATTTTACTTGTTGTAGCTGTCCAGATCTATTATTGTCATCTGGTTCAACGTCCTTACCAATAGAACAGACAAACAAACAAACAAACAAACAAATAAATCCTTCATTTTCTCAATAGAAGATCAGAGGAACAAACAACAAAGGCTTCATTATCTATCAATCTATCTTCTCCATCTATCTCACCTGATTCTGATTATCAGCTCGGATCCCTTCAACAACTTTCCCGCTTTCTACTTTGAATTGGAAACACCCAATCAATTCACCCTATATCCGGAGTAATCATCCGTTCATTTCAGCTTCTTTGATTTTTTCTGGTTTCCTACTTGAATACTTTCTCATGATATCAACTATTTCACCTTCGATCCCTGTTAAATTCTTTCCACCCTCTGCGAAGCACCACCTTGGGTCGAATCTCGATTGGAAGCACGCAGGAACTGTTCCATACAAGTCGCACAAGTTAGACCGTTCATCATCTTCCACATCTCCTTCCCTGCCCGGTGGTTGCGCATGCAGTTAGTGATTCCAAAACACAAAAAGTTCAACATAAAAAATCAAGCTCGTTTGAGAAAACTTGTTTGCGCCTCAAATCTTTCTGTTTGGTCAGCCGACTTCGTTCTGGGAGCGATTGGGAGAATATTAATTGTTTGAAAAATGCCATTGATCAATGGATTGAAAATGGCCTGGTATGTTCAGACCCACCCTTGGCGTGTTCGTGATTGGTAAAAATCCCGGATAGGTGCACTTGACGTGGTTCACAGGACAAAGGATATATATATATACTTTGACCTACCCGACCATTTGTCCCTGATGTGCTAACATAGACGTGTTATAGTGAGCCATGTATCAGAGGTCATCGATCAACAAAATGTACACACGCGAACGAGAGACTGATGGTACCGGTGAGGAAGCCTGGACGACCTCTCAGTGCATGCCCTCATCCGAAAGATCAACCATGTAACTGTGGAAGTGTCACGGCTGCTATTCCAAGGAAACAAGCATGTCACTGTGGTACCGATACACTTGTGTCGACCCCTCCGACCCCTATGCAACGACTAAACTCTACATCCGATCCGACTTCTCCAACGCAACTCACATTTAAAATTCACAAGACAGCATCAAGGCCGCAGTCGGGTAGGAGACAATCATTCGACCCGGTGAATTTGGACCGGATGGATTTGAATCAGGTCAACATAGTTCCTTTCGATCAACATACTCAGAGGGTGCAAACCATTCCCCCCAACGCATATCATATGTCGACTGTTCCTCAACCTTATGGATTTGCTCCACCACAATATCCACTTGTGCAACAACAATATGCTAATGTTCCTCTCCAACTACCTCCACCACCTATGCATAGCTTAGGAACACCAATGCCAGACATAAGAGCAAATGGATATGCGAATGGACATGGCAGTTTAGATCAAGTGGTGGAAAGTCCTTTGGAAACACCAACTGAAGTTAAGAATGGGCAAATTACCCCAAAAATGAACGGCGGCTCTTGTTGTGCGCCATCTACCCCGGAAACTCCACCTTCCATCGATAATGCTATTACGAACGGTGGTTCATGTTGCGCTCCTAGAAAAAATACCCATGCCCACACTTCTTCGAATGCTAGTACAAAGTCGGAACCTACAAACACTACGCCTAGACCTAAAAGTTGTTGTTCTTCAAAGAACAAGCCGCCAAATACGGAAAGCTCCCACACGAATACACCCTTGATGAACACACAAATACCACAAAATGGATTTTCGACGAACAATGCCATGTATTCACAATATCCACCTACTGTATTTACATATCCTGCTACTTATGGTTCTTATCAAAATCCACTGCAGCCATCTGCTTGGCGCCAAGGTGTACGTAATATGAGCTATGGCCATATTCCAGGACAAACATCTATTCCTACCGCACCCTTAGCCTTTGGTTCAGGTCCGCTGCCTCAGTGCCTAGATACAGTTCATACTTGTGGCTGTGGTGATGGTTGCCAATGTGTTGGCTGTGCAGCTCATCCATATAACGATGCAACAAGACAATACGTCCTTTCGGCTTGGGAATCAATGCAACTCGAACCAGAAATATACAATAATGGCCACGGGAATGGAAATGTTGCGCCTGCTTCAATTCAGACCCAAGATGTTATGAAAGAAAATCCTACTTCTCCGCCTCCTGCTACTCCATCGAGTACTACTCCGTCGAGTACTACTTCTGGAACTGTTGAAGAACAAAGTCTTTCGGCATCGGATTTCTTTTTCGTGAATTATCCTTTTACTACCGAAAATGGATGTGGAGGTGATACTCAAAGCTGCCCATGCGGCGATGATTGTCAATGCTTCGGCTGCACTATTCATCGTGTCCCAGACATTCCTTGTCCAGGGGAGAAGGATACTTGTCCTTGCGGCGATGACTGCGCCTGCATTGGCTGTACTATACACAATATGTGATTTGTTATTATTACATATATTTGAGGGGCGACACAGTGGACATAATCAAGGAGGGAAATTTGCAGTCAAGATCATATTGGATCTGACTTTTTGAGCGTATATTGAAGGAAACATGATACCCTTTTCATTATTTGAGTGCTGAGCCTCGAGGGCGATCCAAATAGCTAGTTAGATACGCGTGATGAGTTGACCCCTGGGTTGAAGCGAGCTATTGCAAAAAATTGAAAACTGTCATTCTAATAGCACCGCTGGAAAACCACTACTGATTTGATTATTCCATGTGACATGATTAGTATATTTTTCAACTTTTTCCGCCCCATTTTCAACCCACGCTTGTTGAGCCACCTTCATGATTCCGTCTCCGGACTAAAGAGTTTACAATCTTCTACTTCTTAACCCAGTCTATGCCCACCTATAAAGGGAGACTGTTCTATGAGTAGTAACGCCGTGTTGAATTTGAGATGCCGAGGAACAACTTAGTTACAAGCACAAGTCGTCTCGAAATACTATCTTCGGGTTTGTATGCTATAATGTCTGGTGAGCAATTAACTGAGGTAATTGAGAAGAATGATGGGAAACAGAGCAAAAAGAGCCCGAGGAGCCGTAATGATAGTACTCTAGCTGTAGATGGGGGTAATTGTGTGTTAGTTGTTCTACCTATGGTAATTACTAGACGCTACATGCTTAGCGTCTAGAGATGCCTCGGTTATGACGGGTAAGGGGTCTCATATTGCTGTACTGGAGGGATAAGGAGAACAGATACCACTCCATACTACCAAGCCTCGTTGGTCGTCGTGGGAAACAGTAAGCCTTAGATTAAAAACCGATCAATGGATCACCTTCGCTGGCACTGTCATTGTTTTCATTGGTCTTGTTTCTGCAATTGCGAGTCCAGCTCTCTATTATTCCAAGTGTTTACCCATGCGAAGAAGAATTCACTTTACCAATCCCCACTTTTACACCGACGACAATAACAAAAACAATACCACAACAACCCTCAAACCATCAACGACAGAGTCTGCAAAAAGCACAAAATATTACCAAAAAGAATAAAAAATATATTTCAAAAAAGCAAAAGGAAGTTCACTGGCAAGCTCAGCTACATCTCCCGCAGGTGTGCAATCCCTCCCCGAATGGAAGGTTGGAGAGCCCGCTCGCATTTTGACATTGGAGGCACTACTGCAGTGCGCCACTCAACCCACCCAACCCCCGAACATCGTATTATTTGACAAAAACTTCTTTAAAGTATTCAAAGGCGCAATCAAGCTCTGTGAAAAGCCGCAATCATTCCCTCTTTCTCGATTCCGGTGGTGTGGTACAAGAACGGATTGTTCTCTCATGGCCAACATCATGACCTTCCCAGAGAAATTTTTTAGGGTCCCGATTTTTGACCTGCTTTGTGTGACTGTTGGGAGAACTTTTTAAAACGCTTGTGTGTAGTGGAAACCCCCAGATTACTTAAACATAGAATAACGTCCTTTGAATTATAGGGCACAAGACTCAATGCGTCAATAACTATTCCCGACTTACATCTTAGCTGCAATTCACAAACTTCTCCATTATTACACCTTTAAAATCATGTCGACTTCTGCAGTTCATCTCATGTATCTTGGGCAAGATGTTGCGTGTCCCAAGTTAAAAGACTCCAGGGATGAGATATGCGCACCATTCGCATTTGAGTTTCTTCACAACACATCAATAGTGAAGGATTCTTCCACTAAAGAAGCTCATTATGGCGAGCCCGACGATTACTTATTTCTCATAGAAGTCACAAGGAAAAAATAGTAAAAGAGAAAGGGAAAAAGGATGAAATAATAAGAATTCAAGACCGCAATACAGTTCGTTTTCATCCCTTTATATCTCGCCGTCCCCGCCGAATACCATCTGGCAAACTCGAAGGAACAGAGATTCTGGGAGTCTTGTACTCCGATGATCTCAAAGTATCTGCTAAAGCTGCATTTCTCCAAATATGTACAAGCATAAAAATGGAAAGATCAGAGTATCAGTACAAAAAATGGATCAATTTTTGTTTGAAAAATGCAGACCGAGCGAACATTTTTAAGCATGCTCATGAAACTACGAGCTTGAGAGTGGAAAACAAAATTCCAAACCCGCATCAAAGAATACTAGATCCTACGCAAGGATGGCTCTATGATTATAACAGGAGAGATCACATATTGTGTTGTCCGAAAAGTGGCAGGCCAGTGTTCGATGAGTATGGGAGATTTACCTGGGCTTTGGATCTTAAGCCGAAGCCAAAAAGGACTGTTTCGGCACCTGAAAGGACACAGAACAAGCAGGAGAAGGACAAGAAGCCCAAGAAGAAGCAAACTGGTGGATCTGGATTTACTTGTATCCCAAGGCCTGTTGGAGGACTCGTAGGGCGCAAACGATCAAATGATATGTAGGTTACCAGGCTGCTGTAAGTTTAATACATATCGCAATGGTCTAGTGAATTCATATTGAATGAGGAAAATTTTATTAGATACCTCACTTTTTTTTTGGGAAAGATTGCGTATCAAATTACAATCCCCAATCCCCAGTCCTGATCGAGAAAGCACAAATATCTCCTTTGCACAGGAGAAAAACTCAACATATACAACCACCTCGAGATTTTAACATACATAACCAACTTTGGACCGTAATTTGCCAACTTCCGTCTGTCTCGCAGTTCTGGTACATGCACCCATTCATCATAGTATTCAATATAACCCTTTTCTCCTTTATCTTCTGAGCAACGCTTACATCTCGAGCGCTCCACTTCCATTTATCCCATTTTTATTCTCAAGATGTTCATCTAGACCCTGACCCGAAAACAGATTCTTCGTTTCCTGTCTCCCATATCTATGGTCGCAGGGCTGTAATGCACACTCAGAGTTTCTATGATTCCTTGTCACATGCTCCACCATGATTTCTTTGCCTTCCTCCATCCCAACACCATCATCTCAATTCAATATCTCCCCAAAATGTAAAATAGGGCAAATGTTGCCACTACTACCTCCATGTGCATCTCGAAAATGTACCAGCAACTTATATTTTCTTGCAAACCTGGACCTTCCTCACTGCAGATTCCTTGATATTCTTCGCTCAGCCCGGCCGCCGAACCTTTGAAATTTAAGAGCCTGCTAATCTTGACGGATGAAATATATCCCAACCTTTACGCTCGGGCCTTCAATATAATTCTCTCATAACAACAAATTTATGACATCAACCCGCAGAATCTACAATCATTCAGCGTCACTTATCAAGACCACAATTGTCGATCTCGAGCGGCGTTGTTTGTCTCAGCCATAGTAGCCATCTGGTCGATCGATTTCTTGGAACTAGCTATCTTCAATGAATAGCAATCTTGCTTAACTTTGAGACACTCCCCTTTGTCTGACTTTGCCATACTTAGTATATCGCAGCTCATGCTATTTATTTTTCAGTTCAACAACAACTTCCCGTCATCAGAATGACCACCCAGGGTGAAAGAAGTTTTTTGAAGTGGGAATACTTGCGGAATCTGTCCTCGACAAGAGTTACCAAGTTTAGCAAAATACCGGTTATTCACAAGCACGCTGTTAAAGATCGAGTCATGGTAAAGTACAATAACTTCATCTGGATGGTATGTCGATGTACCAAGAATAAGGCACCTGCCAGAGTGGCCCAAGGATGGGCCAAGATGGGAGGTTACTCAATACTCAAGTTTCTATCAGTGAGGATCATCCGCCAGAACGTTCGGTCTCCAGTGGTGGCGGAGAAGTCGATTCACATCGAGCTCGGCAAGACTCTTCAAGTTATTGCTTTGATGAAGGAGCACTCAGTAACACCAGTTCTAATCGTGGCTTCCGCCGCTGCACCCTCCAGCTGGCATCTAGAAGTTAGAAAATGATTACATCCACAACCTAAAATGGCGGTTTTCAGCGCTAATAGTGGAGAAAAGGATGAAATCCCTCTGATATCTATGGAATCAGCGCGATACGGCATTATGTTGCTTCCTACACCCGTATTCGGATCGAATTTGCCGATATCAAGCGATGAATGGAGGATATGGAATACAGAAGGGAAAATCTATACTCAGAACACACAGTGAGGTTTACCGGGCGCGACAGGAAAAGAGGAAAAGGAAAGAGGAAAAATATCAAGTTCTCGACTTCTAGCGGCCGGGTTGTCCTTTATTTTCTGTGTCATGCGGTCATCTCGTGTTGGACGGAGCGCAAAATACCAAGAACCTTCGGAATAAAGAACATCGGTTGCTGTGCTTTAGAGGCAAAATGTCAAGTTTTTCTCACCGGAACACCTTTGGTCAATGATTATGTTGACATGGACTCATATTTCAAATTCCTGCGAATCTTTCCACCAGACAAGATTTATTGACTCAAAGAGCACTTTGTGAATGAGCTTCACATGAGGTGTTTAAGAATAAGTATCCTATCCTAGCTCGGTCGGGAATTTGTGGATTCACTGTCCAAAGAAGGAGATTCAGCGAAATACTGTAGCTGAATTGTGTTAGACAATCTAAGTTGTTTTTACTCTTGCGCCGGAAATCTGTTCAAAGAACACGCAATGGTACATTCGAAGGCTAATCTTTAATGAAAGAGCTCCCACTGATTTAAGGATTACGTGTGGTTGGACTTGTATATAGGAACAAAATATGGATCCATAACCTATGGGTAGGTCGGCTTGAACGGTCGAGGCAAGACTTGCAACCTGGAAGAGTATGTATGTTATGGAAGTCTAAATTTTCCTTGAGTGGGCTGTTCTAGACAGTTCTAAGCAAGAGACCTAAAAGTATGATGCGGCAGAACGCTAGAAGAAAGACGTGGAAAGCTTCCGAACTCAAACAGGACAAAATCCAGTACATGTCTCGTCTCCAACGGTGTGAGCTCGTCAGGAGTACTATTATTACTCTTGACAAGAAATTACTAGTAGTAGAGGTTGGAAAGGACGTCCTTACGCTAGTACGACGAGCCAGGTCGCAGTAGTACACCCTGACGCTGCCATCGCTGAATACAGCAAGGGCAAAGCCAAAATTCGGAAAGCGTTTCAAGAATGGTTGAAGAGTCATGGTAATTGAAGATCAACTAAGGTAGAATGGTGCATCAATTATCTGACGAAGAAAATCAATGAAAAAAAGCCTTCGAGTTCAGTTTCTGCATTTGGATGGCTCTTGTGCAGTCAAGCAGAAAATAACGTATGACATTGTTTCCAAAATCCAAGCGGGTCATCTCAAGTCTTACTTCTGACATCTGCCGAGGGTGGCGTAGGTCTCAACCTCACCGCTGCCAAATTTTGTGTATATGATTGCACCCGAATAGTCAGCCGATCTCGACGAGCGGATCAAATGCCGTGCATACCGTATTGACCAGAAACAGAAGCTCACAATTTACAGATTCATTGCACATAATTCCATCAATTTGAGATGCAAATCGTTGCAGGAATTTAAGAAGCCAAAGAGATGGTGTCTATTGGATGTTTTGGAACATAGCGTCTCTCATCTACCAAGGGACGATGAGACAAGAAAGTTAGTGGAGGAACAAAAGCTATGCTCAAGGAAATGGAGACCTGGTCAAAAGAGAAATTCTTTTTGAAATTTGCATCGCCTAACCCCGTATCATGGATACCTGTCGAGAGTCCCTTGAATATGCGCTACCTTTCTAATCTCAGTGCTAGCTCTAAAACCTCAATCCAGTTTTTTTGAACTAATACGATTTACCATTTGAGAAAATAGGGGATCAGCCGACCCCCTTGCTCAAGCCCAATATACATGCATGCAACCCACTGAATACACGATACACAGTCTTCAAAGTTCCAATTTGCTTTAGGAAACCTGGGTTTACTTTTCCGTCTCAACGGATAATTTCTTGATTACTTTACTCGGTCTCATGTGAGGTAAGAGGGTCAATATATACCAAGGAGCTCTGAGAAATTTGTGACAGCTTCAAGCTTTTGTACAAAGGCAACATGTTAGCGATCTGTGAGACTGTGTGTAATTGATCAAATAACAAACATAAAATACACACTAATGTATTGTTTGCCGTGCCCCAAGGATAAAGCAGCAAAATTCTTCTCTAAACTCTGATTCGGAAATCTAGAAAACCATGAAGGAAGCTCAGATCCATAGTCTAAACCTCAACGGCATCCCTTGAAACTACTCAACGTCCTATTAACTTGCGGAGTCAGAAGAGCCTATAAGCATCGTATATCTTATTACTGTTCCGCACACCCACCTATCCTCTACCCTTTTCTGTATCCCAAGAAATGAAGGTTCTTCGGGTGCCTGTTATCTCCAACCACTACAAACCAGCCCTTCACACTAAATTCCGTACTCCCAATATCCTCTCCGATGACTTAAATCATCCTTCTTGATACACCCCGGAGATACATGATCTTCTAATCCTCCCCAAGGCCAAATAGCCACAAAGCATACCTCATCGTATGCACACTTTCCACATTCAAGCCAAGTGGTCCAGCCTAAATCATCGATCAGCACCTCGATGAGTTCCAATCCCCTCCTTTCCCCCTTTACACTATTTCCTTCATCGTCATTTAGCAATTCCCTCACTTTGAACAAGGTACTACAGATATTATGCGTCACCTCAAAAATAGCAGCACGAATCAAATGATCCGCCTTAGTTTCCGGTACTACCGACTCCAGGTAGTGATCCGCACATCTCTCCACCGAAGAAGCAACGTCAACGTTCTTATAATCGACATAGACATCCAGCAACAATTTAATCTCCGAATTTACCGCCTCCACGGACGTCTCGTTCTGGACCATAAATTTCAAACGATCAGAATATCTCGTGACAATCATATCCACCACATTTTGCCAATTAATCGTCTCAGTGGTCCCATACTCTTCACTCTCAAGTAGTTCCATCACATCAGAGCGAATTCTCCTTAAATCACCCGACTCAGAAGCCGCAATCAGTCTAGGGAGTTCGGAATGAGAAGGATTAGGATTAGTAAGATTAACTGGATAAAAGAAAGCAGAAATCATAGATGAATAATCCACTTTTACTCTTCCCCCCATGATACCTTGATATCGATATCCCAGGGCCCTCACATATTCAAATTGAACAACGTCATTTTTCTCAAAATCTATCTTATCTCTTTGAGAAGCCGACATAAATTCAAGCCCGTCTTTGAAATTGCAGAGGATAATCTCGAAACCTGCTTCCATGCGGAGAAATCCCTCAATTCCCCATTGCTCGCCAATTTTACAAAGGTCGACTGCTCGGATCCAATCATTATTTGGTTCCTTGGACGTGGGTGTGAGATTGCGAATAACGTAGTCTGTGGAGTCAAGCGTTCCCATGCTTGTTTTACCAGCGGACATTCCGTCAATATAGAAAAGTTTGGTGAGAGGTTTGGAAGTACGGTACTTGTGAAGATAACCATGGCTAACTTCATCCTTGTCCTCAGGATCGTAAATACTCTCATCGTGTTTTGATTTTAGATGGTTATCCATTCTTGCATGCGGAGGAGGACCTGGAGGATGTCCACTGGGACCTTTTCCCGGGCCATGACCTCCAGGACCACGTTCTCTCCTTGGATGTGCAAACATTTCCGCATGTTCGATTTCGAAGGCTAACCATTCCATTCCTTCAACTGGCTCAGGTGTATGTGTTCCATGGTAAAAAAGTGTTCCTTTTGGTACAGATGCTGGGAAGAAAGACATCCCATTATGTTTGAGAGATGAACCCCATTGTCGCATAGACGAATGAACGGCATTGAAAATCTCGTGTGAATTTGCGCGAGCATTTTCTATACTGGGGCCGTTGGATGTTTGAGGCAACAGTGGTGATTGATCGGATACAGCGCCGGCACTGATAGATAGGGGAAGTAATAGTGGAGTGAGAATTAGAGACGGTGACAGCATTTTCGACTTCATCTCACCTCACAATCCTTCAGGCCAGGGACAAAAGCCAAAACGAACGAAAGACAAAATAAAATAGATAGTAAGACTTCGTATTTAGTAAGTTAAGAACTGAGAGAAAACAACAAGCAACGAACAAAAGAAACAAAGTTGCGGATACAAATACCCAGCTTACGACGACGCGTTGCCAAACATAGCTTTTGTCTTATCAATATGATCAGTCAGGGATGTATGGTGAGATACAGCCAATGAATGAGTGAACCAAGAGTGGAGTCTGGAAGCTATGACTTGTGATTGTGGGGCATGTTCTGTCGGTCCCGAGTTGCCCATGGGCACAAATCATCAGCCTGATTTAGTCTCTACCGGCTTCGCGGTACGCATGAGTTTGGTTTAGGTTGCTGTGAACGAATGATTGCCTGTAGATATGAACATAATTCTAGATAAAGCTAGAACGGGACACTCAGAGTAGTTATTCTCTGCCACTTTCATGCCTACCCAAGTTCGTCGTCAGCAGCCAAATAGGAATGATACTACTTGGTCGACAATCTCTTCCGAGGAGCGAGCCTACAGATTAAGCCGTAGGATTCCGTTCCATCTCTTAAACCGGAAATGGCGCAATGAATGTGTGACTCGCAGACCGCGAAGTGTGACTCTGAGATCTCCGGTCCAGTGGAATGTCAATATCCAGCACAAAACCGGAGAATGTGCATTACCCACGTTGGAGATCTGGTATCAAAAACTAGATATTTCAATAAAGGTAAAGTAATAAGAGGGCTAGATGCAATCAGACTTCATTTCATCATCAGTCATACCCATTTTCCCCCATCGACATGCTATAAATCAATACCCTCCATCTCAGCCCATTGGACAATATATTTCCTGACCTACGCATACGTCTTTAGTCCCCGAAGACATAAGTGGAAGGGAATATCTAGTACTAACCTGACTGTCAGGAGCAAGTTCCAATGCAAGAAAACCATCTAAATCTTTCTTGTCTGTTTCTGCGCCAGCTTTTAGAAGAGCTACTGCGGTATCACCTATATGTGTGTTTTTAGCAAGCTATGAGCTTGTAGAACGGCAATGAATCCAGCCTTGGATGACTTCAAATTTTTACAGAACTTGAGAACTGAAGAGAGACGTACCATGACCTTCAGCAACAGCATGATGAAGTGGTGTTTGCCCCGCAACATCCGTAGGATTTAGTGGACTTTTATTCTTCAACAATAACTCAACTATTGGAGTGGAGCCAATAGCTGCTGCACGATGAATTGCATATTGTCCACGCTTATCCTTAACTCTACAGGATGCTGGTGGGTTTTGTGAAAGTAGGACTTTGACTACCGGAAGATTGTTTTTGGAAGTAGCAAAGTGAAGGGCCGTCTAAATGTTGATTAGATAATAGCTCTTTGGGGTATGGAAAAAGGTTTAAAAAACCATACTTGGTCACTGAAATCTAAGAGATGGTGAGTATGATTTGAACGAAAATTCAATCCAGTAAGAGTGAAACTCACTCTTAGCATTTACATCCGCTTCTTTCTTCAATAACAGATTCACAATATCATCGCCCTCTTTAAGGCTGACAGCAATCATGAGTGGTGTCCATCCGGATCCGTCCTATACACTGTATCAATAATGATTCTCAAGATGCCATAGAGCATAAGATAAAGGGTACAAGACTATACACACCTGTACGTCGGGATCAAAATTCTTCACATTGGAGAGTAATATGACAATATCCAAATGACCATGTGAAACAGCCCAGTGAATCGGTAATCTTTCATCGTCATCTTTCAAAAAGGCGAGCTTTGGATTAGCCTACAATTTGTGAGTACTACTCATATTTGCATGGACTGAAGTATCCATCAAAGGGTTTCTGGAGATCTCGTACATTGAGAAGAGACTCGACGATGGCAACTAGATTCTTGTTAGTAAGAGTTTGTTTGCTATTAGGCCGTGCATTAGGGTGTAGAGGGGTATCGTACTTCTACCATCACGACAAGCCTGATGAATGGCATATTTATCCTCTGAAGGCTTTTCCATATTGTTTGAATAGATTTGATGAGATTTTGGATGAAGATTTCACTGGAAGGAAAATGGTTGCAGGATTTATTTTGATGTCATATATATATGTGGTGGCGTGGATAGAGGAGCCTGGAATGTAATAAAGCAGCGGCAGCAATACTACTTGTGAGGCTAGTGGCCCGTGCACCCAAGGCTCACTCATGTTCTTGAAGCTTTATCGCGATAAATTTCCAAATCGCAAGTCCTCACACGCGCAACTCAACATTAACCACATATATTAACAATATGGCAACCTCAATCGCCTCCTTACCTTCAGAGGACCAAATAAAATCCCTCATAAAACAAAATGCCAAACGAACACGATCTCTTTTCGCAGATACCGAATCAATCCCCGATCCAAAATCTACAGAAACCGCAGATAAATTAGCATTAGTAGGAAGAGTACACGCCGAATACGATCATGTCCGAGAATTACCACCTGCATTAGCTGCGAAACAGGCTGCTGCAGCTGGAAGTAGGAGGAAGAAGACTAAAGTACAAGCTACTGATGGAGAATCAGCTGCCGACTGTAATACGATGAAGATGATCGAGGGAATTCCATCACGGAGTGAGACTTCTGGAGCTGGAAGTAGCACTAGTCTTATAATTAGAGGCAAAGATGCACCACCTAATGCGAACGGCCCTTCAATTTCTACAGCGCAAAATAATCTACCATCTAGCAGTTTGGTGCGCAAACAAAATTTCGTCCAGCCAAAACCTGAATGGCACGCCCCGTGGAAACTTATGCGCGTAATATCTGGACATTTGGGATGGGTACGCGCTCTTGCTGTTGAACCAGAGAATCGATGGTTTGCATCTGGAGCTGGGGATCGCACAATTAAGATATGGGATTTGGCGACCGGAGGATTAAAACTTACATTGACGGGACATATTTCGACGGTGAGGGGATTAGCAGTTAGTCCGAGACATCCATATTTGTTTAGTTGTGGAGAGGATAAAATGGTTAAGTGTTGGGATTTGGAGACGAATAAGGTGATACGACATTATCATGGACATTTGAGTGGTGTTTATACTTTGAGTTTACATCCTACCTTGGATGTGTTGGTTACGGGAGGTAGAGATGGTGTTGCAAGAGTTTGGGATATGAGGACAAGGAGTAATATTCATGTACTCTCAGGACATAAGGGCACAGTATCAGATCTGAAGTGTCAAGAAGCAGATCCACAAGTCATCACTTCATCTCTAGATTCCACAGTGCGATTATGGGATTTAGCAGCTGGAAAAAGCATGGGTGTACTTACACATCACAAGAAAGGAGTTCGAGCACTAGCCATCCATCCAAAAGAATTCACATTCGCAAGTGGAAGTGCTGGAAGCATTAAACAATGGAAATGTCCCGAAGGAGCCTTTATGCAAAATTTCGACGGTCAAAATGCCATTATCAACACACTCAGTGTAAACGAAGACAACGTATTATTTTCAGGAGGAGATAACGGATCCATGTCTTTTTGGGATTGGAAAACTGGTCATAGATATCAAGCACTTGATTCTATTGCTCAACCTGGTTCGCTGGATGCAGAAGCTGGAATTTTCACTTCATTGTTTGATAAAACGGGCTTGAGATTGATTACTGGTGAGGCGGATAAAACTAGTGAGTTGTTCTCTTTTCCTCTTATTAATTCCTTCCTTCCTCCCACTTTATCCCACCACCTTTTCTGCATACATACAGCAGATACTAACACCCCCTCTCTCCAACAGTAAAAGTATGGAAACAAGACGAACTCGCAACACCCGAATCACACCCCCTCGAATGGAAACCCGAGCTCGGTAGACGAAAATTCTAAAACGCACGTTCACCTGGTGGTTTTAAATATAGCAGTGACTGACACCTTGTATGTGTATAATACCTACGAAAATGTAGAAACATGGAAAAGGTGGGATGGGAATTGTTCATATCCCGGAGGCGCACTGGCGTTGATGATTGATTGCGTCGTCGCATTGATTGATATAGATAGATAGTGCGTATACCATAGCCATGAATACCATTTTGTGAATTCTACTGAGAATACTGAGGTGTATTATTGGGTTTTTATTTACTTTACTGTGATATGCTTGCTGACTGGTTGTTCGTGGTGATGATAATGGCGATCGATTTATTGATATATCCTTTCCTTCTTTCATGTAATCTTATGTTATCTATATATATTTACACCAATCTCAACACACCATCCAATATCCCTCCCACTCATCCATCATGTCCAGCTCCAGCTCCAGCATCCATCATCCCGCATTCATCATATCATATCATTCATCACATCAAATCACTAACTCGCAGCCCAACAATGCGATAGATAATCCGAGTTTGAACTAAACAACCAGAAGGGCATATTCAATAAGGATTACCTAGTAGGTCAAGTAACGGAGATATTAAACCTCCATCCCTTACACGCCCTATCACGTACTCGTACTCTATCCCATAAATCCCAACCCCCTAATCTCTGGATCATCCCTAAAAGCAACCTTAACATCCTCCTCCCCAATACCCAACCTAACCTTTCCCATTCTTTCCGCCTTTCGGACCTCTATTCCTATAACGCCCGCCTCCATCAATTCCATGGCCGCTTCACCCATTCCTTGAACCCTTGCTCCTTTCCTTACTTGTTTTTCTCTCTTTTTTCCCCCACCACCACCCTCGTTTCCCGCACCTGCAAGTAAATACCCAACCACACTTCCCCCCGTATCCAGCTTTGCCATTCTCCTACATTCATCAACCACTTCACCTACCAAACACTCACCCGTTCCCGCCCTCCTCAATCTCAGTACTAGAGCTGCAAGAAACATTTTCGTAGCCAGTGGACATGCTCTCAAATATTGTTGAAGCGGACTGGTCGTAGCTTCATTAATTGCTTTTTTAACCGTAGCTATACTAACCACACCTTTCCCCTTTTTCTCTTCACGACCTGGAGTTTTCGAAGGTGTGTGTGGAATGGAACCGAATTCTGATTCTGCGATTTCGACGGCTCGACGACAGATATCCAAAGCGCGGCGAGCGTCGCCAGAAACAGAGGCGACTTTGCGGGAGGCAAATTGAATGGCGTCGGGGTGGATTAGGTGAGAGGGGACGTCGGCTAGACGGGAGGTTATGATGGTTTGGAGTTGGTCATGGGTGTAGCCAGGAAAGGTTATACGAGTTAGGCCTGAAGTTAAATGTTAATTACAGCGCCTGTAGCAAACGAATATTATACATACCAAGACGTGAAGAAATCTTATTGGAAAGAGTACGTTCAGGTAAATCCATGGTATTGGCCACGGCGAGCACGATTAGTTTTGAATGCCTCAGACCAGGCCAGTTGAAAAAATTATACATGACACTTTGGTTTTTGGTCACTAGCTGATCCAATTCGTCCATCAACACTACACATGGTTCTCTCCTAGGTGACGGCTTGCTGAATTCCCTTTCCAGTAAATCTAATGCATGACTTGGACTCACTCTGTCCCCTCTCAGCGCTTCCCACAACAATGCATATGATTGATGTGGATCCGTTACTTTCATTCCATTAATTTCAACAAATATGAAAGGATCTAATTCATCGGCCAGAACGGATGCATTCAGCTGTGCAACAACTTCTCGTACTGTCGCAGTTTTTCCAGTTCCTGGAGTTCCAGAGATATAAATACAAGAGCCTGTGCCATCTGTAATAGCAGCTGCGAGATGGGTGTAGACGGATGAGAACTCTTCCTCACGACAAGGGAGATTATCAGGAACGGACGAAACGTGAAGACGTAATCGAGCTGTTTGAAAAGGGGAAGCATTAACGGATGGCGAGAGCATACGCATTCCTAAAGGCGTGAATTCTAGTGGCTTTTTGACGACAATTCTGTAGAAACTGTCAATAAGTGGTTTCAAGGGTTGATTGGTACTACATACCTCTTATGACTTGGAGTTAGCAGTTTGGAAGGCGTACGTGGTTTTCGAGGTGTTATAGCTTTGGTAGTCTTTTGCTTTTTCCGGGGTGTTGTAAAGATTTCTTCATCCACTTCTGAATCTTCTTGCTCAGATGCCACACTTGCGTCGTCATCATCTCCATGCTTCTTCCTCGAAAATACAGGTTTCTTTCTCTTCTTATTTGGTATGCTATTCTCTATCTTCTCGATCAACTTTTCAACACTATCCTCCGTATTGTGATATACTTCCTCCCATATAAATTCATCTGTATATGTGACAGATTTACTGTGCAATCCTCGACGACATATGAATGTTTTCCCATTTTCTTTTCGATTTCTCGGTATTTTTCCTGTCGGGTATTTGGCTTTGAAAGCTTCTTCGGATAGGATCGTAGCCGTGCCATTAATGGTCGCCAGTGAGATTGTATCAGGATCGGAGGATATGTACAACTCGTTCTATAGTCATTGGCCACAAAGCCCAAATATAGGAAGTGGATTACTTACTTCCAAGAAATCTGAACGCTTCCTTGTCTTACTGTGTATATCCTTTGGGCTACTGAACCACCAAATATTGGCTTTCATTATATCAAGATATGATTCAGCATTCTCATCATAGTCCTCATCTTCTTCAAATCCTGATATAACCCCAACCCAGTTTGTATTCGAAGTATCGTTATTTATCAAAACACAATCTGCAATCTTGCAGACAATTTTTCCAGCCTTGGCACCAATAATCCTACTAGCTCCTGTACTTTTGGAAAGTCGACGGGTTCTTTTAGCTGCTGCGCTCTCTTCTCCTCTGGCATTGGTCTGCGGCGATGAAGCAATTTCTTCATGATTCTCGCTTTCGTATATCCATTCCCATTCTGCCTCGTCATCCGATTCTTCTTCTTCGTCTGATTCCTCAATAACTGTGCGGTGGCCTGCTAAACGTTTCCTAGCATTCTCAGCTCTTTTTAATCGTGTCTTTGCATCTGCAGGGGGAATGGTGTTCGATGAGGGTAGTGATGCTTTTGGTGGAGGTAGTATTGGTTTTGGTGACATCTTAACTTTGAGTGCGTTCAGTTGTTTACAATAGATTTGGCATTGGTTGACATACTGGAGGTTAAAGCTTGACATTTATTTTAATCTTGTACCTGAATTTAGTGTGATGCGGGGAAAGCTAGCACCACTTCGGGCTCTGGTGTGGTGGTGGTGGTAGTGGTATAGTGGTATGGCTTTCAAGGATGTCAAATTGGCAATGGAAATGATCCATTTCTGCAGATTGCATCTATTTTTCCAACTTCAATCATCACCAACACATTGGAATACCTAATATCAAATGGACGAAGAGCTTTCGCTGAATATATACAATACTACCTACTAGGTAGGTACTTACTACCCAATTTTCGCATACAAATATCATGAGTGTTAGTAAGACTCACCTAGTATATTTGTCACCCCAGGGTCTTGAAACTCCTCATCTTTTGTTTTTGCTTCGGCATCTCACTAGATAATGGACATCACCACTAAAAGATCATTCCTAGTGTCTCGCTCTAGTGCTCAGATGCGGCCGAGATTACCGTCTTCCTAAACCAACAACAGTCCTTCTGCTGTGTATCATTCTTCCCTCACTTTCTACAACAAATACAATCCTCTAGACTGCAATGTATCAATACGTCTCAACAAGCTTCTTTGTGTTACAGCTTACAATGCCTTCTCTTTTAGAAGGAAAGAAGTCCTTTCGGGCTTTGAATTCTCCAGGCTATGACTAGCACTCTTGAAGATCTTTATCTCTAGATCAATTAGCCATTGGTGGGTAAGTTTTATTCTTTTCAAGCCCAAACTCTCAGCACTTTGTATATCTGTTCCTTGTCTTTGGTACGAACCAGTAGACTGACAAGCAAAACAGGCAAGATGCAGATACCTTTGTTGTATGTCGTTACATATTTCTTTTCTATTCTATCCGAACCTGAAACTTCGGGATCGATGAAGATGCCTTTATCAAGCCAAGCTAGTTCGCAGGGTAGAGATGCACTGCCATAAGTTTTAATTGTGTGGGTTGTGTCTTCATGCTTGGAGTCAAGGTGTACAGACCACAGGAATGGCATATGGAAGTTTTGATCTAGGTCAGTCATGGATGTTGATCTAGGCTGATATTCTATTGCCAAAGGAACCGTGGTTCTCCTCTAATAGCCTTGCTTGTATCGATCCTTGTTGAAGCTGAACGATTTTGCTTCTGCACGGAGAGACGCATGTGCATTGGAGTTACACATCATTTTCTATGTTTGTTTGATCGAGAGATCTTCATACAAAGCAATTCTATCAAGAATGTCTTTCATTTGGATAGCTTGGCTCCTATTTCGCCACGATGTTACTATCATACTTTGAAGCATCCAAGCAAATTATCAAGAACACTCACCTCACATCTTCAAGTTGATGTGAATGATAACTGCCATATTTCCGTTCACTCCCATAGATTTTGGGAATAAACCAAAAGCTTATCAATAATTAATAATTTACTGACTGTACAATAGGGTTCGTACTTTCTGGATACTCCCCGCTTTGTACCATCGAAAAGCCAACTGGCAAAATGAGCCTCTGAGAACTGGATTGTTGAGGTAAGGAAAAGACTCCCTTTTACTTCATGTTTGCATCTCTTCTCACTTCGGAACGAATACTATTACTTGAAGCCTCATCATATATTCTGAAAGCTACATTTCTATTGATACCTGGCAACTTCAAAGTATACACTACCTATGTATTTTCACCGCTTAATTTCAGGTGTCGAGATAGTGAATTTGAGAAAGAAGGAAGTTCTCGTCATTTGTTCTTCACTCGCGTAATTAATATTTTGGCAAGAACCTTTCTTCTCCTTCTTTTGTTTCTTCCTTCCTCCAACGGTTGCCATGGAAAAGTAATTCAACTTAAAACACCTTTCTCCAAAACTTCTACAACCTTCTCTTTCATTTTCTAAACAATCATAATTCCAGATTCTTGAATTCTTGAATTCTTGAATTTCTGAATTCCTCCTTCAATTGTGGAATTGATTACACGTTGGTATCGCTGCCAATTTAATCATATCATTTTCAGGCCGCGCCACCATCAACAATCAAGACCTCTTTTCTTTTCTACTGCATATCTCTCTCTTTAATTGGTTTGCTGTTACCCTCTCATTCAATTCACAATCTTCAAGTGTGTTAGATCTATCTGCCACTTGTTGCAATTACCTATCGCGGTATCTGTTCTACACCAAGAAGAATTCGGAAGGGAATAGATCGAAAAGATGTATTCGAACAAGCTTGCAACGTATGCATAGTTTGATTTTTGTTCATATTATTTTACTAGAGTATACCGCTAATTGATCTCAGTTTTGAAACTCACAATGCTGCCGTCTGGGAGAAAGAGTCAGAGATAGGTGACGTAGAGGAAGTACCTACTACCTCAGCAAATGGAGTCCAAGTTACACCTGTTGCCGTCCAGCGAGGATTGTCTCGTTTTAGCCCGGCGACTGGAGGAGATAATAATGGAGGACGTGCCCATGGACGTGGCACTAACAATAATGCTCGTGGACGCGGTGCGATTGATCGTGGTAGTGACTCCAATGGTAGCCACCCCGGCCGCGGAGCTACTCGAGGTAAGCTGAGGGGCAATGTTCGTCGTGGCGGACACTATACCGCCTCTACTGGTCGTGGTAAAGGTACGTCATGGTACTTGCCGATGTAATGCTATAATCAAATACTAATACATCTCAGAGCGATTCGAGAGAACTCCTCTCGGAGGACATTCTCGCGATGGTACTGGCTTAAGCCACGCACCTTCAGTTAGCCATCGTGTTGACCAGGAGTTACCTCGCCGTCCGGCTGTCAGGGTAAGAGAGCCAGGTCTGAATTCAAGCACGGGCTGGGCCGAACCAACTCCTCTCTTGACCGACGCTCGAAGAGCACAACTCCAGTATGAGCGAGAATCACAAGAAAGCACAAAACGTTTCTTGAAGAAGCCCCTCGACGGAGAGGTTATTTCGGCCATCGTAAGTCTTTAGATCAATTGCTTCATATAATGTACATGCTGAAATTTCGTTGGGGTTTTACCAATGGCCAATGAAGGAAGATAGCCCCGAGGATTTATTCCGTGAGTATCTCAAAGATCTCGACCATCTCAAGACCAGCTGGAAAGTTTTTATCGATTGGAATGGCCCACGCAAATGGTTAAGAATCCGTGCAACACCAGCATTCGGTCAGACTGCGATAAATGAAGTTATCAAAGGCATCAGACAAGCGGTGGAGAGTGGCAAGACACGTGCGATTATGGCAACACCTTGTCATATCGTCGTTCCCCCGCGGTATTCGACCGAGTCTACATTACTCGAAGCACTCGTCAAAGTCAAATTCAATGGCCGAAAGTATGTGCATGGCCTCAAATTCTCAAAACAAGCTTCCGACGAAGAATTGAAAAAGCAGAGTCCCTCGCGGTCCTTGAAAGTAGAAGCGACTGTCAAAACATTTCGTGAGGAGTTAAACAAGAATCTAAATGAGCTTAGTCACCTCAAAGACTGGATGCGGATGCGAGCTCATTTCGGGGAACTTCATCTCACGCACTGGCAGACAGATTTGACCGATGGCCAGCAAACTTTGGATGGCTTCATGAAGATGATGAAACGTACAAGAACCAGGGGGACATTCGAAAAAGGGTAAGTTGGTGGCAAAATAAGATTACTTATACGACTAACATCTACTTAGTGTCGATCCTCTAATTGTCAAGTACATGATGGAGAGAGTCAAACTTAACCCTGACAATTTCAAGGTTTGGAGTGGAACAGATTACGTTCTGGCGGACGTGAAGCCAAAACATGTTGCAATCTTCACCGTGCAAAACTCATCAGGTGAAATGTTTCACATTGAGGCAGATGTGGATAAGACACATGGAGGATACCAATGTGGAGAGGTTAAGGTAATGGAGGAAGAACGTCGCAACAAGTGTGTGGAGATTGTTACCATCGACATTGAGTAAGTTAATGATTTATAGCTTCATGATCGTTTACTAACAAATATATCTATAGACAAGTTGACTGGGCTCTCGAAATTATCAGCGAGACAGCAGGTACAATGTTGGATAGCTCATTCCAGGACTTGGTTCAAAGTTGCTTACAACCATTTGTCCATTCGGGCTTAAACACGCAAGGTTTGGAGGAGCGTAAAGACCAGTACGGCTTCGAATATCCCAGAATCACTCCTCGTGGCCAAGCTGGTTTACGTGTCGATAAGGTCACTCTCCAGAGCGTTTACAGATTCAAGACTCGTTCGGGTGGTTACTGTCTTGAATTTACCATCAACAGAGATTGGGATGGTTTAAGAACTACACCAGAGCCAAACATCTCTGGCGGAATTACAATGTTTCATGACCAGTGGGACATAGATATGGAATCAAATGAACATACTACGGCAGATCGCAAATGGGAGAAAGATATGAGTAATTTCTTTCCAGATGGAGGATTCAAAGTTTTTATCGAACAGCTTAATTACCTCCTGGATGGTTTTCATCAGTCGAAGTCAAAATCATTCAGCACTGTCTAAGCACCCGATTTTATGTTGAACATCGAGCAAATTCAGTTCCATTATTTGGGCCAACTCGACAACCCTCTTCCGAGAAATCGCCTGTTCAACCTCACTTTCCGAGTTCATCATATCATCCCTTTCTCATTTCTTCTCGTTGCTAATGCCAAATGAGATGAATTACCATTGGACTTTCAATCGGCCTTTACTTGGAGCCGATTTCCTAATTAGCGTTCTTCCTCTACTTGACAATAAGACCTTTGTGGCGTCTCGAATGGTTTGATTCCTACGTACGAGACTATTTGAAATTTGGAACTGTTTTTCCTTTTTGTCCATAGCGCAAAGATATCAAGATGTTGAAGCTGAGGCTGTACCGGCGTTTGAGCTAAGAACTTTCTGACGTAGAACTATATTTAAATATTAGCAAAAATTCCATGATTTTGTAGCAAACCAAAGAAACATACCATCTTCAACGACTCGTAAACTATTCGACTTATTATTGACTATGATTTCCAAATCCTTCAAATTGGTTCCAATTTCCTCAATCTTTGCTTCGTAAAACTTTGTTGCATCTTTGGTACTCTGTAGTATGTATTAGCCTGTTTGAAAAAAGTAACGTGTACTTCCCATTACCAGTATGAGGTGAAAGAGCAATTGAACCATACCTTCTCAACATAAAACCCAGTTCCAACATCTACAATTACATTCTCGGTATCGGCTAATTGGCCGGGTACGTAGAGGGATGTTGTGAGGGGTACGAGGATTGGTTTACCTGTGGGAAGAGAAGGTGTAAGCTGTTTGTTGATTAGGGTAGATTGGGAAAGAGGAGGGAGGAGGAGAGGAGAGAGAAGGATCGCGGGGAAGGAGAGTGCAAGGAGAAGGAAGGAGGATGGGCTGGAGGAGGGATGGAAGATGAGAAGGAGGGAGGAAAAGCTGAGGATTTGAGCTTTGGCCTTTGGTTCTAGAGGAGGATTCGTGTGAAGCTCTTCTTTCCACAAGCAAGCATCTGAACAGAATGACTTTGGCGCAAATCCGCAGATTCGGCCTTAATCATCTGCACGACCACCCGCACAACACAACTCCTCATATCCATTCTCTCCTTCCCCAGCTCTGCCAATCCCCCCCTGCACTGCCTTCTCCAATCCTCAATCATTCAACCCCTCCCTCCCCATTTCCACGCGCAAATATAAAAAACCCAATCCCCAATCCCAGATCCTCAAAAAAGAAACATAAAGAAAAAACAAACCTTCAACCTCCTTCCCAACTCCAACCCCAATACACCTCAAACACTCGCGAAACTTATTCTGCGCGGCGCGCAGTTGTTGAAAGGAAGAAGTTAGATGCTCGAGTTCGTCGTCTAGTTGCTTTTTGACTTGGGTTAATTGCGGGGTGGTGAGGGTGGTTAGGTCGACTATTTTGGGAGAGCGGGGGAGAGGTTAGTTGGTTGGTTTTGGTAGGTATGTTGAGGATGGTTGGGGTGGGTGTGGTTTTTGTAGGAGAGGATGGGGAAAGGTAGGAGGCGGGGGGAAGAGATAGGTTATGAGGAAGGGAGGGGAGGATACGAACTTTGTTGAGATTTTTGAGACATGTTTGCTTTACTTTGCTTTCCTTGCTTTCCTTGCTTTATTAAATTTAATTTGATTTAATTCTTTCGCTCCTCCGTTTCCCTCCTCTCGTCTGTTTCGGCGGGTATAAATTTGAACTTTGAGAAGATTGACTATGTATGTATAAAAAGCAGAGAATCTAATAGGTTAGTAGGCGAAGAGTAAATAATACGAAAAATGAGAGTTTTTAAATCTTAGTATGTATGTATGTACTGAGAATGTAGTGGTGAATGATTGCATACGGACGGTAAGGTTATGTGTGATCCTGGTGTACGGAGCCTCCTAGGAATAATTATTCTGAGGTTAATGTATGTTCGCGATGCAGGGTGGGGTATGATTAGTCAGTTATAGCTTCAGCCATAGCCAGCCACAGCCATAGCCAGCCACAGCCACAGCTACATTGACTTTATTGTTTGTATTACTCGAGAATTTGAGTATGTAATATATCCATTATATAATGCTTAATGCTTTGATTCCCCTATTTGTATTTACTACACGAGAAAAATGAATGCCCATTCATGATGAAGGTGTGTCTTTGCCTAAAGACATGGTAGATAAACATCACACTTCTAAGTATAGATAATTTTGGAAACTCTCTAATTAAATATTCTTTATAGACGTCTACGTCCTCAATTTATGATTGAAGAGTGATCTCTGCTTCAGACTAGATACAAGAGCAGGAATAAAACAACTCTATCGATATTTTCGAGAGTACATTTTCCTCAAACACCATCCAATGCTCTGTCTTTCCATTATAATCCACTATCCATTTTCCACCCAACGCCATCATTAATCCATAAATTCGTTAAGCAGTGAACCTCCCCATGATTCACAAATCATACTCAAAATCCCATTCCAGTATTCGAAGGTTGAAATAACCTCACTAATCCCATTGCAGCAGCTGCCGCTACACTTCCCACAATCACCATTTCTACACCACCTTGACAATTTCTTCGAATACATTTCCCCTCTTTGAATCCTGTAATCGTACCTGTTTTCCCATATCCAAAAACGAATAATGTAATTACCATGACCACAATTGAGATGTATAATCCTTGATAAACATGGGTTACGAAAAGATAAGGTAATAAAGGTAATAAACCACCGAGAAAATATCCAAGTGAGATTGTAAGAGCAGATGTAAAGGCACGAGATGTAGCGGGTTCTTCTTCGCAGTGTTGGAATTGCATCACAAAGTCGGTGAGAAGATCCGTAGAACAATTGGCAAGGTGGGTAGTGAGATCTTCGATAATGTGTTTGGGTAAATTGTATGGCTCGAATACTTCCTTGAGATCGGAAAGAACGCCTTGAAGATCGGCTTCTATCCGTTTTATCGTCTTTTCTCGTTTGGCATGATATGATGCACTGATGAAATTGTTAGTTAATTCACTGCTAAACAAATGACGCTCCGCTGGCCCTCTGGGGGCCACTGCCGTGGAGGCAGACTATTTGATGATAACTTCATATCATTCAAACATCTTTCCCAGCAAAATCAAAGGGTAAACTTACAGTTCACTCTTAGCAGCAAGATATCCACCCAAACCCATAGAAATAGCCCCTGCAATCAATTCCGCCATTCCACCCCCAATAACCACCTTCGAATCTCCAAAAGCCGATAATCCAGCTGTCAAAGCAAATGGGACTGTTAAACCATCACTCAAACCAATTGTCGCATCCGAAATCACTCTCGCATCAATTCTCCAACCCTTCTTCCTCGATGATTTTTCTGATCTCGAATCTTGAGATTCTAAATCTAATGTACTTTCATCATCATTGTGATTTATTTCGGCGGAGTCTGGACTGGGATTGGTTTCGCCATTTGATGATAGGAGGGGTTGTCTAGATGTAGTATAATCGATTTCTGGTATTCTTGGTCCTCGATTTGATTTAGGTTGTTTAGGAATGATCTCTTGGTAAAAGAAGAGGTTTTTGAGAGTAACTAAAACCATGACTGCGTTAGGTGATATGTGGATGTGGTTGATGTTGTGTTCGATTTCTTTTCACAATTGATTGTGGAAGTTTCAGTACGAGAGGACAAGTGGTACTTGTGATGTCACTTATAAAGATGTGTCTCTACAATTGTGATTTCAGAGAAGAAAAAGACTGGTGGTTTCAGTATCGGAAAAGACGTGAATGTTTTTGCTAATTCTTGATCTTGACTTTTTGACTGTTTGCACCTTGTTGGCTGGTATATCTGCTTCGTTTCGGCTTGAGAATTGGATTAGAAAGGGAGACCTTCTCTAGATCTTTATAAAATGTTAGATGATAGATCCCAACCCATTGATAGCTTAGGAGCTTATGCAGATGAAGTCGAGAAAAGTGGAACCTTGGAGATCCATTTTTAATGATATATTTATTAGTGGTGGTTGGTTTGACTTGAAACCACGATCATAGTCCAAAGATGCTGGTCTGAACATTTAAAAAGTAGAGCATTGCTGACCATTAATTATCTCTCTTTTGATTCGTTGAACGTGGGTAATACATGAATGATGATTGGTTGAATACTCTTGACACTCAATTATGGATTATGGGGCAAGTATCAGTTCCCTTGTGCGTCAATAGGTGGATCATTCCCGCTTGCGCTTATCCGAAAGGAGACAAGTGGACTCAATATCGAAAGCGGGGAATTCGGCAAATATAATTATTTTATTATGGGTGGAATGAATATTTTGAAAAACTTGGATGAGAATTTAGAAATGAAACATTTGAATTGACGGACTATGATATTCCGTCTCTTTACATTTCTGTTTCTGGCTACCGGACTTTACGTATTAATATCAATGTGGTTTACAGCAAAATACTACCTCAAGTATTCCGCACATCACCAACACACAGGAATACGACCCATAACTCAAACGCATTGATCGACCCGGAGCTCCAAACAAATGCCTCAGCTTCTGTGATATTTCCCCTTGCTTGTTAATATCAGTTATGCCATTGGCTCTTGACGGCTTTATTACAAAACATGCGACGAGATTGGTTGAGCACACTGACCCTACCAACATCAAGCTTTCCACCGCGCGTATGAAAAGATCCAGGAGGCTTGAAAAAGAACTAGAAGGCTGATATCTCCTTGGTTGTCTAGAACAACTTGTATTGTAAAAGATTTCGATATGCTCACCGCAGGACTCACGGTCCCGAACAAGATCTATGGTAATACTCCGTAACTCCGAAGCCATGGAGATGATGAGGGCGTTTGTTCGGATTTCACTTGTACATGTGTAAGATGCCGAAGGTGCATAAAGCATAAAGGGTGAAGGGGAGAGCAATGATATCATTAATGCTACGTGTAAAATCCTCCTGGATGTTCCATGGTCAATCCTCCAAAGGCTTCGATGTTTGCTTGCCTCAGGATAGTATCTCCTCTCATGATACCATTTCGTCCACAGATCTGCCACCAAAGAAACGTGATAAGAGAAGTCTTTCCATATCTCGTCTTCCCATCCCATTCTAAGCACCACCTTCCCTCTTAGCATACTCCTCCTCAATTCTCTCCTCATACAATCTATCAGCCTCTAGTTGAGCCTCGGATTTCTGCGCTGTCTCTGTTGATTGATCATTTGCGGTATTTGCCGTAGTGGAGTTTGATACCTCGTTGGTAGAGGTTGAAGGAGTTTCAGTAAATGATGGCATTTTGTATGAGGAAGTTCTGAGGGTTGATGGTTTGTCTTGTGATAATCTTTTGTAGTGATAAAGAATGAATAAAGTGACTGGATGATGGATATAAAATCTTGAAGTCGAGAGCTTGATGAAGAAGTTATGTGATATGTGTGGCGGTGGCTGTGCATTGTGGCGCGGAAAGTATTAGGTAAGAAAGATGACCCCTTTCGTTCCACGTGCTTCTTTTTCAATGGGGAGGCTAGTCTCGAATTCTATTACTTTGTGACTTTTGTCCGATTTCTTCCGCAAGTATGGCAATATATTGATATGGAGTTCATTCATCCTTTTGCCCATCAATTCCACGTTCAGATGCAAGGGAAATATACCACTACATCACAAGCAGGGGAGCATGGTCGTTGGGTTTCATACCGCAAAGCTGCAAAGGGAATTTGACTATTATGTACTTCCCTCTCTCCTTTATGGAAAAGTATCATTTCGAGCAGCATTTAGACCTCATGCTCCTCTAATGCCTTCCACTAAAGTTCATCACGGCCCTAAATATCCACTCCGCTGGCCTCTCCCTCTTCACCTGCGATATCGAACTATCACTTCTCCATTTCCTTATATCTCATTCAATCGACTTGACTCATCCCACCTCTCTGTGCACGATTTACTTGATTGATCCTACAGGGGCCTGTTTATAATTGGTGCGATATGCGGTGTTGTGTCTAAGTGACTTTACATTTGTGAATCGTTTTCTTCCCCATTTGAGATTGGCATAGCTGCGGAGCTCTGCACCTTTCCATGGGGAAGCTCAAAGAGCTGTTCAATTGGTTGAGTAGCTGGACTGGCTTGTTCTTAATAGGTTAGATAATTGAGAGAGTATTACATGCGTGGAATGATAGACGCGTTGATAAGTATTTCGAATTTGGTATGGCAGTACACGAGTATATTATGTCACAAGTGGTGAAGGTACCACAGCCTGCAGTACAACTGCTGTGGAGATGAAGAGGATGCATCTATCTTTTGAACATATACCGCAGATTGAACTCTGCTGATTCAAGCGGTGCTTCCCATAACCAGAATATTATAATGCTCAAGAGTATAATATAAAGTTCTTTTAAGAAACTTTATATATAATTATAGATATTTTCTGGGAATTGAAAAGCTACAAAATGTTTAACTTTGAATAACTATTTGAATAATCTAGTATAGATCAAGGGCTTCTTGAATAATATTTATAAAATGTATTCGCTTTGTAAAAGTAATATTAAATAAAATATCTGATATTACTCTGTTATATATCCAAGTATGAGCGGTTGTTTAGTCGATAAGATTAATATTAAAAAGATATTAATTATACTTAACAGATCTCTACAGAACATCCAAGTAGGAGAAAAGATTAAAAAAGAAAAGTTGTTTGTTCCTTCTAGATACTATCTTTCTTTCTTACTAGCACTTTAAACTTCAATGTATGATACAACTTTCAAAAATCTCATTCCTACAATTCTTCATCGGCCTTACAAATTTTCGCTGCACCAATTGCTAAACTATGAAATCCCCACCCTAATTCATACACATCTCTTAAATATTTTCTAGGAATCCCTAGGTACCACAGAAACATAAAACCCCGAGAAATGAAATAATATCCCAAAATACATCATCCCCAATTTCAATATGGCCCTAACCTCAATCCCTAAATCGCCACCAATTCAAAAACACAAGCTCTTTTTCCACCCTTCCCCTTTTCTCCATGGAAATAGACGAGAGCTCAAATATTTACCGCGCTTTGTCTACAAATGTTCATATCAATTTAGATATCAATATAAATACTAATATCTAATTATATACACGCATGAATCCCAGTCACAGTCTCATCCTCAGTCTCGGTACAAAAATGAACCAAAAACCAGAATACAAACCATGTAGAACAAATCCAATTTGGAACTTAAATCTAAAAGTCCAAAGTCCAAAGTCCAGGGTCCAGACTTCAAATCTAAACTTCAATCCCGAGTACACTTGTATATCTATATGTCTATAATACCTACATAACAACGTCAAACAAATCCATCCAAGCATAAAAAGTTCCTCTCTCCCCCTGCAACCCCCTTCCTCCAAGTCCTAAGTACTCACTCCTTCACTATTATCTACTTCCCCCACTCAAGCGGTAGTCAAAAGCTAATAATCAAATAAAGCACAATCACAAATCTTCTATAATATGCATTAAGATTTATATTTATATTTAAATTGGACAAATAATTATACAAATAACTAGCTCTAAAACTATTTCTATATTATAATAATATAAAGAGATATTTATATACTTGGTTTAAATATACTAAAGAGAAGAGGAATATAATATTTGATATTCGCTATTCAATATCGAATGGAATCTCTTACCCTCTTACCCTCCCACCCTCCCCCCTCTTACCCTTTACCCTTTTACCCTCCTATTTTCCTCCCTTTTTCCCTTTCTACCCTTTTATTTTACCCAACATTATCTTTCCTTTCTATGACCTCCATTTATTTTCATGATGACCACTTTTACTTTACATTTATCCGATCTGGAATCTTTATTATTCCCTCGATTAATTACCCATCACCAATCCTTTATTTCTTAATCATCATCGAATTAACCCCTTCCATTCATCCGATCATATCTTCCATTTTCCGGATTCGATCCGATCCGATCTTATCCATCTTTCTTTTCCATCCATCTTCCCATCTCCATTTCCGATCTTCCATCTCCATCTCCATCTCCATCTCCCATCTCCCATCTCCCATCTCCCATCTCCCATCTCCCATCTCCCATCTCCCATCTCCCATCTCCCATCTCCCATCTCCCATCTCCCATCTCACATCTCAAACTCACAACTCAAACTCAAAACCCAACCACCCATACCTAGCTAGGTACTTACGCAAAGCTAAATATCATCCATCCTCATCCATCTTCTTGCGCTCGCTTACCATCACACACATATAATACAATAAACAATTACACAAGTAATTTTCATTCGCTCCGATACGATACCACCACCAATATATGTAACGTCCAAGGTTATGTATGAGTTAATTTGCAAATGCAAGCCATATGATAATCATGAAAGTTGAATCATCTACTGTATCATTCATTCATCCATTGCCGCAACGATAAAAAGTAGCCTACCCCAAACGCCCTACCACCGTACCACCCACCCACCTCTCGATTTTTTCATACTCTCAACATTACTCATGCTATGAGAAAATTTCTCCATTGGCTTCAACACTCATCGGACTACCCCCATTATGTGCCATAACCTTTGGATGCCTCCTCCGTGGCTTAAGTCGAGCACTAGCACTAGCACCACCATGTGCAACATCAATACCCTCATCACTATCATCTGCATGTTCCATTGCATACGCTGTAGCTTCATCCAACTCCCTAATATCATCTGGCCTTTTCCTCAACCAAGCCATTCGAGGACCACTTCTCGCTCTCTCTGAAACCTTAAATCCATAAATTTTAGGTTCGTATACTTTGCCCTTTCCAAGACCAGGTGCAAGATTTGATGCATTCATGCCATTGATCTTTTCCTTTTCTTCATCATTGCCATGTTGTAAATTTCTAGCTCCATGACCGCTCAATGCTTCTAATCCCTTCTTGCTAATATCATAATCGGGAAAAGTGAGAAGGAAGAGCGCTCCGAAAGTTCGCCCAAAGTATGCACCGTCAACAGTTTGGAATCGAGAATTTGGAGGAACGTAAACATCCAGACATGATGGACAGAAAAGTTTAACTGTATCTTCACCTGGAACATCGGATAATCCTACAGGTAAAGTTCGGACTTGTTCGCAATGTGTTCGTGGACAGTGACCAAAATGAGCTAGGTCATATTTTTCCGACATTTGTTGTATACCGGCTCGAGAACAGATAAATCGTTGATGGATAAGACCATATAACATTTCTGCGGATGATTCTATAATCGATAGATCGCTTGCCATTCTTTGATGTCTTCTTTCGGCGGCTGCTCTTCGTCCTGATCGATCCTCGCCTTCGATAGATGCATCTTCATCCTCATCCTCGTCCTCGTCATCTTCGTCATCATCTTCTTCTGGTTCGACATCTAATATCATCTAAAGAACAAAGTTTTAATTAGCATGTTATCAGAATCCAAGAGTTATGAGTACAATTACCTCGAGCGCTTCCTTATACATAGCTACTTGCGTCTGTAGACCTGTCAAATTGAAGTCATCTTCTATAAATTCTTCCGATATCTCTGCAAAGTATTCATGACCCAATAATGCGCAAAAAGAAGAGATCCAAGATTCTGGGGTACCAGAGGAGGAAGACATGTTGCGGTATGGTAGTTTATAATCTCGAGTGGGTAGGTTCGAATTCCAAACCCAACCTGATATTGAATATCTTGATTAGGCCGTGAGATGTGTCAAAATTGATGTAACAGGTCCCGCAGTTAATTTAACTGGGAGACGTTTGTCGTAAAAATATGATTGTCCCAATATACACGAGGTTGAATGCCGTAGATAATAGGTAAGGTACCCTTGGTAGACGCGCTCGAATTTATGACACTTTTCTAGATTGATCCAGAACACGGTCGAGTATAGTGTCAAAATACTATCCAGTAGGAAGTATCAACGTGGAGTCGAGTGTGTGCCGCTCGCAGATGAGTCGGGACTGTAGTTAAGTATCCCACTTCAAGGTATTCGTTGTATTTGCGCTGGTCTGTCTTTGCGCACGGTATGTTGTTAAATAGGTCTGATAGGGGTGAGTGTTGTAGATTCTGAGTGGAAGATTTTCTCGAATTACTCTTGATCACAACTTGAAGATTCGTAGTTCGATTCGGTAGTGGAAAAGGGTCTTTCAGCTTGTATCTGCGAAAGTAGAAATTAACTTTCGAACGCTGTTGACCTTTTTATCAAAAGCCTCGTCTCTCGAGATTAAACTTCCGCTTCAGGCATCAAACAACCCCGCTAGGCAATAATTCATTAGCCTTCTCAAACCGAGGTCAAGCCGGACACGTGATTTACCTCGAAAATGACGTGTAGTTGAATATTTCGAGGAAGCTCTTTTGCTAAAGAAATTCCAAATTCACTTGCAATTACTTTTCATGCGTCTAAGTTTATGATTTAGATTATTAGACTATAATACTTTAAGTGTATCTACTAACCTCGCCCTAATCTATGAGGGCTAGTTTCATAGGATAATCTTCATATCCAAAAACTCCATCCATTGATGCTCATTCCCGACGCTAGAACTCCAAGACTATGCGATAGAACCCTCACGCCAATGAGATACTTCAAGTAGCGTATTACCAATACAATTCACCAAGCAATAATGGTTTCTCTTTCCTCTCTCGTACCATCTTTGCTTGGTACCGATCTTTTACATTTAACCATAATATAACGATTCGGTATATGAAAATCCACAACTACCAGTTGAAATCGTTTCTCTTCCGGTATTACCCATAGGTTCTCTTGTTGAAGTAGTGGAAAGTGGTCTCGAATAGGAGGTGTATGAGCTTGAGTATATGGCGAAGAGGTTCCAGGAATTGGACTTTGACTTTGTGATAAGTAGGGTGAAAAGTCTCCTTGTATTGCATCCCCATTCGAACTCGTTTCGCTATAATTAAAGTATCCTGGTGATAACCTTTCGTCGTACGATGATACTGATCCCCTTTGTTGAAATCTTTGGTTGCTGTAGTCTGATTGTGCATTGGCTTCGAGTCTCCTGGGGACATCTAATCCATCTTCCTCACAGCCACAAATCCATAAGCCTATCCTAGCACTCAATACACCATCCCACATTCCCTCCTGCCTCGGAGTTCTGAAGAGTAGATCTAATGCCTTTCTTCTGATGTTTGGTTCCCTACATTTGGTGGCCACTACATGCAATGGTGGAACAATACCAATATCAAAACTAAATCGTGATGAATTGATTGCCGAAGGATTTGTCTCAAATGTTATAACGAGCTTCTCCGCTGCTTGAACTATGTATCGGAAATCGTTCATGAACGAGTCATAGATCATTTCTGAGGTGGATGTGACAGCCGAAAGTGTGATGGCCGTGGCTTTGAGATGTGTCATAAGAACAATAGCGGCCTGATTAAGTACCTTTCCTTCTGGAGATATCGAAGAACTCAAGATGGGCTGAAAAGCCTGTTTGAACTCATTTAGTCCTGCGACATATTCTGCATATTGCTGTGCTATTTCACCCGGGGTCTCACTTTTCGCAGTAGCGAATTTCCTGTCAAATAACGTCCTTCGATAGTATTGAAGTGTTCGATCCATTAAAAAATCCCAACAGTGTTGAGCTTCAGAAAAACTTGTGAATACTTTTGGTATGGGAATATGATGTGCAGCATGGATATCCCAAATTAACGGCGGAATGCCCGGTGTCATACCGAAGAATACTATTCCAAGTAGTAGATCATTAGCATGTGAAAAGTCCAAAAGGACAGAAGACATGACAGGAGAATAAAACTTGAGCAAAAAATTTGGAAACCAGAAGAACTTACACCCTTGACCATCGAGACGAACAAAAGCCTGTATAATATTCTCTTCCAACGTGAAGTCATTATTTAAAATAGGTGAAGTTGGATTTCTTGGTTGTAAAGGTCGTTTTCGAGGATTAATGAGTATAGGTGGCGATTGAGAAGATCTATAAGTGGTAGGGGGTGGTGTATTACCCATTGAAGGAGGAGTATGAGCTGACTCTGGAGTGCGTAACATCGAGTTTGAACCATTTGATGATGGACCTCTTCCATTAAGCGCAATTGGCATCACAATATTGGAATTTTGGTGTTCATTTGGCGACACATACTCACTAGGGGTATGATAGGCACTCGGATAATCTCGAGTCGGTGTACCTGATAGAGAACGCTGTTGTTCTAATGTTAAATTTGACTTATAATGTGATGGTATGGCCATTTCATCAAGCCGCGGGCTATAATCCCTTTGCGGTGGTGTAGGTATCCTATCAATCGTGGGAGTATGGGCAGATTGAAGTGGGGGATTTTCAGATTCCAGATACTCTTCGATATGTGATGAAATAGTTGCCGATTTGGAGGAGCCATCCATACCCGGCCGACTATGAACCTTTGCTATAATCTTATCAGTTTGTGGCTTGGTATTTAAACCCGCTGAGATCCTTCGTGGAATCCATGGTTTGGATCCAGGTCTTCCAGCATAATAACTTCTCAGTAGCTTCAAGCCTCCATATGTTTGCTGCACCGACGAAGCGTAACTCCCCTGAATGGTCTCAAAGCAAACAAAAAGTAAACATGCAATAAGGGCTGTTCTCAATTGAGGCCCATTGGAGCTAGATATGTATTGGTTCAAAGCCTGAATGGCTTTGAGATGTTGTAAGACGGCAAACTCATGATGCTTCTTATTTATATCTTGAATGACATTGACTTTCAGATTTGGTCCAGGGGCCTCTTCAATTGCTTTATTGAGAGCTCCAATAGCGATTACTGCATGCCGAATTGGAGTGACATTGTGACTCTCTCGGAGAATTATATGTTTCCAAAAAGAGGGGTCGAAATAACCGGGTAGTTGATATGCTGTTCGATCACAGAAATATCGGAAGTACCGGCCTTCATCCTCTGTTGCTTCCGGAGAAATACTAGGGGTATATAAATCTACTGCTGGAATTCGAGGTTGGAGTGGCATCATGGTTCCTCGTGATGGGCTCTCGTGAGCGTACCCATCGCATGTTCGTCCGAACTTTTGACATCGAAGACATTGCGGTTTTGTCTCTATTAATAATTGAGATTAATTAAACGTCAATCATGTAGAATGCGAGTGTCTTGAAAGAATAACTAAGTCTGAGCTCAATTCTGGTAAAATTACATCAGGGGAAATAGCAAAAGCTTCATGATATCCACGAAACGCAAAACACTTACCATCACATTTTACACGACGAGCCCTAGGAAATCAATGTTAGACTCCCATAAATAAGTAACCGGAACGAAGATGCTAGACAGTATATACTTACTTGCATGTAATGCAACCTGACTTGACCTTAGGTTTGCTTGCTCTAGCTCTTTTGACTGGCCGAGGTCCATACTCCGAAGCCGGTAGCCGGTTGGACTTGTCTGACTTGCTATCCATCAATGGTGTCCTTGAATGCCGTTTCATCGAGACAGGTATGACTGAGGTACTAGGAAGCGCCATCACGATGCAAAAGCCAATCCGAAGTGATGTGTTTGAAAGGAGATCTAATTGAATGTATGCGAGGAAATGACATTGGATTTGAGTGGTGGAGAGTGTAAATATCCATGAAATAGTTTGTGATCGGTCTAGAGACAGTATCTCTATTTTCCATGACGATACTCATATGATATAAGGAAGAAACGATGTTGATGAACAAGTTAGGTCCCTAATTTGAGGTTCGCTAGTTCGTCGGGCCCACCGATAGTGTATTGCAGAATGGACCATTGAAGAGTCAGATTTAAAGCCCTGTAATTGATCTGATCATCAAGTAAACCCGAATTTCAGGCAGAGAATCCATCCCCCATAACGTGGAAAAGGCAAACAAACAAGCCCCACGATCTAGATTGTTGGACGTCCGTCATGGTGCATGCACGAGCCAGGCGAAGCAATAGTTTCTGTGGCTGGGTCAATCAAGTTCTTGCATATTTGAGAGGCTTCTATGGTACAGAGTGAAGGCTTCCAACTTCTAATCAGCCCTGTGTTGAGGGTTACCAAGGCATCTATCTACTGAGTAGCCACACGTGTAACATTCACGCCATCTCGGACATCAAACAGTAATCCGTAGACGTACATTTAGAACATATGCATGAATTCACAAACAGCCGCTAATTGAAAAATGAACTTCCCCGCTCATATCCTAGTTCAACAACGCGACAACGAGACAACGAGACAACGAGACACATTCGAGCCAAAATAACGGAAGCTCATTGGATCTTCATACGGTCCCTAATCCACCTGCCTGCCTTGTTCGTCCCAGCAAGTGGCCAGGCAAAATTGAGCTGCAGGGTAAAAGGAAGAATCAGCTAGATAGGTGTGAAAATACTAAGATATCTATCTACATAAAATCATGATGAAGATAAAAATGAGACTTCGTTTACAGCCCAATCCCAAACTCATGGTTATATCCTGGAAAGATAAATTGGATCCCCGTTTTGCGTAAAGTTACCAATCAGATGGCTAACATCAGATTTTGTGCTGCATAGATATGTAAGGGGATGCCTATGTCCGAGGTTATGCAAGCCTGATCGCTATGAACCAGCCAGAAGCGGGTAATCATCATCCAGGCCGAAGATTTTCAAAACTAGGGACAGCGATTGGTAAGGCTGATGAGTTTCCGGAGTGATCGAAAGTTTCTGAAAAGAAATGCTTTTTATTTGCTGACTTGACGGAAATGGCTTCCAGACTCGTATCAGATCTCCGCGTTTCAAAATCATAAGAATTGGTGATTCGATAGGATGCCCATGAATCTTCGATGCATGTCGGACCTCAATCTGACATGATATGACATTACCAAGAAGCAAGTAAACCGCATACCACATATCATAAATGAAACTAGACTCAACTAGACTCAACATGTGGTATCATGGCTGTGATTGAAGTATAAATACTTCCCTTTCGTCTTCGTTATATACTTTAACAAACGAAGCTATTGAAAGCTTTGATCTTGGCAAACCTCTTATGTCTTAAAGGATATTGTTAGTCGAGGATGATATATACTTGATAAATATCCATAATCCTCTAAAAGGAACGAGCGGGAACAATAAACTTAGCGATATTCAATAAAAGCCAACCTCGCCTTAACATATACCTTACCTAAATAAAAGATGAATAACCAATCAATCAATCAACTGCTTGCCCATCCAGCACCCAATCTGGTGATCCACCAATCTCACAATTAACCACCCCGCTCGCACCATATTTGTGGAACCTTTACCCCTCCAAAAGCATCTGATTTTAATACCAGTCCAGTGTACTCGAATATGAACTTGCGATACCATCTCTAGATCTACTCGAGTAGGTAGTATATCCTCAACAATCTATCCTTTTCTACCAGACTCATCGGCACATTTTCAAAGCCCAAGCCCCTCTCCAAAAACCAAAAACCAAAGACCTCCAAACCTCCTCACAACCAACCAACACACAACACCATGGCCGACCCCTCACTCTACACCTACCCCTCTCCCCTCGACGGCTACGAAAACCTCTCTCCTCTACCAAACGAACTTAACCCCGACGGAAAGAGCCACGTAAATCCTCAGACCGGAGTCAAGAGCCAGAGTTACGAGAAATTTACTGAGCCTTTGGATAATGGGATTAGGGGTGCATTGTAAGATTTAATTTTGCTGTTCTCGGGTGGGCTAAGGGCATTCCTTCAAATAGGAGTGAATGGTCATAGATGATGAGGATAGTGCTGATAGTATTCATACTAGTGATGTGCATATTTATCATTTCCAGAAGAACAAGGCACAGGCCAAGTTTGCTAAAGAATTATGGGAGAGAATTAGGAGGGAATGTGAGATTTGATTTCTATTTCTGGAGTGGTTTCGTTAATACTGATTGAGGAATACAGTTCCGGAGCTTCGCGTCTACAGATTTTGGGAGGTACCAATTGGACCTCATCCAGTTGCAATGTTTGAAGTAAATCTCTTCACGCCTGCGCAATTTGGTGCCTTCATACCTTGGTTGGTGATTAATAGGGGTCCATTGAGCGCGTTAGTTCATCCTAACACGGTTGATGATAAAGGAGAGCTATTGAATCACGAGAGAGATCATACGCAAAGGGCAATTTGGATGGGAGAACAACTTCCGCTAGATTTGAGTGTCTTCAAGAAGTCGAAGTAACAAAAAGTTGAACAGCATGTGGGAAGGAAATAGCGGCTAAGACTCTTGGTGATCGGCAATAGGAATTGTCTGTGCAGAGGAACATTAATTTGCCGGGGGAAATGCAATGACAGAAAGAGAAATGTATTGGGAATCACGTACTTCACCTGAACCACCAATTCACCGATGCACTGATACCACCGTCCAAACTCTTTATGCTATGCCACCATCCTTTTGGTATAAATAATGCATCGCCGGGGCCTACCTCAACCTCAAAACCTTTCTCTGTCACCCCTTCTCCCCAAACACGTTGTTCTAGTAAAGACCTTTCTGGTCCTTCCATCATCTCCTCACCTCTTATACTAGCAATTCCCCATGCACCAATACTTTGTTGTACGTCTTGATATATTCCTCTTCCAACAATCGGTGGGAACAATCTGACCCTTTTCTTGCCAACTGATTGTATAAAAAGGTTTGGGTTTGGATCTTTGTGCAACGGTGTATAACTAGTCGATGTCCCCAGCCATATATTGGCATCGTAGACATCACCCTTCCCAGCCTCTTTCACCACCTTTGGCATCGGCAGGTCCTTTTGTAATTCTCTAGGCAAATCTGCTATTTGGGCTTGTGCAATGTAGAGAGGAAGAGGATAATTCGAGCTAGTGGCCAGTAGAAAGAGTGTAAGTGGTGCATAGAAATGATAGAATGTTTTCGTAGAATCATGAGGCTGTATTGACCGTTGAAGCTGCTCTGAGAAGCCAACATGGAATTTGTAATGTCGCATAAAATCATCGAGTTGATTTCGCACATCTGGTGAGTCAACAGTCAATTCGTAAGGAAGGGTAGTGTCTGCGAAGTATTCGAGATATTTTGTTGGCACAAGAGTGCTAGTCTCTTTGCGTGTCATATCTAAATTTGCACATTGATCCTGAGACTTAGACATAAACCATTTCTCAGCTATTTTTATAGAACTTTTTTTCCCTAAGCTCGTCGAAGATGCGCCATTCGTCGATCTTAGAGATACAGGCTTCTCGGGAATGAAAGCTTTTTGTCTGAATTCATCGAGGTCGACATCGTCGAAAGAGTAATCAACTGTTTGGACGGGCGGTAGACTGTGGTAATCGCGTGTAACAATCGATGAAGATATTCTTTGCGCACATCTTGATCGGCGTATTATGTTGGATAGACGTAACCCCATAATGTGTGGTTGACGGCTGATTGTTACAGTAGGGTTACTCATTTGAAGGCCAAGGTTACATTTATTAAATTTTAAGTTTAAGTTTAAGCTTAAGGTTAGGAATCATCGACCAATTTGATTTTGTTGGTGCATGACTGATTAATAAGGTTACCATTATCACCGGCATGATGAAACCTCATCTTTTTTTATAACACTTCTCCATCGAAGAATCGAAGTCATACGTTCTTAAGACTTCACATATTTTATATATGGTATATATCATGTCACATTTTAGGTTTTATTTTGTAAAGCTACAACATACTAAAATGCTTTGCTCCTGTATCTGTACACAGTCTTACACATATAATTGGTGTAACATAACATGTGCATGCGGAGCTGAACTTGTCACACCTCGGCCCAAGAACCCAAGAAGAGATAGGGAAGTTTATCAGCACCCCCGCAGGAAGAAGCTCCTTCTCTTTCATATCTTACCTTCAATAATCGTTATCTGTTGCAGTATCTACCTGTTTTTTGACATTTTAAAAGCATCAATTGATCCCAGAGACTACGTAACTGCGTCGTCAGTCAAAATCTTCCTTGATATTCCCTTGCTCTAGGGAAGCCATTTCTCAGACTTTTGGAAGTAACCTCGGTAGTAAGGGTCTCAAGCTCAAAATGTTTATTCAGGTTGAAGAAAATGGGAATTCTACTGTGAGACGCCCATTTGACTCCTTTTCACTAATATTGGGATAAAGCAACGGCTAATCTTGATTGCATTCATACCTAGTATGGAAATGTAGTTCGGAAAGATTATGAAACTCAAGAATATACTTACTATCCCATTGTTATTATTGGTGCTGGTGAATCTGGGATTGCTATGGGATGCCGTTTGAAGGAAGTCCTAGGTTTTGATCAGTTTCGCATCTTTGATAGACAGTCCGGAATTGGAGGTACATGGTGGATTAATCGATACCCTGGTGTTGCTTGTGATATGTGAGTTCCTCGTTGAACTCAATTACATTCGGCATGGGCTCAAGCTGACCCTACCTATTTGACAGACCTTCAACCTTCTATTCTTTCTCATTCTGCCCTAAATATGACTGGTCATGTTTTTATCCAGGAGGCGCAGAGATGGCCAAATATCTTCAGGCTGTTTGCGAAAAGTATGAGATAGTGGATAAGATACAAATCAATACAGATGCCAAAGAAGCACGCTGGCTTGAATCTGAACAAGTTTGGGAAGTAACATTACAACACTTAATGGTTGGTGCTGGAGACTTAAGTGAAGAAGATCGGATTCTCAAAGTCAAAGAGCAAGGCCATAGCGCTGTATACACCTATGAAGAGAAGATTCGATGCAAAATCCTGATAAGTGCTGTTGGTGGTCTCGTCCAACCAAAACTTTGGCCCGAAAGTATCCCCGGAAAAGATCTTTTTAAAGGAGAAATCTTTCACTCAGCTCGTTGGCGATATGATATCGACCTCAAGGACAAGAATGTGGTAGTCATTGGAACAGGATGCAGTGCAGCACAATTTGTACCGAAACTTGTGACGGAGTATGGTGTGAAGTCCGTTACCCAGCTGATGCAATCTCCACCATGGGTTCAACCAAAAATCGTGCCGCCGCTGGGAGACGAAACATGGAGTAAATGGTCACCAACACTAAATACTTACATACCTGGTTTTAACAAACTCCTGCGTCATACATTAGGTGCGGTGGCTGAATATGATTTCAGATTATTTCGACCTGGTTCTTTTGCTGAAAAGGAACGTAGAAAGATGGAGGCTAAGTGTTTAACTCACTTGAAAAGCAATGCTCCTGAGAAGTATCACGAGATCTTGACACCAAACTATGGAATTGGTTGTAAGAGAAGAATCTTGGATGCGAACTGGTACTCATGCCTAAACGATCCGAAAGTCAATCTGACAACTCTTCCGCTGAAGAGTATTGGAGAGGATACTGTGACTTTAGGGCCTGGTCGTAACTATCCACCCGAAGATGTTACAAGCTCTGCTCCAACAAACAAAATCACTATTCCTGCTGATATCATCGTTCTTGCCAACGGGTTCCAAACAACGAAATGGTTTCATCCACTGAATGTCTATGGTAAGGAAGGGCAAACATTACAGGACGTGTTTGAACGACGAGGTGGTCCTCAAATGTACATGGGAACTGCCATGGATGGATTTCCGAACTTCTTCACCTTGGTTGGTCCGAACTGCTTCACTGGCCATACATCCGTTGTTTATACTTCGGAAAGTATGGTAATTCAAGCACTTAACTTTATCAAGCCTTTACTCAACGGTGATGCTACCATAGTAGAGGTGAAAAAGGAAGCCGAAATGAAATGGACCAGTCAAATCCAGTCTGCGTTGAAGAAGACGGTGTGGGCAGACAGTCGTGCGAAAAATTGGTACCGCCGCGAGGACGGTTGGAATTCGAATACTTACCCGTATGCCACTCTTCTTTATCCCTAACCCTGTCCTTGAAATTAATCAACTGCAGATATACCCAACTCGATTATTTCTACCGCTGTTCCTTTCCAACTTGGAGACACTGGAACATAACATATACACGAAAGGGCCTATTGAAGAATTGGGTGAAAAGGACATTTGTTCTCCTAGCTTGCACAGTAGCATTTGCCGAAGTGTATAGTAAGAGAACGACTGGCGGTGGATTGGGTGCAAGTGAAGTTTTACGCAAATGGTTCAAAAAGGGCCTCCTAGCAACAGCATCTATTTTGACAAAGATAGGCACAAGTTTACGGTAGTGAGCCGTAACGAAGTCTCTTACAACATAACATGCAAGTCGTTATTTGGGATTGCGTAGCCCGTATACGTATATGAAGTTTGGTTACATGAAGATGAGCTAAGTACATCAACTTGACCGTGATTGCGCATAACTCGATGAAATGAAATGCTAGATTCTTATATTCACACTGCCGCAACGCCGTATCAAGCACTCTCCTATTATTTTCGCATTGTCAATTCTATTCTGTCGCCTTCTGTATCACCGTGGCTAGTCAAATTTGGTGCCAGGGCCTATAGCTATCCTCCATTTTCTAAGCATTTTGTTTTGACTCCTTGCAGAAATACTTGCAAAAGACGCTCCTCCTCTACATAATCTCTGGGTGTGAGTACGGGTGTAAACTGCTAGGGTCCAAATTTTACCCATTATGGGTCCCGCGTTCAATGGTTTTACGTATACAGATCTTAATATATTTGCTTGGAATTATTAAATAAATAATTCATCTACGGTATCAATTTTGCGTGATAATGCAGTACGGTTTAGCGATCAGGTACGTTCATTTATGTATCACCTACGGTCAACTTATTCTGTACGAAACACAGATACGTTCAGTATCTCGAGATGCGCGAGTTAACAATTGCGTACTCCATTATGCCATATCTCATCTTAAATTTATTTACGAGCCTATAAGTAAGTTTTAACCCCCCTGAGTTTTTGTCTTCTCATTCTGAACAACAACATCCTCAAGATCTCCATTCACAGCCCAAGTTATCTTCTTTCCCACACGAAAATATCTGATCACGAAAACATTCTACGAAAACTGCAAGAGTATCTCACAATTATCCTTCACCGAATTATCTATCAGCAAACATGTCAAATACAGGAAACATCGATGGAGTCACTAGACGTTTAGGCGATATCAGAAGACGCAACCGACCCAATCAGCGACGAAATCACAACCATGTTCCTTCGCGAGGTACTCCTGAAACTTCCCAAGTTCCCGTAGCTTCTCGCATCTCTACTTCTGCATCCCAATCATCCCCTTCCAACCCAAACGCTGAATCTCGATCAATGCACGGTCAGCGAGGAGCACTGCAAGAAGCTTCTGCTGTGACGGTTCAAATTTCACTACAGCGCGAATCGGTAGCCTTAGGGGACAGAGAACCTATCTCAAATGAACTTCCTATCGAAGACACCAGCCGTGTCCGCATTGAAGTATTAGAGAGCGAAGTTCACCAGCTACATACCCGCATTGACCAACTACAGATCCGCGTTTATCAACTACAGACAAGTATTGCTGAGCCGCCGACCCGCATTGAACATATACAAGCCAGCGTCAACCTATTTCTGATCCGTATCAATCAGCTAAAAAGCCGTGTTGAACAATTACAAGGCTGCATTGATCAACTCCCGACCCGTATTACTCAACTACAACCCCACTTTAGCCCTTTCCCGAGCAATTTCGAAAGTTTACAGGGTCGCATGTATCAATTGCGGGTTCGCGTTGATCATTTAAAGTCACGCATTGAACTATTACAGACTCGCATTGACCAAATGCCATCCCATCTTAACGGATTACAAACCCGCGTGGAACATTTACAGCAGGCACTCCTTGTCTTGCAGGACGAAACGAATGCGAACCGGGCCACTCCAAATAATCGTCCCACACTCTTCCCCGACTTCCCTCCTCCTATTCTAGAAAGACCTAGACTCAATGCAATTCTAGCTACTTATCAAAACAAAGTCTGCCAGATGCGCAAAACCGCTATTGAGAATCTTCTTCAGTCTGTTGATGGATCGTGGGAGAATATCGATCCGTGTTTTTGTGGTGATTCATATGCGCTTGTGACGGCTGCGGAGGAGTCTCATGCGCCTGCTAGGATGCCAAAGTGTGGTCATGTTTTTGGGAGGCCTTGTATTGCTCTTTGGTTGAAGGAGCAGAATACTTGTCCTTTGTGTAGGGATGAGGTTTATTTGCCTTCGACGGAGAGGGAGTATTTGATGGGTTATCGTTGAGTAGGGGGGAGAATGGATGGGTTGGTGGTTGGTGGTTGGTTTTGGGAAACACGTTGAGGGGTTAGATATTAGTGGTTGTTTGACATGGGAGGAGTTTTACTTACTTGTGATTTCGGATGTTATTTGAGGAGATAAGGATAGTTCATTGGCAACTTCCCAGAAAGAAGGATATGAAATGGTTTATTTTCGGTGTAGAGGGGACATATCGAATAGGAGTCGGGGAACAGGCAATGGGATAAGATAGATGAGATACCAATGTTAACAACGTCTTTAAATATCTTCTTTCTTACCTTGCATTATTTTAAAGATGAGTTTCTTATAGTCATTGTTTAGATTTGATATCGAGAATACGATTTGATTTCATAACTCATGTTCAGTGCATAATTTTATCTAGTTTTATGTGAAGTGCTTGTGGATATTTGGCGTGATGAAAGGGGTTCACATGAAAAATAACATGTGCAGAGTGATGGATACCCATACACGTCTAGTCGTTTGAGAGTACACCAGGGTAATGTGCTAATTGTAGAGATTTGAGTGGGGAATTATCTAGTAGATATATCTGGGAAATACTCCAAAATACCAAGTCTATACTCAGAACTACCGAATGTAGAATTCCATATCCATCAAGATTTTCATAGGCAAAAATCCGGAGGTACAGTCCGTGCCAACTCCTATCAGCCGTTTTCAAAATTAACAATTTACTACTTTTGTAAATATAAAAATCAATATTTTAAAATAAATATATTCAATTGAAAATTTGAATATTGATTTATTATATATTTAAGAATTTATATATTATATTTTTATTTAATTCAAAAGGTCGAAATATAGTTATTTATATAATTCAAAAAATCTTTTTAAAAAGTTTCTGATTTTCGCTTATTTTACTAATAAATATTCCAAAAAAATCTGATTTTTTATTATTAAATTTCATTTAAAAATGAATAAAGTGTTTAAAAAGTATTTATAAAAAATCAAATATAATAATATTAAATTTGTAAATGTTGATTATAGATTTCTATGAATTTTGGTGTAATTTATGAAATGGCTGATAGCAGTTGACTAGTACTGTAACTAAAACACCCGTGCAAACAGAGATCCAGATTTCCGATACTGCCCTTAAACTTGAATTATCTACAAATGCTTGATACGGTGGTGGATAGATAGTTTGTAAGTATCAAATATGTCTCCGGAGGAGCTTGATACATGATGCAGTACTGTTATACGCCGTATTGTAGAATGCTGTATCGAAAAGTGCTGTATTGGCATAATTCTCATGACCTCTTATACACAACGTCCTCTAACCTACCAGTATCCATTCTCATCCATATACTGCAGCCTTTGGAGAGACCGGAAATAATCAACAAACGGTAACGCATCAAACTGGATAAAAGCCTCATCTCAGGCATTAAGGAACCTCCTACAATTTCAAACATCCTCCCCATAGTACTAACAAAAGAGTCTTTCATAACAGTCATGCATAGACTTCGCGGTGTAATCCTTTCCTTAAATGAACCAAGACCTGCAGTGAGAAGAAGAGGTACAAACGGCAACGACCGAAACATGGAAGGGTATGAACAAATTCAGGAAGATGTCCAAGAAGCCGTTGACTCCCAAGACTCTGCGCCACGATTATCTTTAGATGACCATCTAGAACACCATCAGCTAACATTGCCAATGAATGGACTAGTCGATTCACGCCCGGAGTGCACCAATGATATCATCTCAAACGAGGAAGCTACACGGGAAAACACAACAGTCCAAAACAACACACACTCAATTTCCGGCGACGATATGGTAAGATCTTCAGCAAACCCATTATTACCACCTATGTACATTATGGGGTTATCTACTCCCGTGGAGATAGAACTTCTCATGGCAGAAGACTATTACAATGATCGTATTACCAGTCTGCAACAACGAGGACTAATTTCAATTGTAACCGAGCCAATCTCGATACCGACGGGAAAAGAAAATACTATTATGCAGATTCTCACACCGGTTACAAGCAGCGTAGATGAGCTTGAGGTTTGCTTCTGTGGAGCGCCATATGCGGATACAACATCAAAAATTGAGAACGATTCGCATGAGGCAGTTCAGATACCGGAATGTCCCCATATTTTCGGAAAACATTGTATTTTGCAGTGGTTAAATGAGAATCAGGTTCCGACTTGTCCGATGTGTAGGAAAAAGGTAACTTTGGCGAGGGATGTGCCGGGGGAGCGAATGGATGATCAAGAGTTGTATAGGGTCATTGATTACCATTATTCACAACCTGAATAGCATGATTAGATTACAGGTAATAGCAGAGGATGGATAGTGGTGGAACTGGGAGAATGGATTGTTGAATTAGCTGGCGGATAGTATCAATTTTGATCATAGTAGATGGAAGGGGCTACAGTAAATTCAATAGCAAATCAATGAATCGATATTTGTACTTATAATCGATGGATAGCTTTGCCTTTTTCTTGCAGATGTGATTTGAAGTGCAATTTTCACGCGATTGAAGTAACACAACTATTAGCAGAACTATCAAAATCTCTTGTCATCACTTGAGGCAGGCCTTCTTCATAGCCCTTTCGAAAATGACCAGCAACCGAAAATGGCCAATAGCGAACATGATGAGAACTATAACTAGGAAATTAGAATACCGTAAAATTTAGCGCACAGCCATAAAAGTGAGCAGTAATCATGTGCCTAACAACTATACGAGCGAGTTACATGACTGCAGTACTATTTTGACGCTAGTACATGTACACTAGACTGTACCAGCCCTTAAATTGTTATAAAAACATCACACCCCTCTTCAAAATATTCTCCATGATCTTACTACACATCAATATCTACAATCAGACCACTTCTATTTACCTGGCTTTGACTGACTGAAGATACCTCCAATCTTTAGATAATTGAACAACACTTCGATATTTAAGTCCTTATTCTGTTATCCAACATTAAAAAAACCCTTCATAAAAATGTCTGATTTTATGAACTATTTCCGTAGCGTCGGCCGCAACATCAACGGCGTTTTTCACAAGGGTGAAGGTCGCGGTTATAAACCCTCAGGAAATCCTCAACGCAACTTCGCCAGAGAACCGCCGGGCTATGATGAAGTGTTTGGACGAGCATCACGAGTTCCAAGAACTCAGGACGTTAACCAAGACGCGCACAATGTTCCCGTTGCTTCTCGGGCTTATTTAGCGTCGCAGCAAGTAACTATTCCCGTTTCACCCGCGGACACAAACCTACGAATTAATGCTGAGTCATGTATATATCGTGAGCAAGATGATACGACAATGGAAACTCCCCCTCAATCAAGAGAAGTTACTCCTGAACCAGAACTACATCATCTGGTAGATGCTATTGTAGCTCAGTCCGGTGCCCAACCAAGAATAGTCACTCCTGAGCTAGAAGTCCATCATTTAGAAGACGCTATCAGTGCTCAATCTACCCCTCGAGTCAGAGTAGACACTCCTCATCAAACTTTCCATCGTCTTCCGGGCTCGAATATTGATCGAGATACCCGGCTACAAGCAAGAATTTTCAGCAATCAAGAAGTACGCGACACAGTATCAAGGCTTCCACCCGCTCTTAGGTCTGCGTCCTTGCAAGAAAGATTTGGTAACCCTGGCCAGTCTACTTTACCACGAGTAGCCTTTCAAGCAAATGAATTTGAATATAGACATAGTGGTAGTGACACTGTTGAGCCATATTCAATGCAACCAAGAGCTGTAAGTGCTCCCCAGCCCGCTTTACGATCAAACATTCCGGTATTTGTCGGAACTGCTTCGTCGCAGCAGAGAGCTACATCGCAATCAAGTATTCCAATTGCTAATAGAGTGGCGTCGTCACATCAACGTGTCAGCAGAGCTCATCAGCCATCTCCTTCACGCGAAGCATTTACGACTTCTGCCCGGTTTCCCTTGATGAACGGACAAGATCCAGCCCCCTCAGAACAAGTTGCCTCAACTAGAAAGAGACATTGTCACAACGTGGTACCGGAAGAATTCGTCATCCCTAATCGATCTTCGCCAAGAGTGCATGGAACTCCCCAAGAAGGTTCATTATCAGGAGATCTTCATGCTCTCAAGTTGAACTATCCTTCTGAACGGGCCGGTAGACCAAGTTTTGCGACCCATAGGGAAATAACTAGTCGCCAAGCTACACAAAGTAATGGAACTAGTTCAAACACAGTAGCCGGCAACACACCATCAAATGCGCTTAAAAATACACACTACAACGGCATTGGCAGGTCATCAACTAGTCATCATGAAAATCATAGTGGTGCTTGTTGCAGTACTAGATCGAGGAGAGAACTTGCTCATTCTGAAAGCATCGAAAGTATGGATGTAGAAATGAATACTCCAACTACAGAACCTATTACCAATTTCTCTAGACCTAGAAATTCAGAGCCCACCACTACATCTAATTTTTCCCTATATCAGATTCAAAATGAGTATTTGGCCGAAGCATATATGAGACACACTGGCGGTCTAACACTTGCCCAACGAATGGAAGCTGAGCGACCTCGCCGCGGTCTACCTCGTTCACCTGGTATGTACAATCTTCCAACGGTAAATGATGAAATCAATCATCCCATTCACCCCGGTGACTTCCACAACGATGGATATCATCCTGTTGATAGGGATCCCGGTCGACATGAAGAACGCGCACCAGCTCCAGCAAACCGTCGAGCAGCTGGTAATTTGAGACAACGCCGTGCACGTAATAGTTACGCAAGTCGCCAAAGATGTGCTGCTCGCCATCGAGCAGCCATTGCTAGGGAAGAAGCACTCGCAAAGGATAATGAAAGTAAAAAGAGAAAGAGAGAAAGACAAAAATGCATCTCGAAGGTCCTAGGCCAAGTTAGTATGAACAATTGCTTCTGCGAGGACGGATATGATGATGCTGGCGAGCCTCATGAACCTGTGAAGATGCTAAATTGTAGGCATATCTTTGGGAGGAGCTGCATTACAGAGTGGTTGATGGTCCATAATACCTGTCCGCTGTGCAGAAGTGAGGTTCCTCTCTCACCTTAAACGGTCCATTTTGAATGAAGAGTATCCCAAGACCAATTGAGTTTGAATAAAGGACAGGTCGGAAAAGAAATGTTAGGGGATATTTGTTGACTGTCATGTGGATGAAGTTATTATGTGGTTTTACTGGATGGTTTTGATGCAAGATGAAAGGGTTTGGGAAAGCTAGTTTGCGATGAATTTTAATGACTGCTCGCCGCTCGGGCTAGTGCTTGAAAATAATCTGGCTTCAGATTACAAAACGGAGAAGTCGTAGTGGGAAGGGAGGGAAGTTAGTTGCGAAGGAAAGATTCACCAACCACATTGGCGAAAGATCACGTGAATAAGGATCATGGAGTTGTGGTTTAGCATGGACTTTGCCGTGTATTCAGTATTTATTATGTTTTCATTAGTATTATGGCAAAAATTTGCCAAAAAAAAATCTTTTTCCTATGTTTTACATGCTAATTAAAAGATTGGATATACCTCCATAATTACTAAACGATGCACGTGATTTGCATACAGTGACTACTAAACATTATCCATGCCTCGGAGCTATTTGTATATAACTATGTGTGGATTTCTGATTCGTAACTGTAGTTCCAAATTTTGATCTCATATTAAATGAAAATTGACGGGTGATATGTAATAGAGGAGCCTTCTAATATAGTGCAACGGACAAGTCAAGCATACAGCAAGTGTAAATATTTACTAGGATTAATCGAAGTGATGGAAGATTTATATAACTAAAGGGTTGCAGAGAGAGAATCAGTGTTTCTGAGGTATAGAGACCTAATGCTTATTCTTAACTACGAAGCATAGAGTATGGATACTATCTAGCGATCTTTGATGTGATTTACATATATTCTTTTGATTTCCTCATAGTGTAAGTTGTGAAAGATTCCAAGGTTCTTTTAAAGTCTCCTAGTCCTTGGGCACTTCAAAATATTCATGTTTTATATAGACGGTGAGTTACAGTAATCAGCGGGTAGAGCCTTGGCTTCCTTGAGGGAAATAAAAATCCCAGAGTGTATCCTGTCTTCTATTAAAGCTGTGTCATATTTTCCATTTAATTCCAATGAATAGCATTTGCTGCGTTGGTTACTTTACAAGTGATACAAAAAATGTGCAGTGTTAAAAGAGTACGACGACAAAGCTAGCTAGCTATTATTTGTGATTCTGCAAGTGACTAAGTGACATATTGCAAGAGGCGGCTGGGGACTATGACATTGTGTATATCATATATAGATAGGCATTGATTTTCTAATATATAAACCCCCCATTTTCAAAGATTCACTACTATCTATAAGACCAGTTGGCGACCAATACCACTCCTTGACAGTTCTTGCTGCCGTAATTTGATGGTACTACACCACACGCCGGGCGCCCACATCCACTTATTGCAATATTTCTTACAGCCTCCTTATAAAAACCTCATTCACAACAAAAATCATCCTCTATCTTCAATCAAGTAACTTTATTTCTCAAATCATAAAATACATGATACAACACATATAAAACAACACAAAGAAATCACAATTTACCTTCGAATCCCAAATATCGAAACATCCAAACGTCAGAACTATGCCATATGGGGAAGGTAGCGGGTCTGACCCTGCAGATCCAGATTATATCGAATATCAAGGTGCTGCTGAAGATGCTGCTGATCCTGTTGAGCTTAGTGACAGTGTTTACGACGGGGACCTCTCAGGTGATCTTACCGATGACGAGCACCAAGATTCTGAGCTTAGTGAGCGTCTTGAACAAGAAATTTCGGATTATTTTTCGCGGAATACAATGAACAGGCAGCACATTTTTGAGGCTTTTAGAATTTACGAGTCCATTTTGCTTGAGCATCATGGTAGAAGCACTAGCCGGGAAACTAGGGCGACAGGGTCCAGAGAGCAAGTAGATGGATTCTCGGATATTTTCATGAGTTCTTTGGGACATTTCATCAATCCAGAAATCAACCTTGGAACTAGAGATCAGGCTATCGACAACCTTTTGATTCCAGCACCTGCTGATGAGACGCAAGCAGAATCGGAAGTATGCCCCATCTGCAATGAAATATTCGACGCTACAACGGAGGATGGTAAGAGTCTTGCCAACCATGAAGCTTACATGTTGCCCGACTGTAAGCATATTTTCGGGAGGAAATGTATCGACAAATGGCTCAAGGGAGAGGAAAAGAACACTTGTCCAATGTGCCGCGCCAAGGTCGAACTTCCTTCTTCCCACGCTTCAAATACTTTTTCTGCGCTAGGGGACCTAACGGCTGGCGTGGATCGGTAATGGTCAATCTTATTTGGGAATAATTGTTGGGGATACTCATAGTTCACGGGGTAGGGCAATATTTTGTATCTGGAGTGGTGAAAGCTGGTATTTTGGTGAGACTTGAGGAATTATTTTTCACAAACAGAATTGAATAGTTGAGCAATGATTCTGGAGAAAGAAAACAGGAGCAGAGAACAACAATTTTATCAGAAATTCTTTAATTGAACTATCTACTAAGATAAAAGTGAAAAATCATCCTATATACCTGGACGTCGAGACTAGAAGCAGTAAAACAATTCATATCCACCACTCCACACTACAAGAGAAGATTAGAAGCAGAAATGAGGAAAGAATAGTAATACATGTATTTAATTTAGTTCATAGACCAAATTAAAGACTCACCGGAGGTCTCTAGATAGCCAATAAACTAGTTATCTTCCAATACCCCTTCCAAATAAAGTTTTAAAGTCTTGATGATGTTTCTCAATACAGTTTTAGGATTATTTTTGAATGATCAAAGTTGAAGTTAGTAGAGCTTTTGATTTTTTAAATTAGAAGTGAGTTTTAGTACATTTAATTCACACCTACGTTAATAACTGCTTACAAATGGATGTAAGGTTTAGAATTGTCTTATCAACAAATCTATTTCTTAGAATTTGAAGCTAGTTATCTCTAAAAGGAATAAAGCTTCTCTAAACGCCTCTATTCAATGAGTGATTACGTGTCTGAGATATTTCAAGAAACAAATTGGATTGTATAGAGGCAAATGACATTGATTTAAATATCTGAACAGATTGAGGTTTGAAGGACTTAAAGTATAGGACAGGCTATAATTAGTCCCTCGCTTACTTTTTAACTTCATAATTACATCACACATTTCATCTCATCACCTCGGCAACACCACACCACAACCCCGAACCCACAACGACATTTGCAACCAAATACCAGGCAAGCAAAATTCCCCAGCGCAAAACATTATTAAAACTATACTGAAACTTGTAGGATACAAAGATATTCAGGAAAACTTCATGTAGCCCTAAACCCAATTACAACTTCATCCACATTCCCATTACAGACCAAAAGAATATTTTACCAAGACCACATAAATTTGGAGTCATCCGTCAAAAAAATCACATAACTTCAATTAAATCCACGCTTGTACAATATCAACTCCTCGACAATAAATAAAATCTGAATTCATCACATTGTCAAAATATATCGGACAGCGGTCGGGCTCTCTTTCTTGGCACGGAAACGAAGGGAAATACACGAAGAACGAGGAATATCGACTTTAGCGAGAGGACTTGAACGGGTATCGCCGTGGAAATCCAAAATATAGCATTCGACGGGACTAATGGACACGGGTTATCAAAGATCTAATTAAACTCGGTCGAAGCTCGATACCCAAGGAGCAGCATCGAGCTACGAGAGCAATTCAATCGCCAGTTCTATTCCGACATCAAGTTTGGCTATCGCCAGGGAGAGTTTTTGTGAAAATAAAGAAAAATATGTGCTATATGAAGGGACTCAAGGTTTCACTGCGATGCCTGAGCCTAGTTTGGACTCTTCGTCGTACTAGTTTAACTTGGTATACAGTCCTCCTAATTAAGATCCATCATCAAATATAATCCCTAAAAGCCTTCAGCAAAATGAAGGGCTGTATAAACAAAGCGGCAAATTTAAGATTCTTTCTGCGATTCAGACAGATCAACAGGGAGGGTCAGAACTTCGTGCGCCACACGCATCTCAATGATCCTATTCTGTATCAACCATCCCTCGTCTAGCACTAAACGGACTTATTTCACGAGAGAGCACGCAATCATACCAAGTATTAGTCATGCAGACGGACTAGCCTCGCTATCCATTTTTACCATATGGGTCTATGAGGATAAGTCGAGGGGATGTCAGTGACAGGCAAGCCAGGTTCAATGGCGTATCATGGAATTCGTCTCAAACTTGTGCACTCCAACAAATGACGGACGGAATGATAGATGACCCTCAGGCAAACTTCTCGCTTCCTACAGTAGATCGTATCTCATCTCAAAGAACAATCTTCCGGGCTACACCAATAAAAAGACATCGAGAGTTGCTTCAGTCTTTTCGTGAACCAAGGGGATACCCGCAAGGACAAGATTAGAGGCTGCGGAAATTGATGAAAATGCAGAAATCAACCAAATGCCTGGCGCAAACAACGTCAGACCGCTACCATCAACACAGATTGCAGAAGCTGTGGCAAGTGAAGCGAACGATGCGAGGGCACAGATATAATCAGACCGTTGATGCGAGGGCATGTTGCGGATTAAATGGCGCTATATAGAAGACGAAATCAGCACTCTTACGATGTAACACTCAAACGGATCAATGAACTTCTTGTTTCTGGAAATGCCAATGATTCGGATGTCTGCCCTATTCCGAAGAGACATATACTGCACCCTTAGAGGCTCCAACCTATATCACAGAAAGGCACACGAGCCCAAATTTTCGTGGAGACTATACTACAACCCCACATCCCTGTGACGCTCATGACGCCTGTGCTATGCCAGATTGCCTACATGTCCTTAGCAGAAGAGAAGCTGTATTATTAAGTGGCTGAGTAACCACGACACCTGTCCATTTTTCCGGAACATGAAACTTCCATGGATGATTTGTTTTAACGATGAAACTTCAGATAGGTGGTGCTTGAAGCGAGTGATTGGGAGAAGGTGTAACGAATATATTCTTGAAATCGTGGTCCACAACCTCGTGCAATTCAGTCTTGTCGGCGACCAGGTTAATTTCACTTCGCTATTCGTCAGAACAAAAATTCAACTTTCCGCATCATTATCTAGGGTTGAGCAAGGCTTTATGGCATTTCACAAACAATAAAAATGTTAGCGTGTGTTTTCTAATCGGCCTCTGATTGGCTCGTTTAGCGATGACTTCGTTAAGCGAGAGTGGAGAACGACATGCAGCGGTGATTGGCAGATGGTGATGGCTAGCTATACTGTAGCTTGATAGGGTCTATCAAGAATGGTTCTTTACTTTTTCTGCTTTTCTTTTGGGGTTTTGGTCGCATGGTCAATTTAATTGATGAGCGGTGGGCATTGCCCCAGCGAATTAGAAGAATATTTCTTCTTATTATTAATGTTATACCTGATTCAGCTGTATGACTCCAGGAAAAGCGATGGTACAAATATATAATTTTTAATAAAAAAAGTATCAAGCAGGTTTTCAAATTTACTAACATGAAATGCTCTTATGTTATTCTATAATTATAAATCTATAAATAAAAAACAAATAGATTTAAATTATTCAATTAGATATTATAAATTCATTATTTGAATATAATTAATACTTTATATAAAATCAGGATGAAATTATTGAGAATTTTAATTCTTAGTATCGTACATTCCATCACTCTTATCCGATATTAAAAATACTCATAACGCTCCGCGAGAATTAATACCGTATCACTTCCTACCTACACCCTCTACCCTCATCCGATCACTAATCCCAGCCCAATTTTCATAATTATTCACTTAATACTATTCCACTACCGTTACCTCAACGGTTTTTCTATTTGCTAGGTACTACTGCAAGGCTGTACTTTAGCAAATTTTAATTTGAATAAACACAACACTAAAAAGATAATGAATGATACGGTAACGATGCGGTAACGGTACCTTACAAGGCATCCCTTTAAATAAATCTCAAAGTCCATCCATCAAAATCCTCTTCCTGTCCATTCATTAAAACTCCAGCTACCATCATCAACAAGTGCACAGAACTCCAACGAAAGTCCGATTTTCAAACACACCACAAGATCACTTCCGTGCCATCTAAATCACAGACATCATGCCTGTACAAACATTCTACACGTCCGTTGCACCCCCACCAAAGTACAATTTCAACCGTCCCGGGAGCACAAGAATCGCCAGTGCACCAAATCTATTGATCTCTACCGAATCACATGGAATAGGACTCAAAATCATATCGCCCGGCGGGATCATGTCACCCGAACACCCAGAATTCGACAATATTGTGCGTGCAGCCATCGATATCGCGAGTGATGGCGCTCCGAGATTATCCGTTGGCAAACTCTATTTCAATCCTATCCTCCTTGAAGAAATCCGAGATGTAACTTTGGTCAGTCGTGATGGAAAGGAAACACTGTTATTTGTCGAAATATTCAGCGGCCATAAGTATCGATTTAAAGCCATCAAAGACATGCTCCAATCGGTCGATGCTGCAGTGTTGGATTCGGATAAATGTAGTATTTGTATGGAGCCGTATGATGCGGCTGATGCAGATAAATTCAACGATCATAGAGCATCCAAGTTGCCCGAATGCGGACATATTTTTGGTCGAGATTGCATCACTAATTGGTTGGAGCTGAACGACACATGTCCGATGTGTCGTGAAGAAGTTGAACTGACACTTGAATTTGATCTACAAGTATGGGTGGATTGTGACTGGCAGATGCTTTAGTCGTTAAATTGTCTATGGGCGGTTAGGATTTGAGGAAAGATCGATTCATCAAGTGCATTTCCTTTCAGTGTTCGGAATTCGCTGGTAGAGATGCCAGTAGATGTAAAATAGTGGAACAAAAATATGTGAAAGATCTGCTATATGCCTTTCCGTGAACAAGTTGTGACTAACCAAAAAAATAATAAATTTTCAAATAACTCGAGATAAGTTTTCAAGCATAAGATATTAAAGCGTTGATAACCCCCATTTTCATACATTTCAAATCCCAAAACCCTATCAACGAACTCGAAGTTATTTTCTCATTTGCTCTCAAACATCCTATCATTTATAACTAAATTGCAAATATTAAATTCTGAAAAATTCTTTAATTTTATAAGAAGCATTTATTATATAATTATATAATATATCACTCAAATAATCTTTTATATAGTGACCGTGTATTATTATTAACCATAGACTTTTTTTATATCAAAACTCACTCTTTTCATTTATTTATATTAAATATTTTATAAAGAAATCTCTTTATGTTTAAAAGAATTCATTTAAAGAATTTATATTTTTAATTTTTCTAAATTTTAATTATTGATTAATAAAGTTCTATAACTTTAAATTTCAAATTTTGAAATTTTCCTCATTTTATTACAAAAATTGAATCAAAATTTCATATAATCATTTTCAAACTTAATTATATTATTTTAAAAAATTTCATCAATTTTTTATTATATATTCTATTCGAAATATATTAATCTTTTGATTTTGATCTTACTTTTATAGTAATCAAAATTATTATAATTTTGTAAAATGATTGAGTTTTGGTATAAAAAGGCCATTCGGCTAGTAGCAGTGCGCTAGTACTCATATATTGAATTTCTAAATATCAAAGATAATCTATCTACCCAACACATTATAATAAAGGAAAGCGGACTCCGATATCACAATGACGGAACACATTAATGGGAAATAGTTTCGTATTCTAAAAGGAACCTTGAAACGAATTTGAGATACATTTATGAAAACAGTAAGATTCGAATAATACAAACGCTAAATGTTCTGAACTGCAGCGATCCTATCGTGTAAACAGATCTCATGGATGTACGGCACCAAACCTCTGTATACATAATTATGTGTGATATTTATGGAGGCGCAAGTTTATGACTATGATGCGTATACGTACCGTATCAATGATTTTTGTTGTTTACAATTAGCGCTGGCGGTAGGAAGTATGTGTAGAAAGTATGCGTAGGAATTATGCGTGTTGAGGTTGTTCGCGCGTCTATATATTATCACTGGCTGTATAGGAGAACCGTATTGTATCTACTTGCATCCTCGAGTACTTAATAGCCAACCACTGCCCCTCCAATGATCGTTCATACATTTTCACCAAGACATTGATAGCGATACTTCGATCACACCAATCAACTTTGTCATAATCAGGGACTCCTAAAAAATATCAAAAGCTTCAGTACTACCTCAGACCAGTCTTCCATTCGCTGTGCTTTCAATTCTTCTTAGCGACACCGACGAGCACTTGTCACTATGCCTTTACTCAATTGTATTCGTGAGAATATCAAAGCTCGTGCTGAGCGTAAACGCCAAGCTATCAACGAAATCAACAACTCTAGATTTGAGAACGAAGACACTTCCTCTGGAAATGTTGTCAAACAGAACACCGATATTCTTGAGGAAGCTACTTCATCTGAGGAGCGCACATTTGGGGAAAATTTGACGTCCTATAACAACCGACTAATGCCGCAACATACTTCCAACATTGATTCTCGAGTCACTGAAGAGAGCTTTGTATCTAATTCTACCTCTGCTTCGGCCATCACAAATCATGAGACACTCAGTAATCGGCCCTTACAGTCCACAACACTTCGTGGCCCTGCCCTAAATAATGACTTGAGTGAGGATCATGATAGTGGAGATGCCAAGTATGATGATTCGTCCACTGAGTCACCATCCCCAGTCTCCAAAAGCCACGTTCACTCCAACATGTCTTCTTGTACATCCATCACACGTAGTAGTAGTCCTCAAACCAACGGCCTCCGCCGTCAATGGATGAATAACCGTCGACGAAATAACCACCGCTTTATTCCAAACAGCAACAATAATTTATCGTTAGAGCACCATGACAACTTCGGTGCACCTCTAGAGAGAGTTAACGCGAGACAGCGCATTCCAACCTTGAGCACCGAGACACAAGATCAGGTTGATAGCCAAGTTGTAGGAAATTTTGCACAACCTCATTCCGGCTTCGAGGGAGAGAATCCAGATTGCGAAGATGCCTGGGCCAACGATAATCGGCCACCAACAAGTTATCTGGCGCCAGTCATTGATTTACCTCAAGCCCCCATTTTACACCCTCAACTTTCGCCGCCTCAAAATCCTCATCGTCAGACCCATGTCCACCGCGCTATTGTTTCCAATCGAGGCCCAAACAACCCTGATTTCTAAGACACCACTTGAGATACTGCAATCGAGCAAGTTCTCACCCCAGAAGCAAATACGGAAAGAGACTCGTGTGTGATCTGTGAGGATCCTTACGATGTGGCAGAACATCGACCTGTTAAGGTGCATGGTTGTGCTCATGTTTTCGGTGAGTTGTGTATTAAGAGATGATTGAAGGAGAATCACAATAATATGATTGTCCGATGTGCATGAACTTTGTTGATATTTTCAAAGTTCGATCAGCCTAAGATTTTGTAGTTGGGTGACATGAAGAGATCTCTGTTAGCTGAGTGTTAGCAAATGGTGGAGGTGGGGAGGAAAGGATACTGTAAAAGAAAGATTTTAGACCTTCGCATGAGGGATGGATTTGGAGGTTCTCTGGTCGGATAGACAAAGGCGGAACGGAGTTCATTGTTTTCCTGATTTTTTGCGTGTTGTTTCCGCATCAACTATTCTATGATGATGCTGCATATACCCACATTGAAATGCGAAGTATCTGTTTGAGCATCTGGGATATGATGATTTCCGCTCTTATTCTGGCAGGATGGAGATAGGACTAGATGTTTCCGAATGATGATAACAAATAAAAAGACCACTAGAGTAAAGGCTTTCGTGAGATTCAATGACTGTGAATATGTGAGCAGTAATAGTGAATATATTATGAAGTCCACTAATCTGAGTAGTTGGCATGAAATATTTGGAGAGATGATAGAAGAACATGGCAAGAACCACCAGATGACTGGGCTCTTTCTCCATCGCCATTCATAAATGATTCTCTCTTTGAAGAACACTACCACTATGATGGATAGTAGCATGATCAAGATCGCAGAGTTAGTCACATCCTAAATCTTTGACCGAGCGTTATGTATTGATTTGACTATTTTTTGTGAGGTAAATGAAAATTTCCTCGTTCCGCATCTACTTAATTATTCGATGTGTATGCAATAACTGAAACCCTGGAGTAATGATGTGCCAAATCCCTCTGTAAGTGTACATAATGAGGTTTTGTAATGAGGAAGGTATGGACCACGAGCCACGATGACATCTGATAAAATGCAAGAGCATTGCTTTTTAAATCCCTTCCGATTTTTTATTGAAAAGGCAAGCACTAACAACATGGACACTGTTATATTCATGGAAAGTCTCATAGTGGTTGTGAATTTTCATTCTACTTAAAATTATACTAAGTAAGACGCTTAGTATTCTACTTTTGAGATACAATATGCCCAACGCTACTCCTCCCCCGAAAAAAAAACATAATGCGGTTACAATTTACCATGCCCATATCCCAAGGTATCAAAATGAAAACCAACACCTGAGCACATTTTCCTTCTCTTCCAAGTTCCAAAAATCCTTCTATTCTCCCGTCAATTTTTCAATCTCCCAATACAACCTGCCCGATTCTGCAAGTCGGAACTATTCTGTTTATCCTCCAGTTAAGGAAAGATGAGGAGTGGAGGTTGAAGACCCTGTTCCCTTCTAGCATCCCTATTAAAAGCTCGTTGAGCTCTGTTCGGTTTCCCCTTGTTCCAAGGCTGGTCGTATCGCTCCCGGCGCTGTAAAAGATATGAGCATATAATTAGAAAGGCAATAGAAAGACATTAGTGAACATAAATCAGCATCTATATCATTACTCAAGGGTTCACTTTCCTCTGGAAGATCCGAATCTTCCGATGTTGAGTCTGCAAGGCGCGAGCGCACTTCCCTGTCGTGCCGTTTGTCATCTTCTATAGATTTCTGTACCAGGGTACTAAATGGAGATACTTCGACCTCGCCGGTGATTCTTGTAGAAGAATAGATTGGAGAGGCAAACGAAGAAGGATAGGTCTCCAATCTGCTTCTACCCCTATATTCTTTGATAAAGAGTTCGAGTTTCTCCAAAAAGTCCTATCTCTCATTAGCCAACTATTTGATATCAAATCAAGTGACATAAGCAGTTCAAATATAAAATTGTAAAAGCCACTTTGGTGGGCTTTAAGTTCCAGTTAGTTGAAGCTAGCTACAGCGTCGTCTTCAGACACCGAGCTTTTCTCTTGAAGAGACCCCAGAAACCCAAACATAAAACATTGAAAATAACATGTACTGTATAGACAACAAAGCTACATTGATGACACCTTTGAGGCATGTTTTCGTCGCCGCCAGTTGAGAAAAGTTGGATTCAAGACCAAGCCTTAAGACCTAAGTAGCCACAAGTCTTTGAATACTTGCATAATTGGTAAGGTAAGTGCGCAACAGCGAAGCTTATTCTTCACACTCCTGCTGCAGAAAGTATAATCCTAAACTCTATGCACATGCACAAGCTGTAAAATGAATGACGTGTTTCTTAGCGCCGGTGTTTGAACGTTTGAAAAAGCTTAACTTGTGCCAGTGGAGCCCTAGACTAAATGAACGACATCACTCAAGACAGGTATAAGAAAAGTGATCAAAAGCCGCGAGCCAAGTGTGAATCGGATTCAAATACAGAGAAACTAATGATACGGTTTTCAAAGGCCGTACTGAATACTGATATAGTAGTTTTGACGGTTCAAAAGTAAGCCCTATCCGAATTCAGACATTGTAGTCTCAATTTAAGCGAGCAAGAGAAAATCGCCGCCGATCTCCCAAGTGATAAATAACCGTTAACATCCTCACCTCTGATATTTTATAACTTCCACCACAAAAGCTTTTACAAGAATCATGAGAATAACCAATCTCGAGGTACAACTATCCACAGGAACTTCATTTTCCTTAAACTTCTAATAATAACCTGAACTCCCAACAGCAGGTTTCAATCTTCCTGCCAAATTCTAACCATGGCACGAATGCTCGCTCCGATCGTTCGTTACAACGATGTCCAATGGCGCGCAATAAAATCCAGTACGTTTGCATACTTCAACTCGCAGTCTTCAATCTCAATCATCTTGTCACAATAAAGCCATTTAACTAACACAAAAGTAGAAGCAAATAACAATCATCCATCTCTCAAACCCGAAGATATCGAAATCATCAAAGAGGTTATTAGGGTTCATAATGCTATTTGTATGTCCATCCACTGTCCATCTGTGACACTATTGCCGCGTCAACCCAGGTTTCCACATATCAATGACCTTGAGAGCAAAACTAATGTGCAAATTACAGTAAATAATACAGATCCAACGCCTCTTTCACAATTCCAAGATTCTATTAGATATGATGAAAGACAGGTTATCAAGTACTTTCTTTGGAGTAAAAGTACGTATTTCCCAATTCTTTACTTTAATGTCCCGAAAGGACATGGCATCATTTTTCTCTTCTTTGACCCATCCAAAGCCTAAAGATTCCCGCTAATCCACCAGCAGCAAGAGAACACAACAGTACACTCACCCTTATCAGCACCTACTATCTTCCCAAGCGTCGTCCTCAAGGTGGGGTTAGTAAGCAGCAGAAACAAGCAGATGAGGCTATGAGACCAAGAAGAGATCCGCGCGGAACTACATATGGATTCGTGAGACGACCCGAGAGAAGGGTTGATGATGCAGCTGTAGATACTGCTGTGGAGAATGGTGGATCGGAGGGCGTAATTGGAGTAGGAAGTGAGGTCGCTGAAAATGGGGGAGGTGAGAGTGGGATTGGAAATGAGGCCCCAGCCATGGGAAGTAGCCCGCGTGCGAAGCAAAATCCTGCTGGGAAAAACAATCCGGGTGGAAAAAAGCAGATGCTACGTTTGAAATTGAGATCAAATACCAGCAATGAGTTTCTGAGAAGGAGCGAAAGAATAGTTGGAGGAGCCGCTAAAAAGAATTTCGACATCAGTATGGAGGGTATTAGAGAGGTCGCTATGAACGAGGATACGAGCACGACCAACGATATGAGAAGTTCAAAAAGATTTCAGGATTCGACGGATTCGGCAGATTCAACGGGATCGATGGGATCGAGGGGATCGAGCAACTCAGCTCCGAGTGATGAAACGAATGATACACCTATCGGAAACGATACCATTTCCAACAACACGTACGCATCACCATACATCCCTCTCAACACGGCCTACAAATCACCATATACACCAATCCCCGAGATCGACGACAAGGCTCCAGGTCACGAAAGTACTTTCTCAGCGGAGGATGTTGATAATACATATGATTCTAGTTTTGTCGCAGAAGGCAAGAGTCAGGGAAGCAATAGTAATAACACGGTTTTGGCTGAGGATCCCGAGGAACATTTTCCTCCTGGTATGACTAATAAGTTACCCTATGATCCATTTTCGAACGCTGGCTATCAGTTTGAAGAACGCGATAGTACTATTTCGGCCCTGGGTGCGGATGAGCGCGATAATGCTCGGTTTGAAGATATGGAGGTAGATGGGTAGATTGGCCGCAGAGAGCCCACTCCGCCTGCACAAAGTGCGAATGAAATTCTAGCAGCTTATTCTTACAAATTGGTTGATGAAGCGTTAGATTCGGTGGCAGACTCAGACGGGGTTTAATAAATACAGCGCTAGTGTTGATAGCAAGTATGATGAAGATATAGACATGGCTCGGCAAGCTTTAAGATTTGAATACAAGGTTATGCAGGCTGGATTGTAGAGCTAGACGCAATAATGAAGATTAAAGTAGACAGCTAGGATAGAAAATGTTTGTTAGATTATGGCAATGCAATAAAAGGATATAAACTGCATGATGATGAAAGGATAATAGATTCAAGGTACTGTGCAAATTCTAAGATGGGAAATGAAATAATGATACACAGTGATACTTTATCATGAACCTGTATCTCGAACATTTTGATTCATGTGATGATTAGAAAGTAAGAAGTAAAAATAAAAAAGCATACAAATCCAATAATCTCTTCTAATATTTTCCCGAGTGAAAGTAAGGAATGAGAAGCTAGATCACATAAACATTTATATGAAAAGAGATAGTAATAAATAATAAATCCTAAATCCATAAAATAATCCTCCACCAAAACAAAGATTCCACTCCCGACTCCCTTTAAAATCTAATCAATGCTCGATTTTATTAAAGGCCTGAACCTGGATCTAGGGAGGGTATCTCAAGACGGATCAAATTTTCAATTATTAATATTCTAACTAAAGTAGATAAATACTGGGATATAATATAATAGTAGTGTTGAGATCGGTATGCGGGTCGTTCTTGAGGCCAAAGGCGAGGGGAAGGGGGGTTTGTTTGTGTTGACATTTTGAGTTGGTTGCTGGTTGATGCTTGTTGGCAGAGAAGAGGGGGGGACTTTTGAATGTAAATATAAATATAAATATAAATATAAATATAAATATAAATATAAATATAAATATAAATATAAATATAAATATAAATATAAATATAAATATAAATATAAATATAAATATAAATATAACAATATTAAAAAAAAATTAATAAAAAATATATAAAATAATAAACAAAAAAAAAAGTATTTAAGAATTCTACTCAGATTAACTGATCATCTAAACCCAATGAGTACTTCATATCGAGGAATTCTGAACTATTGATTGATTGATTCACCCCCAACCCAAACCTCTCTACTCGATATTTCTATTATTTGATATTGTGTACGACTTTGAAGGGAATATGAGATAGGGTATATTTATACTAATCTTACGACTAGAAGCTTAGATTGGAGGTTCTATGCAGTAAAGTAGGTGATTCCGAACCATCATTTTACAGTGGAATGAATCACCAAGCCAAACTCGGCATCATTGTCGAAATCATTTTTCGTGTATTGGAAATATGTATACAAATTTGCAAACGCAACGCTGTGATATCTAAGTCATATAATATTTTGGTCCGCCTGAACCTTCTGGGACACTCCAATTGATATCTTGATCCGGAACCTTGATATCACACGTCTTACAATGAATACAACTAAGAGGATAATTAGTGTCGCCATAATTTATAAAGGAAGAGAAGAACTTACTTTTGAGCATTAATTTGGAACCTTACTCCAATATCCTTTGTTGAATCCTCAACATATTCATACACACCAGCTGGACAAAATCTATTTTCAATGCCTTTATATTTTGGATACTCCATTTCCGCATGTTTATCCCAATCCTTGACCTGCAAATGAACTGGTTGATCTTCCTCGTGATTTGTACCTGTGCGACTAACACTTGTCAAAATATCAAACGAGATCTTTCCGTCAGGTTTCTCGTATTCAATCTTTGTACATTGATCGGCAAGTTTGGTGGCTGCGGCATCGGTGGTTTTATGTTTCAATGTCCAAGGCACTTTACCCTTGAGAACGAAAGCTTCGAGTCCAGAGTACATAATACCACCGTATAGCTTTAATGGTGAATGGAATGATGGTCGCATATTTCGGACCTCCTTTAATTCTTTCCAGATGTATGATTTCCGTAATGAATCTTCATAATCATATAGAAAAACGGAGCCCTCATCATTTTTCTCCAAGGCGGTCCACGTTGCCTCTGCAGCGAGCATTCCTGATTTCATGGCTGTGTGAGTACCTTTGATTTTTGGAACGTTGAGGAATCCTGCAGTATCACCAATCAAAGCCCCACCAGGGAATGCGCACTTCGGTATCGATTGGAATCCTCCTTCGTTAAGAGCTCGAGCTCCATAAGAAATACATTTGCCACCCTCCAAAACGTCCTTGTAAAGGGGATGATGCTTCATCTTTTGAAACTCCTGATAAGGCGACAACCAAGGATTTGGATAATCAAGACCAACAACAAGTCCTATACTGACTAGATTTTCACCGAAATGATACATCCAACCACCACCATAAGTATCTGCTGGGAGAGGATAGCCCAAGGAGTGAACAACTTGGCCCTTCTTGAACTTTTCCGGTTGGATTTCCCATACCTCTTTTATACCAAGACCATAAGTTTGTGGTTGACTATCTCTACGGAGGTCGAATTTCTTGATGACTTGCTTCGTAAGACTCCCATGACAACCTTCCGCGAACAGGGTTATTCTTGCGTGAAATTCCATTCCTCTTTCAAAACTATCCTTAGGTTTGCCACTTCTTGAAATACCCAAATCATTAGTGGCCACACCTTTGACAGATCCATCCGTCCCATATAACACTTCTGCGCCTGCAAATCCAGGATACACCTCAACACCGACTTCCTCTGCTCTATCCCCAAGCCATTTTGTGAATTGATTAAGACTGACGATGTAATTGCCATGATTGTTCATCTGCGGCGGCGCAGGTATTGGAATTGAACTACCCTTTGTAAGGAATCGCATCTTGTCGCCCGAGACGGGAGTAACATTTTCGAATTTGTTCTCGTTGTCCTCTGCGAGCCAATCCGGAAACAATTCATTGATAGCCGTGGGTTCAATGACAGCCCCAGAAAGTATATGTGCGCCAATCTCACCAGCCTTCTCCAAAAGTATTACTCGAAAATCTTCATTACCTGCTTCATTTGCGAGTTGCTTTAATCGAATTGCAGCACTTAAGCCAGCAGGGCCTGGGGATGTTAATAGAATTCATTGGCATGTGATAATATTCTTACCTCCTCCAACTATACATACATCGACCTGATCGGACTCCCTCTCCACCAATTTTGGATCGAAATCATCGTTGACATCTGCCAACCGACGGGGCACTGTAAAAGAAAAGGCACGCCGTTGACCAGCGATTAATGATGAGGCAATGCGGGGTCGTAATGTGGGATGTGTAGAAGACTGTTGATGAATTCGCGGACATTGAATCGCAATCCTGGAAACGTTTTGTCGCGCGACGTTACGCTGCAGACATGCCTTGACAGCCCTTGAAGAAGACATGGTAGTAGTTACTGTCACCTCATATCAATAGTTGAATGTTTTTTAAAAAGTGCAATGGTTTGATTTGCCTCTTGACTCAAAATGCACCAGAGTTCGGGGAAATTCTTCAAAGCTTCTCATCTCGGCAATGCAATAAAGCTGGAACCTCGGGCCAATCAGATGTCATTCGAATCAAAGCCATTTTCAATTGAATGCAGGAAATTGATCAACAACATCATCAATATTATCATGAAAGCGACAGCATGTTTTCAATGTATGAGTCGAATATACTCCCGACGTACTTATTCGAACACGAATACGTGGTAGGGACTCTGAACGACGCGGGAAAGATCACAATGTGATTCGGTAACGAATGGATGTCTCCATGTCTCATGAATGTCGCCATCGTCGGAAGCGGAATACCGGAGTTGCAAACGAACAGGAACTTCACCCAAGATCCAAGATTCATGTCATTGATCATCACAAATAAAATTATACGCATTTATCAACAATGTCTATCAACACTCAAGATGCATTCCCGATATTATGGCTGGCGCATCATGACTATCTTTTCGTGCCAAGATTAGAGATCTACCAGAGTATTTTACGACATAACATGTTTCTTGTCTGCCATACTATATCCGCTGGCAAGGTCATGATGAACGGAATCCAAGAAAGATGTCATCAGGTAGGACCATATCTTTAACCAGACTAATATCTCAATTACTGTCTTCATCCATTTTGCTCAATTCCTTTTTCAGTTCTTCCAACAATCTTTCAGGGACTCGGAATGTATAGCCAAAGATCTTCAACTCTTCTGAAGCCAAAAATGTAATCTTACTTTTGATCATCTTGTCTACTTTGGAGAATAGTTCTCGGCTGGATAGAATCACCAGCAGCCATCCCAAATAACCTCAAATAGTCCGTCTCCACGGCAATGGCTTCTCAGGAGAGCCATTGAGCGCCATTTATTCTCTTACGTTTGCAAAGAGAATGTGGCATTGCTGCGATCAGAATGGTTGTTCACCGAGGGTTTATCACTAATTCCAATCGAAAACGTCGCATTGGCACAAAACCGCAAAGCTCCAGTTTGAAGAATTGAGCTCGTGGAGTAGACTAACTTACTCAAATTTTACCATGTATACACCGGCTTTGATCATAATTATGATCTTCCAAGCGAACAACTTCAAAGTTCATATGGATGTCCTAGGAAGACTCCCAGTGGGAATTTGCCAAGAACCCCGCTATGCCAAAGTGTGTTTCTTCTATATAAAACTCGGGATGAAGGCTTCCTCAATTAATTGGATGATACCGAGCGATTGAACTTGATACAGTTGATCTCTCTCGGAATAGATCATTTGATACTGTACTACCGTTATCGTTCTACATTTGTGCACGGCATTCTCCACTTCCGACCTTTTTGCTGCGATCCAAGCATTTGACACTTCGTCATGGTTTGAGGCTGTAGCCAAAATGGCTTAATCGACGGTTCGAAACGCGTGTTTCTAACCCTATACAATGGATTCAGAATTATCCGACGCCGATTATCATTTCACCCTTACAAAAGAATTCTAGACCGAGCTGTGAAGATGCATCATTGAATCTTCATTGAGATAATTAATGCTTGGAAGGAGTTTTTCGTCTTGATCTATACTATGGACCAAGCTTCCCATGGATTTTCCTGCAGGTTACTGCCCGCGGGCGTTGAAATCGAAGAAAATCCAATTTTCATAGAACAAGGCTTCTGGGGGATAATATATCTGATTTTTATTATTTCTAAGTATGGCGCAATCCATGGTTCTTGCTCGAAAATCGTTACCGTACGGGGTATGATGTAGAGTTTGACAGATTGTGGTCACAGATTAGACTTTCAGATAAATTGAGATCAGACACGCTAAGCATCTTATCCTAAGCATGTTTCCAAGTGTAGCTGTTTTTATTAGAGTTTATATGTATATTTTTATTGAAGCACATACCTTCCTATATCCCAGAGGACGCTGTTGAATTGATGATAAAAGACCCATGAAGCCCTCATTATTTGTCTCCTCATTCCACATCAACACTTCATTGCTTCGCCTTCATTCTACTCGCCTTTGCACTTCTATCTATCAAGAAGTAAGTCAGTCCAATCCAACCGGAATATTGAGAAATACTGACAGTTCTTAAGTCGTGCTCTCCTATTTCATCGCCTTTGCTATAGAACTTGACGGCTTGACGCCCATCGCCATAATCTTTCATCATGAAGAACTTCAGATCCGTATTGGCATTCATCGCCATCTCCGCCACACTCGTTTCCACTCGAGCTTTGCCACAAAGCGAGAGTGATCTCATTGCTAGAGCACCAGTCCCAAATGGTTAGCCAAGTGCAACTCACAAAACCAAACATAGCTAACAGCATTAGTATTGGAGTTCTATGCTCGATCCTCAAAGAATAAACTCAACGCTGCCGCTGATGGACCTGGTAGTGATGGTCAGTCGCCCCCACTCTAATATCTTTTCATAATACTTAATTATGCAGCAGAAATCTTTGGCATAAACAATAAAAAGGCAAAGGGTACTGGCACTTCTGGTGCGAGCACTGCAGCCTCTACCGGAACTGGCAAGAAGGGCAAAGGCAAGGGCAAGGGCAATAAGGTTCGTTTAATTCAGACTTTTTCATTCCTTCACAAAATAATAACATATAACAGGGAAGCGCAAAAGGCACCGGAGCGGCAAAAGGCAATGGTGCGGCAAAAGCCACTGGAAAGGCAAAGACCACCAGCGCAGCAGCAGCCAAGTCTGGAACTCCTCAGCCGGCAAGAAAGGTAAAGGCAAAGGTAGTAACGAAGACAGTGACGATAGTAATGACAACCACGGAGAAGATTCCGATGATGAAACTGCAAAAGCGGCCAAAGCGGTAAAGCGGCAAAGCGGGCAAAGCAATGAATGGAATGGAAAAATGGAAGGAAAAGGAATGAAACGGAATGGAGGTGGAAGGAAGCAAATGGAATGGAAAAATCAGGGAATGGAAATGGAAATGAAAAAAAGTATGGAAAAGGAAAAAGGAAATGGAATGGAATCTGGCAAAAAAGAGGGAGGAATGGGAAGGATGGCAAGAATGAAGGGAAAAGCAGGAAAGAAGGAAGCAATGGAGATGAAGCAGAAAAAGCAGGCAAAGGAAATGAGTGGGCAATGGAGATGGAAAAGGCAGGTGGAAAAGGAGATGAAGCAGGAATGGAAATGGAAGGGATCAGAATGCGAATGAACTCAGCTCTCTCGGTCTCCGTCACTAGCCAACCTTAGAATCCAGAAAGAAAAATAAGAACGGTACCTCTGCTGCAAACGGTACTGCTGCCGCGAGTGGAACTACTAGTGGGAAGAAACCTGGCTCTACTGGTAGTAAAGGAAAGAAGGGTAAGGGTTCTAAGGGGAGTGCTAAGGCTACTGGGCTTAGTGTAGATGCTGCTGCTCTTCCTCCTCCTAATTAGTTTTTTGGATTTGGTTGGCTGGTGATGGATTGAGGTGGATTGGGACGGATTTTTATAGGAGTCTTTGGTTGGAATGAATATATATATGGAATTGGATCTGGCGGTTTGATACCGGTCAACTGGGTTGGTTATCCTGATATATGTATTTATGTATTTGATGGACTAGATTAGATTAGATTATATTAGATTATATTCTCAATTTATTATAGTTATTCATCTTTATATTTATTGTTTTATTATAAGATATATTATCTTACTTTTTTTCATTATTATATTAAAAGATTATAAAATTTTATATTATTATATATTTATATTCCTTGTATAACTTTACTCGTGATAGATTTTTCTATCAATAAATTTATTGATTTTATTATTATTATATATATATATATTTATAATTTCTTATTTTTCTTTTATTGTAAGACAAAATTAACATAAATTTTTTTAAAAGTAAATTTTAAGAATGTTTTGTAATATATCGATATTATAATAATAATAATTAAATATAACTTTATATATTTTTTAATTATAATTATATTATATAAAAAAATCCCTTGAATTATTATTTATATAATTATATATTTTGTTATATATCTTCTACTTTTAAACTAGATAGAACCTCGCTGCCCTTAAATACTTCTTATATTAGTTATCTTCCACATCATTAACTTGCTCTTCTTTATTAATTGACATAACATCTCTTGTAAATATTTAATTTTTTCTACTTATATTGAATTGTTCAATCATCTCATTCACTCCTGGTTGGATCCAATAGTGCTCTATATAAATTTTTATTCCCTCATATGACGAGTAGCAAGCATTGAGTATTCCAAGGACCTGAACAGATAAGGAGTGAGCTGCTCTGGGAGCCATCTATGTGTTGATATGTAACTGCATTTGAAGCGCGTACAATACCAATGAATATTCCGAGGAGAATTTTGAGAACAAGCGATAAACACATTGACAAACAGATAATCATTGCTATCATCTGATGTGTGATTAAATTGAACTGTTGCTGTCACAGAACCATAGCTGCATCTTATATCTTCTCAATATACATCAAAATTCTAGTAAATAATTACTCAGATGTGTTCATATCTACTTAACCCAGGCACCCTTGGAGAAAAGCCTTCCACTAAAAATTTTCCGTGCTTTGCACTCTAGCTAGAGAGACCTCTCATATTTAAGTCAATGGATTAGAAATTCTACTAGGATTCACTTATTGAAGTGACTACATACATACTCGAGTGTGAATCATATCAAACTCAGCCCCGACTTGTTTTTACAGTTAAGAGGCTCAGTTGATCTCGAGCTCTCTATAAATACTTTCGGTATAGCCAGCTAGTGTGAACTACAACATACTTGAGAGCTTTAAATGTGGAATTACCATGGATTGGTTCAGCGCAACCCAATGCATAACTTTTGACGAGCTTGAATTCTCGAAAAGTGAAGTTATCGCCGGGTATTGTGTGTTTTCATCTTAAAGTTAGAACATGGCCACTCTTGAAGTGATGTTGCCGCCAGTTTCCTTGTGGATGATTATTGTCCCTTATCTTTTATATCTTGATTAAACTTCATCATCCACTTATTCTTAATTATACTTCCTGGCGATAACAAATTCACACTGGCGAATCTAGTTATTGTTGTCCCAACTATCAATATTCATCACCGAAACATCTCATCTAACATCACAACCTTAAAAATACATCCAAAACCCGGAAAAGAGCGTCTACATATCAAATCTCGGCCGGTTGACAGCGGATCTCAATATTCTCAGAGAACTGGATATGCGTCTCGTGTCTGCGGTGAGGCATATACTCCACTCCGTCATTAAAAAAATGCTCTTTTTATAAGCAAACCATTCCTCACAGACGCTTAATCAGCTTGGCTCTTTCTTTCTCGCTAACTTATCCGCTAACTTCTACCTTTAATCCATTTATGCTGCTAGTTTAGACGGATCCCTTGAGCTTTCAACTTCTGTCTAAGAATATTTCTTACTCTGTACTATAAAACCCCCAAATAGGATAATCGATTAGTATTTTCTTAGAAAGAGAAAAGTAGTCTGTCCGACACTGCTTCTCATGGTCGTCGAGTAATTTTCTATATGCTGTTATCAGGGACGGAATCTTGCAAGCGGATTGTTTTTGGGGATCTCGGAATTTTTTACCTGTATAGCTTGTAGTTTTGGACTATTTGAGAAGTTATGCTGGTTTGTTTCGTTGTCACTAGATGGTATGAAGCTGTGATCAGCAGGACACTGAATATTATTAGATGGAAACTGAAGATAATATTGTCGTCGTCGATCATTTTTGGTATTTAATCTTACCATTTCAAATATCAAAATATACAGATATCAGGATACAACACTTAGTCCGCATATCTCTCTCAATATATATTTTACCTTAAATGAGATTCCCACATCATCCAAAGTTTAGACCTTTTTCTGCAAAAGTGTACCGTGACGTCGAGGAACCCAGGAAGCCCTTATATACCAACCTTGGCAGAAGAGTCCACAGCCATCAGCGACCTTAAGCAATTCACGGTAATCAGCAAATCGCAAAGACATGTCAATGTTTTTTCTACTTCACAGACCCGCACAGCCAATCAGATGTTCAAAGCAAAAGCAAGTAGCGCGTGACAGAATTGTGATTTTTTGATTTTGGATAAGGATATATAAACTACAATTTGATTCCATTCTCCCATATTACCTAAACGGATAACCTGAAATACAACCTACAACAAAGAAAATATTAAGTGATTATCCCAATTCGCCCCATCCAGAGCTTGTGGATATCTTCCACGTGGAGTAACTTTTCAGCCGGAAAATTATTCGATATTATACCTCTAGTTGTTGTCATTTCCAGTTTTTACTGTCGCCACACTCTCATTATTGAATATATCCTCATCACAAACCTCCAACTTTTTCTTGATAGCTCACTATATACATCAAAGATAGAGCACGGGATCTGTGATTCTTTTGAGCGTCGACCGAATAATACGTGTTCACCACAAGGTAAGCTTGATTCTTTGGCTCTAATTGCCACAAACTTCTTTTCGATACGTATATCCTCTGTAATAAATAGCTCCATAAGAATATTTCGTGCTCTGCTCTCCCGCTCTTCTTTCCCCCAACACGACAGAATGCGTCAGTAAATCTATTCACAGTTCTTCTGCACCAGCTTCTACCTTGTTTGGGCTCGGTTCTATTCACTCTTAGTTCCGCTTTAGAGGCTAATGTGAACCCATGTGCTGTAGATAATCTCGTCAAGTTCTTTTCTTGAGAGCAGCATATAATACTTGCCATCTATCGAAAGTATGCGACGCTCAAGAATTGGCTGCCCTAAACCTCATCAGAGACGAAGCCACGTTCACTGTTTCGAAAGCCAGCGGGCCAATCCAGCTATTTAACCTATATTTTCATTCCGAGCTTCAAGAAATGGGACATATAGACTACAAGTTGTGTATCGCTTGAACAATTTATTGTCATCTGTAGTTGAAATCCGGCTCGACAACTGAGTATTTTTCTGTGACCATTCATCGCTAAAAAATTCCATCAACACCCATTCTCTTTTTTGATAACCAACGTCCCTCTGAAAATAATAGTAACTCACGCTTTTCCCCACGATCATCCTAACACGCTTAACGTCAAGTTTATCTATTTGTCGGCAACGCCCACATGGCTCAGCTTGTATGCTTCTTTGCACAATAGAGAATAAAGGATCACAAATCCATCTTTATATAGACCATACTAAATACCGAATATTATAGAGTTTGCTTCGATTTTTGACGAAAAATTCCACAAGTTCTAAATCCAGTCTCCTTTAATCCACAAGCTGGGCTCTCTCCTTTCCCTAATGCCGCGTGTATAGTTTACACTTCTATAAAAAAAGTTGGTTCTCTTGTATTGATTACGTCTCTTCCCAAGCTACACAACTTTCAGCAGTGATGGGGACGCTAGGTGCTATGAATTCTCTGTAGCGATGGAGACACCAGGGTACTCGAATATCACAAACTGAATCATTTTCTGTTATGTGTCAGCTTGTTTAACTTCATTTTACATTCGTCGTCAACCCAATTTTAGTGCTCATGGCACCTTCTCAACTATGCATCACCGTAAGAAAATGCGTCATCATCATCGCTTTGTAGTTCACTGCCGTCATCCTTCCTGACCATGGATTATTCATATTACCGATGTAAATACATCGCTCTCCCAACGTCACTCCAGCGCTATACCTATTGCAACTTTGCAATCCCCGAAAATATGATTAAATATCAAACTCATCATACCTTTTCGAAGTCATTTCTTTGGTAAGTTTGTGAGGTTCATCATATGATTTAAGATCTTTCGGAGGGTTATGATTTATATGCACACTCCGCTGAAAAAAATACATAGACACGCCTCACAATGTGACTCAAGAGTCTTGAGTCGAGACGTGATCACAGTATGATTCATCAAAGAACGTTTACTTGTCATAATTCAAGTCATGAACATTGCCTTTTTCCGAGTATTTAAAGGTCTACTTAACCCTTCTACTCCTGCTTCTTCTTTTTTCATTCAAAACATTTCGTGAATTTCGATACATCTTCAGGACTTACTTCCCTTTTCATTCTGTGAACAAACAAACGAACATATCCACACGGGTCAAAGATTAAAGCACTTCGCTCTAGGACCGCGTCCTCAAAAACATTGTAAGTGTTGCATTTTTGGGAAGTGCAGAGTCGTGATTAACGTGAGCATGAGCCGAAAATTAGACGCCATACCAATACATCGGAACTGCATCAACATTCGGTTATTTGAACACCGTACACATTCCTCTATTCCTCCCAAAAGAGACCCAACAATAAAAGGCAGCCTGTGACCTTCTCATACCGGAAACACCATGACGAGTCCCAGTCCAACATTCCTGCTCGAGACTCAAGCCATCATTCCAATTTCACCACGAACTGACAGACGCGAGCAAACTGGCAGGCACGCGCAAACTATCAGACACGCTGACGATGTATATTTAAAGGGCGCAAAGCGTATGCTGGACCTCTCAGGCTCCCGTCCCCAAATATATGTAGACATCATAGCCAAAGAACTATACTTTCGAGAGCTGGCATTCATCGAGTCGGCCGATGGAAAGCTCTACGTTGCTCTCCCTCAGGAACTGGTCAAAAACACTGACTTCTGTGGAAGGAATGGATGGCAAAAACGCGAAGAAAAAAAAAAGGTATTTGAGGGAAGGCGCAGCGAATTGGAGCTTTGAAAGTTGGAACGCTGTTAGCTATAATGACCCTAAGACGTTGGAGAACAGGTTGCAAGAGGCTCCGCAAGGATTTAAATACGTCAAAGTTCCAGATTATTGCACTTGGTATGAGGAGCTCAAGAAAAAGGAGAAAGAGAGAGATTGTGTTGTCTCGTTCGTGGTTGTCGAAGGGACCGTGGAACAAAAACCGGCACAAGTCTTCCAAATTGCAGAATTGGAAAAAAGAGTCATCCATAATCCGGCCGCTCGAGTAATCTGGTATCATCATCGCGGCGTTTGGGCGTGGCAGGGGTTAGATATGAGAACGTGGTAGAGTCATACCATTGATGAAAGAATCCGAAATGCTAAGCAGGACCGTTTAGAGGTATGAGGTTGGATTAACATATTCTAAGGAAACTTTCCTTTGAATACAAACTCCGTTGATGTTCTATAATCGATGCAGCTCCCAAACTATGAATGTTTTCATTGTGGTGCAAGTAAAGCTAGCCATCAACTTGATGGCAGACTTCTATACGTTTTTGCACTGCAGGGTGCTAAATACCTAGGTCGATCTTGTATCCCAGAGCGACACTGTCTATACTCGCTTGGATGCCACACCTGCAATGTCTAGATAAATCTTGAAGCATCTCAATAACTATGTTCTCCCTGGAATATTAATATCGAACCTGTGATGATTTGACTGGTTTGGACGATTAGAGTATAAATATTTATACCTTGAATACCTATTGAACCATAGTTCTAGTGTTAAGTAACCTTATCAATCCAAAATTCATTAAATCAGCCAATCGGCGCGTTCCTTTTTGATATTCATTGGATATCGAAATTGACGATGCATTGCAAGAAGGCTCCAGTTCACAATGGGAAAAATAAGGTTAAGCTTCGGAAGAAGAGCACCGGAAACGAGAGGAGACAAATCGGCGGAGCGGAAACCACGAATAATAGCGTCTTGGCAAAATTACCGACCGACTCACATCAAGCAACCCAGCAACCTCATCACCGTCACCGACACCAACCCCCAAACAATTCCACCAGCACCCTCTATCCGCCATCCAAACCAGCAATATCGCAATCCTTCTTCCCACCCATCGCGAAGTTTTCCAAAATGTCTTTCACACGCGCCATTCCCCGCGCCAGCACCATCATCCGCACACAAACACCAGTTCTCAACCAAGCACGAAATTTATCTTCTACCGCAGCCCGTAAATCCGCAGATCATGGGGATCATTATGATCCGCCGACTGGATGGTTGTTTGGGGTAAAGCCTGGAGAGAAGCCGGAGAAGGAGGGATGGGAGAATCTGTGGGTGTATGGATTCTTTGGGGCGTGTGCTTTTGGGGTTGTGGGTTATGCGGTTAAGCCGGATACTTCGTAGGTTTTTATTCCTTTTTTCTCTCTCTAGGGGGTTATCTGGATGTAGTGGATATGGGTGTGAGATGTGAAGATAGGGTTTTTTGAGATCGGTGGGAGATGAGGAATTTGGGAAGAGGGGTGGAGAGCATTGTGGCAAGAATCTGGAAGAGATATTTGGGAGAAAAGCTTCTACAGAAATTTAATCACACGAAAATCCGAGCACTGCTAACCATCGCTCGCAGGATACAAACCTGGGCATTAGAGGAAGCACGCAGAAGGTTAGAAGTCGAAGGGATCTTGAAGGAGCCAGAAGACAAATCATAGATCATTACGATTTGAGCAATTTACGATGGAGAATTTGGACGAAGTTGAGGGGTAGAGAGTGATCAGATGAAACGTGGAGAAGCTGTAAATACGAGGATTGATGATGAAGAAGATGGATATCTTGCTGGATGCATATCAAGATGTACGGGTTGCACGAAACATGATACGTGCTAATAGAGCGAAGGAATGCTATTGAGGTTTCTTTTCTTCCCTTCTCAAAGAAATTGTGCAACGCAAGGGCGCCTATGTGAGCTCACTGTGAAATGGATTCGAGGAGCCAAATGAGGAGTGCGAACTTGAGCTCTGGTAATGGAGGAGCCTCTATCGGCTTCAAGGATAATACCGGACCCGATCTCATTCTTCAACACCAATACTAAGTGCATGTTTGCAAATTCATTCGAGGCCACGCGGAAACTAGTCTTTACAATATGATTCTAGGTATGACATATATATTCTATCGCTCACTTTTCATTCGTCCGGCTCTACAGGTATTTACATCCACACAGAAGTTCGCTAATTAGGTACAACATAACTCCACTCATGCTCTTCATCGCCATATTGTCTCGCCTCTATCCATTCCTTCATCTTCAATGCGATCTCACCGGCTTCTTGGTCTGGCCTCAATCCACACTCAACTAAGTTGCCCTTCCATGAGATGTTTCTCACTGGACTAACAACAGCTGCTGTTCCTGCTCCGAACGCCTCTAATAATCTTCCTTCTTTCGATGCATCTGATAATTCTTTCATAGTGTATTTGCGCTCAGAAATGATCCATCCCTCCTTGGTAAGCTTCTCGCGAGCCAAGGACAGAACAGAGTCTCTTGTGACACCTTCCAAGATGGTACCGTCTAATGGAGCAGTAACCAATTCCTTCTGGCCTTCCTTATTCTTGATAGCCACAAACATATTCATGGTACCAACCTCGGTGACAAACTCTTCATCTCCGAATAACCATAAGTTTTGGTGGAATCCTCTCTTCGCCGCCTCTAATTGTGGCAATATACATGGAGCATAGTTTGCACCCAGTTTCTTGTCTCCAACTCCTCCTGGCCATGCTCTCACAGCATAATCTGTAGCTTCCAAGGACACGGCCTTGAATCCAGTAGGATAATATGGTCCAACTGGAGAAGCAATAACATACAGTAACGCGGATCCTGGTGGTCCAACACCCAGTGTTCTTTGTGTTCCAATCATAGTCGGTCTTAGGTATAATGAATATCCTCTAGCGTCTGGGATGAATCGCTTCTCCATAGCAACGAATTTCGAAATCAACTCAATCATAGCCGATTGATCGAAAGTTGGCAGAGCAATGCGAGCTGAGGATTTGTTCATTCGCTCCATATTCTTAGTAGGTCTAAACAGCCTTACTTTTCCACTTTTATCCTTGTATGCTTTCATTCCCTCGAAACATTCGAACGCATAATGGAAAACGCAAGAGGCGGGATCGAGAGAAAGGTTTTGGTAAGGTGTTATACGTGCGGGCAACCACCCTTCAGAGGCTGTCCATTCAATGCTAAGCATATGATCTATGAGCGGTTAGCGATTGGAGTTGTGGACAGTTCTCAGATGGGCTTGCCTGTAAACGATCTTCCAAAGACCAATTCATTCGGAGGAAGTAGTTCACTAGGGGTAGTGTTTTTGGTTATGGTTAATTTGGTAGGGTCGATATCTTGTAACTTTATTGTAGAAGCAGCTTCTGCTTGTATGCTGTATAATCTCGACGAAGCCTCCCACCGTCTTAACACTCTGGAGTATGGTTTCGCGAAAGCCGCCCCTCTTGGGAACAATTGACGAAGCATTTTGGCCAAATTCAAGTATAAAAAGTTGGGATGAAACTCGAAGTATCGATCTGGGAAACTTGAGCTACTTAAATGCTTAGGATCCCACGTATGCTTTGAAATGGTCCCTGGAGTTAATAAGTCAATTCAAAGGGTCCAAATAAATTTAAATGCTGTGACCACATCCGGCTCCGAATCGCGGAGTCATAATTGTCCCATAAGATTACAAGGATTAGAAGAGATAACACTTCCACTTCATGCAGCCTTATGTAAGCGACATATTTCTACGCAAGTAAATCTCACAAGCTGAAGCCTTGTTGTGTTTTTAAGAGGCCACGCCAAATTCCAAGCTAAGATGTCCCTTTACTTGACAAGGCTTACGGTTTTTGTACACCAGAACGAACTGGCAGATCAACAATAAACTTATCGCGCAAAGTACAAAAGTCTATCAAGTGTTGGAACGATTACTTTGACGACTTCGTATTACAATTATAAGCTTCTTCAAAATATAATTATCCAGGCTTTAAGTTTCATGTGCAATAAGTTCGGACATTCTTTTCAAGCGCCAGTGTTGGTGGGAGGAGAGTTGCGAAGATGTTTAGTTCCGCGTTGAAATCCTTCACTTCGAATATAAACTCGAACTACTCAGTATCATCTACCCCAAGTTCATACTCCGGACCATGGAAGATATACGATGCGAAGAAGAAATCAACCGGAAAGAGTGCCTCAGTCTTTGTCCTTGATCGCAAATCCTTAGATGCACATGCAGGATCCTTGGGAAGGTCGAGTGCGTCCTCGATGAAACGTGCGAGTGAGGAAGTAATTGAAAGATTAAAGAAGGAAGCTTCGTCGTTGGCAAGGCTGCGGCATCCCAGTATCTTGGAATTGGTAGAGCCAGTGGAAGAAACGAGGGGTGGAGGCTTACAATTTGCGACCGAGACTGTGACGGCTTCATTATCCGGTCTACTGCAGGAGAAAGACGAACAAGAAAGGGCTGGTGGTATTGGCGGACGTACCAGTCGATATGTCACCGAGGATTCGGAAGGTGGCAGACGGAGGAGAGAGGTTGAAGTAGATGAACTGGAAATACAAAAGGGTCTTTTACAGATCAGCAAAGCATTGGAGTTTTTACATGATAATGCTGGTCTCGTACATGGAAACCTGACGCCTGATGCTGTGTTTGTGAATGCCAAGGTGAGCTTCATGTGCATTTGTGTATCGACTTTGACTGATCATTTATAGTCCGACTGGAAAATTAGTGGACTTAGCTTTTGTAGTCCGCCAGACAATTCGACCAAAGCTTCTTCGGTGCAACCTATTAACCTTTCAGAGGTTTTGAATATAGACCCTCGACTACCTCGTTCTGTTCAGATCAACCTCGACTATTGCTCCCCCGACTTTGTCCTAGACTCGAATTTAAATGTTGCAGCAGATATGTTTTCACTAGGCCTTCTCATTGTCGCCCTTTATAATTCGCCCCATAATTCACCACTGGAATCTAATAACAGCATTTCTGGCTACAAAAGATTATTTACCTCGTCTTCTACTATACCCTCATCCAGCAATTCCTTCTTGTGCAAAAAATCTTTACCAAGAGATATGACTGGAGAAGTACTACCGCGATTGATAACTAGACGTCCAGCGCAACGTATGACCGCGAAGGAATTCCAGCAAAGTGCCTACTTCGATAACATTCTGATATCTACCATTCGATTTTTGGACTCTCTACCGGCGAAGACACCTAATGAAAAGGCCCAATTCATGCGTGGTTTGTTAAGGGTGTTACCCTCATTTCCAAAAAGTGTTATGGAGAAAAAGGTTTTACCGGCTTTGTTAGAAGAAATGAAGGACCGAGAGTTGATCTCATTAATCTTACAAAATATTTTCAAAATCATCGAATTATTGCCCACGGGGCGACGGCCGTTTACTGAAAAGATTATGCCTAGGCTCAAGGAGATATTTTTGAACAATCCCAAACCTCCTGCTGAGCGTGATGCCGCAAAGGAGGCTGGGTTGATGGTATTACTAGAGCATATTCAAGTCATATCTGTTAACTGCTCAGGTAAAGAATTTAAAGACGGTAAGGTATTTTCTACAGACTAAACCTATTTTGTGTGCTAATTGCATTAGATATCTTGCCCATTGTAGCAATCTCGATAGATTCACCGACGCATGCTCTTGTAGATGCCGCATTGCGAAGTCTGAATGTTGTTCTACCTCTTCTTGATTTTTCTACTATCAAGAATGAGCTCTTCCCAGTTATTGCTTCGGTATTCACGAAGACTAGCAGTCTGGGAATCAAAGTTCGAGGTTTAGAAGCTTTTGTAGTTCTTTGTGGTGGCTCAAATGATCCAGCCTCTAGCAATGACGGTCTTGACGGCATTAGCGGGGCCAAGAAAAACACATCAACCCCTCTCGACAAATATACTATGCAGGAGAAGATTGTACCACTAATTCGAGCAATCAAAACGAAAGAACCCGCTGTTGCGGTCGCTGCACTGAATGTCCTTAGACAGATAGGCATTATAGCCGATGCGGAATTCGTTGCCATGGATATTCTTCCCATCCTATGGAATATGAGTTTGGGTCCACTACTAAATTTACACCAATTCCAATCTTTCATGGAACTTATCAAAAGCTTATCTGTTCGGGTCGAGTCTGAGCAAACAAAGAAGCTGCAAGAGTTGTCCGGTACCAACGGCGTAAGGGCAAACGGAACCGATGACTTCATGTCGTTTGGCGCCGCATCAGCGTTTCCATCGGCCTTGGGATCTGATGACCCTGAAATGGATTTCGAACGACTAGTTAAAGGCGGAATTAGTGCACCGCAATCAAGCAACCCGTTAGATTCCGGCTGGGATGCTAACCCGCCAAGTGCCGGTATTCAGCAATCTCAATCGTCGGCACAACCCAAACCAGCTGCCTTTGCGTGGTCTACTCCATCACCCACAGCGCCTACATTCCCTTCTAACTCTATTAATAATGTTCTTCGTACATCACAAAACACCACATCACGCACAGTCACACCTGATCTATCTAGCTTCGGTGCTCTAACACCATCAGCTACCCAATTCTCGCAACCCCTTCAGCCTCAATCTAATTACTCAAATCCAATACAACCTCAATCATCATTTTCCCAACCTCAGTCCTCCTTCTCCCAACCTCAGTCCGTATTCCCTCCACCTAAATCCACCACCATAAACTGGAACGCGGCCGCTTCGTCCTCAACGCCCAATGCATGGGGCTCAAACCAGACAGCCTCATCCCTCTCGTCCATCTCCCCACCTCCTCTCAATCACTCTTTATCGTCAATGAGCAACACAACGAACTCTATGTCTTCACTATCCATGAGTCAAATGAATCAAGCAAGACCCGCATTAAATAGTTCACAGAGCGCTTCCAGTTCTTTTTCGAGTTTCTCGTTGCCGCCGCCACCTAGTGCGAGCACAGGGGGAGGAAGTAATTATAGTGCGTTTGGGGGTGCTAGTAGTGGCGGGCAGAGGATAGGAATGGGAGGCATGGGGATGGGAATGGGACAGCCGCGGCCAGTTGTCCAGCAGCAACAGCCGCAGCAACAACAGCAGAAGAAAAGTGGATTGGATGCTTATGAGAGTTTGCTCTGAGCTGCGAATAATGAAATAACAGGGTTTGAATACGAATAAAGTGGTGGCATTTGGGAAACGAAGCCAAGAGAAATGAGGTTAATGGGACTCAAAGTCCGGAAATGCTGAGTCAGGCGCATGATGCGATTTTGGAATGAAATGTGTGAGGGAAAACGGAAAATTGGAAGTCTTTGGGGCTCCGTCTGAAAAATGGGAGCTGTTGGAGTTTCGAGTCTAAAAGTACATATATACCTAGTGGGCAGGGGGAAAGTGGATAGCCAGCGAGCGAGCGAGCGAGCGTGCGTGCAAGTTAATGCAGCAAGTCGTAATTAATTATCTTACACTTTCGAGAAAAGAAATGTGATTTTCGTGATCAATGCTCGATCTATATCGGATGATATCTATTGGACCTTGAATTCCTCGTAATGCTCTATAAGTATTTCCGGCGCTTTTATTCAAATGATATATACAAGATAAAATTGGGTACCTCACATCTTTCTCTATTCTCTATCTATCCTGCTCTCACGACCAGATGGACAAATCTACAATCCCTTCTCATCGCGCATTTTCCTGAAGAAATCAGTGACTCCGGTAAAGACAACCAGTAAAATACCACCACCGGGACCTAATCTGAGGACCTTGGGTAAGAATCCCTTGTAGAGTGCAGCGAAACCTTCTTCCTTCATGACGGTTCCGAGAGCTGGCCAGGCCCAGTTGTATCTTGGTGCTAATCCGGCAACCTTGGGACTATTTTGAATGCGCGATTTAACGACATCCATGGGTGTGTTGAGAATTGTACCGGTGGTTCCACCGATGGCTCCGGAAATCATGTTGACTACCATTTCCTGCTTCTTGTTTTCGGGCTTGGGCATCAATGCCTTGACTTGGAAGATACATCCAAAGTATCCGGCGTTCCATAAAATGTGTCTCCACATTGTACTTTCTAGTCCGTTGTATAGAGCTAGTGGTCCCTCGGCTTTCACAATTTTGCTCACGCAGTCTACCATTCCGGAATATTTTCCTGCGGAGGCACGATCTTGTAGACGGATTTTGACGAGTTCGAAGGGGACGACTACGAATGATTCGGTTGCTCCGGCGGTGGCTCCGGTGAGGATTGCGAGAGATTGGTTTTGTTTGGCGACGCCGAATATGTCGCGGTAGAATTTTCCCCATGATTCGTTGGCTGCGAATTTGGTGGCACGTTTGGGAGCTTCCATTAGGATCGGGGCTTCGATTCCGCGGTATAATCGCGAGATACTTTGCATAGAATGTCAGTACACGTCGTCCGCTGGGAGAGACAGAGCATTCCAGAAGAACATACCCTTCATTCTTAATGATCTTTCTGAAGCAATCCACCATGCCATTGTATCCATCCGGTCCAACGGAACTAGTTTGCAGTTGTCTATTTCCCGTCAGTATTCTATTCGATGTACTGGCGTATAGAAAGTCGAGAAAGTCGGGACTCACACTCTAGTCTTTACGACATCTAACGGGTACCTGTGTTGGTTAGTATGTGCACTAGCAATTGCTTGTCTTCTTACGAGGGACACTTACATAACAAGAATCTATCGCAATTTCAACAAATTAGTCCTAACATTCCGCAAGCTGCGCAGGATATGCAGCGGAAAGAACTCACTTCAGATACACCAGCAATGGCACCTAGAAAGAGATTGTAAGATTCAATTTCAAGAAATGGGAAGAGGGGTCCACGTACCAGCAGCGAACTGGTAAACGAATGGAAGCGGCTGTTCGGTGGTCATGATTGCGATTGATGCTATTAAATTGTTAGAGATGGATGTCAGTAGGTAAATGCTGTAGAAGATTATTTGTGTGTGTGAAAAGCCGTTGTGGTGTAACATACCTTGAATTTTTTTTTTATTATCTGGTATCTATCTATCTGGAATCTTAGCTATGTATCTATCTGACCTGGCAGAGAAATTATTCTTCTTCTGATCTTGTGCTCTGTGCGACAACTTTCTTATCAATCAATCATCACCCCCGGGGCCTTGAGCTCTCCGGTCTTCTCTCTCCACTTATAGCCGACGATCGGAGAACAAAAACACACGGTTATTACATACATACACACATACATACATACATACATACATACATACATACATACATACATACATACAAGACAGGGGATGGATGGACAAGTGGGCAGTAGTAATGTGGAGGGGAACTTGGACTAATAACACAAGATCAAAACAAAACACGCTAGTGATATGAAGAAAAGGGAAAGCGCGTTCCAGGTCGCGAAATCGCGTACAACGAACTACCTATCTAGGTATTGTATTTACTGTATTGTTATCGACACAAAGTGCAAGAACTAATTATCTCACCGAGATTAACATTAACATTACCATTACCATGTTGGTCTGAATTCAAATTATTTCATATTGCTACGCTCCATAAAACACCATCTTTCATGTACTATACCGATTCATATCTGGTGAAGATATAATGCCTCTTCAAAAGTCCTTCTCTGATACCAATCCTTCAGGAAAAGAGAATAATGTATGTATATCAATTCGATGCGCCTACTCATGTAACTCAGCGTACAAGCAAATGTCCATTTCATAAACTATTAGAAGCTAATCGAACACAGTCCCGGCCACAATGGCAGAAAAATAAAAATTATCAAAACCAACAGCAAAAGCCCAAAGTCCCCGCAAAACCATTAGCAGAGAAACCACCCATTCCTGTCTCAACCACTACGAAGAATATACTCAACAATTTTCAATACCGAGAGCAAACCGGGAAAAAGGATGATGCGAAAGAAGTTGTAAATTTGGTGTCTTCGGAGACAGATAGCAAAACCGCCACACCATCAAAGAGGAGGCGACAAAGCTCATCAAAAGATGGGAAGACTTCTGTAGAGGAAGATGTCTCCCTCGAGGAGCCTGCGCCTGCAGATGCTCCGTCTACTCCATCAATGGGGTTTGATCCCACACAAAACACCGATTTCAAGAGACCATTCAAAGCAATATCACCTGACGATCGTATAATTTGGGATACAAACAAAGATAGTCAACAGTTACCTGACCCACGAACTAGCAATTTAGGAAAGAGGAAGAGAGGCCATGTCGAGTTTTCTAGAGCACAGAGTTCTTCACCTATATTGGGTCGCTCTTCGCAAGCAGATTCACGACCACGACCGGGGCCTGAGGTTGAGATGTGGTTGAGAGTACCTCAGGACCATAAACTCTCGAGGATTATGGACAATGCATCTCCGCAATCATTGAAAGATGGTAATGCACTTAGAGGATTGACTCGATCAAGGAGTCTTGGTAATCCATTAAATCCAAAGAGACATCAACCGAAGAGGATAGGAAAAAATAGAGATATTGATACCCCGGGTTTGATGAGGCGACTGCAGGAAGATTATAAGCCAAAGGAAATTTCTAGTGGTCCTTCGAGCTCATCACCCCTTCCTGACAAAGGACTATTTCATGAAGGATTGAGCTCTCCACTAGGGCAAAAGAGAACTAAAAGCAGGACATCGCCTCTGAAAAGGAGACTTGAACCGCCGTCATCACCAATCAGGAATGCCGAGTCCGTTGCTTCTCTGCTGAGCCCAAAAAGACCTTCCACTTCCGAGTCAGATTATGGTTCTGATGATGGTCTTGATGAAATTGGTGGGATGATTCTTTCGGCTATCGAGTCACAGAGTCAAGCTCCTCCTGCTTCGAAGTCACGACCCCTACCTCCACCCAAAAAATATCAATCGCCGACTAAGCCAAAAACTTACTCTACACATAAACCTCTGAACGTCTCGAGAATCCCCACCAGTTTGAAAGCAGTTGATGACGACGATAGTGATGAATTTGGTGAGGGTTTGGATGATGATGATTTTGATGCTGCTTTTGCTGGATCAGTTCCAGTAGATAATGTAGAGCTTCCACCATCAAGGCCTAGAGGTGCAGCAGCTAAGGAAGAGCCCGATGATGAATATGGTGACGATATAGACGATTCAGATTTTACTGCTGCGGAGATAGCAGCAACTCAGTCACTTAAACCATCAGCACATAGCCTAATGCCTGTACGTCCGAGAAATCCGTAGCAATATATTATTTATTCAATGCTAAGAAATGTCTAGTCGATGGAAAAAGTTCGCGCAATTCAAAGATATCTTGTCACTATGATGGACGATAATCAATATGAAGGTGTTAATGGTAGAATGCAACCAGAAAAGGTAAAAATTTTGATCTATTGCCTTGATTTAACTAACCAGCTCAAGATACTTTTTCTCCAACCAGAGCGTTCCAAAGTTAAAAGAATGGTTCACCTCCGAGGAACGTGGATTGATACTCCTGTGACTATGAAAGCATTTGTCCATATCATTGGCAAATTCGACTCGCAGGGAATCTGCATCATAGATGATAACTCTGGTTTGATCATTCTTCACCCGGATCATCTCATCTCTGCGCTTGTTGTAGCAGATTCTTTTGGATGTACTCGTCGTGCTGTTCTTCAAGATAGAGTCAAAGCTACTGGTGAAGCATCTCCAGCGATGCTCTATGGAACAATTCTTCATGAGATTTTCCAGGCTGCAATGCTTGCTAATCGATGGGACACAATGTTTTTAGGTGAGCTCATTGACAAGCTTGCTCAGAGACATCTTGAAGATTTGTATGTGATCAAGGTTGAGATACCCCAGGCTGTAGAATATTTACATAGTAAGATGGGAGAGTTGCAAGCATGGGCAGAATTGTTTGTGTCATCTCAACCGAAAGTAAGTAAATCAGGCCATTTTTTACTCTATATGCTAATTCCTTAGCCTGGAGCTCTAGTAAAAGCTAGCAGTGGTGATAGCGTGGCTATGTGTGTGAGCAACCTTCTCGATGTTGAAGAGCACGTCTGGTCTCCAATGTATGGTTTGAAGGGCAATATCGATGCTACAGTACAGATTACCATCAGAGATGAGAAAGAGCAAAGAACCCTTACTGCACCTCTTGAGGTCAAAACTGGCAAGAATCCTAGTGTAGCCAACCGGGCGCAAACTGCACTTTACAATCTCCTCATATCTGACCGATATGATGTTGAAATTGCTTATGGTATCTTGTACTACATGGAAACTTCTGAGACCATTAGAATTCCAGCTATTCGTCACGAACTTCGCCATATGATCATGCAGAGGAATGAGCTTGCTTGTTTTGTCCGAGAGAAAAATTCCCAACTTCCTCCTATGCTTAAGAAAGAGAATATGTGTGGAAGGTGTTATGCCAAGAACACATGCTTCATTTATCACAAGCTGGCGGATGATGGAAATGGTGAGACAAGTGGTATGAAGGAAAAGTTTGATGAAGTGGTCAAACATCTTACTCCAAGGCATAAAGAGTTCTTCCTCAAATGGGATGATCTTCTTACGAAGGAAGAGAAGGATTCCTTAAAATTTCGTCGGGAGTTATGGACTATGCTCAGCTCAGAACGTGAGAAGCTTGGTCGATGTTTTTCTAATGTTGTCATTGAAGAAGGATCAGCATATGAAGACCTTAACAACGAGAAGATTAATCGATATCGATACACTATGATCAAACCAAAAACTTCAACAGCATCAGGATTCTCCTTCATGGATTCGCAAATAATCGTAGGAGAACCAATCGTCATATCAGATGAAAAAGGTCATTTTGCTCTGGCCAAAGGTTATGTTACCAACGTACGGAAAAACAGAATCACAGTCGCAGTTGATCGTCGTTTACATAATGCTCGCATCAGACAGCCTGGATTTGACGAGACTAATAACCAGGTTTTCGCTAGTATCATGGAAGTGGCAGCTGAAGGCTCTACACCAGCAGATTCCATTGGTAAAATTAAGGAGGAGCCAATTCTTTACAGACTCGATAAGGATGAATTCAGTAATGGTCTTGCTACAGTTCGGAATAACCTCATTCAAATAATGACAGAGGGACCCTTTGGATCACGCGAAATTCGGGGTCTAGTCGTTGATCTTAATGCTCCTCGTTTCAAACCACATTCAACACAATACACACTTAAAGATCGCTCGAGTATAAATGTGGATCAACGTCGTGCTATTGAAAAAGTCATGTCGGCACAAGATTATGCGCTTGTACTTGGTATGCCTGGTACTGGGAAGACCACAACTATTGCTCATATTATTCGAGCTCTTGTTTCACAAGGAAAATCGGTTCTTTTGACTTCCTATACTCATACAGCTGTGGATAATATTCTTCTCAAACTTCGTGATGACTCGATTCCTATTTTACGTCTAGGAACTAAAGCGAAAATCCACCCTGATGTTCAAGAATTCGCCAAACTTGCCGTTGATCCTAAAGAAACTATGGAAGAGATCCGAAGTGTGTGGCATGATACACCAATTATTGCAACCAGTTGTCTCGGCATCAATCATCCTATTTTCAACGAACGAACATTTGACTACTGTATTGTAGACGAGGCTTCTCAAATTACACTTCCCGTTTGTGTTGGTCCTATTCGTTTCGCACGTACATTCATCCTTGTTGGAGATCACAACCAACTTCCACCATTAGTCAAAGATGAAGAGGCTAGAAAAGGTGGTTTAGATATTTCTCTCTTTAAATATCTCTCCGATGCTCACCCTCAAAGCGTTGTCTATCTCGAACATCAATACCGTATGAATGCCGATGTAATGGCTCTCTCCAACACACTCATCTATAATGGTCGTCTTAAATGCGGCAGCGAATCAGTTGCTACTCGGAAAATTATCATCCCTGCGATGGATGCGCTTAAAGCACATCATCATACTCCCAGCAGCATTTTACATAGTACTCAGAAATCCATCTGTCTAGAACCCAAAAAAGGGAGATGTTGGTTGAGAGATTTATTAGATCCAGATGTTACCGTCGCATTCGTGGACACAGATGGACTTGGGGAAATAGCCAGAGAAAGCGAAAAAGGAAATCGAACAGTCAATGATTTAGAAGCTAAAATCGTCACTCAACTTGTCACCTCTCTCATATCCGTCGGTATCGATCCTACAGAAATAGGAGTAATGACGCATTACCGCTCCCAACTAGCTTTACTAAAAGATAGTCTCCGCACAGCCAAAGGCGTAGAAATGCACACGGCGGATCGCTTCCAAGGAAGAGATAAGGAGGTTATTGTGTTAAGTTTAGTACGTAGTAACGAAGCGGGAAATATAGGTGAATTACTTAAAGATTGGAGAAGAATAAATGTAGCGTTTACGAGGGCGAAAACAAAGTTATTAGTGGTAGGTAGTAGGAGCACTTTGAAAGGAAATTCGGAGAGGAGAGAAACTCAGGGTGAGAAGAAGGAAGAGATGGTTTGTAGGTTTGTGAAGTTGATGGAGGAGAGGAAGTTTATAGGTTGAGGAGGAACATGGGGTCAATTGGGAGGTGGAAGTTGATGTGGGAGTGGAGTGGTTGGATGATGGAATGAATGGATTGGAGGGAAGGAATGGAAAAGAAGGAATGAGGAAGAGTGGTGGTATGAAGGGAAAACATCAACCGAAGATAATTAGAGGCGGTTTGGTGATGGGTGTCGGGAATGGGAAAGGGAATGGAAATGGAAATGTGAAAACAGGGAGTATTTTGATGGATTTGGTTAATGATGCGTTGTGATATGATTCTTTGGTTGGTTGGTTGGATTAGCATCTGGATGGTTTTTGTAGGATTATTAGGATTAGGATTAGGATTATTATGTTTTGATATTATGGTGTTTTGGCTGGGCTGGGCTGAGGTGGGATAAACTTGAATAAATAAATGAAACAAAATGAAATGAAATAGATGAATTAGCTCTATAATTCATATCAAGTAATTATAGTATGGAATATCAAAGAGGCTAGAGTATAAGGTTACCTGGGTATCTTTTGTAAGATCTTATTGTATGAGTGTATGATACAGGATGGTATGGTACAGGATGGAATAGGATAGTGTGTTTAGATCTAGATTTAGATTGAGACTAAGATTTAAGTCTAGGTTTATGTTTAAGGGTATATTTATCTAGTTATTCAATTGTTTATTTTTGTGTATTTGGTGATTGTATATAATGAATAAATGAATTTATAATTCAAATTTCATCAAATTTTATTGATTGATTATAAAGTTATTAATAGACAAAAGTCACGATTTTTGACATAAAAAAGTGACCGAGGTTAGAAATGGCCGGAAAAGAGGGTACTGGACTTAATTACTATAATTAAAATACATACATCCAGTTATGTATTTTCCGAACCCTTTATTAATGATAAAATATAAATTCTACCGCGCAAACCAAATACATTGTAATGTAATAGAATACAATTTTTGATATATATATATGTATTTGTGGCTTTTGCATACTAGTTTTGTGGTGGTGTAACTTTATATAATTGAGGTTCAAGGTTCTTGGCGATCTGGTATTGGAGTGGTTAGTTTCGACTCTTGAACTTTGATATGGTATAAGGAAAGAATGAGGATGGACTGAGATGAAGCGAAGCGAAGAAAGGCATACCGGGAGTATTATCTTTTGTTTCTTGATGTTTATAGATTAGGCGCTGCTTGCTTGAGTATTTGTACCGCTGGTGCCAGAACCCTCGGCATTGCTTTCTTGAGCATCTCTATTGCTGGTATCAGAGCCCTGGGCTTTGCCTGCTTGAGTACCTGTAGCACTAGAGCTCCGAATAAATCAGACCCCTCAAATGCTCTCACTTCAAAAACGCAGCCACAAACTCAACATGCACCACCCCATCAATCAAACGTTTCATAACAAAAAACGACAAGGCCCCAACATAGGTTCCCGTGCCATGGTTCGGAGGATCCGGCAACTTTTCTTTCCCAATCACAACCCAAAATTCAAAACCTTCCGGCGCTCGAAGATTTAGTCCTACATTAACCGTCCACGGTTCATATAATATAATCTTCTCTAGTCTCCCCATTCCAATCCAAGCTTTCTTGACCTGCTCGCGAACAGTACGCATAAATGATGAAGGAAGGGCTAGAAATGTGGCTCGTAGGTTGCAAGCTGTGACATACTCGAGAGGTGGGAATGAGGCGCCACCGCGCCTGGCGGCGCCCTGACCGCTTGGAATCATGAACACAACGTCGTATACGGATATCTCGGTTGCGCCGTTGACGGAACCAAAGGTGTAGAGGTCGCCGGGTTCGGGTCTTTCTTCAAGGATGATGGTGAAGTTGGGGGCGCCTTGGCCATGGTATGGGAAAACTGAGTATTTGACAGGTACGCCTGTGTTGGTGTCTTCAGGTTGATCCGATTGGGTTTCGTTTTCAGGATTGTTGATGGAGCTCGAGGAGGCAGTTTGGGACATCTTGGAAGTCTTTGTTTTTTGTTTTAATGGTAAACTTGAATATTTCCGATTTTGGCTTGGGGTTTGATCTTAAACACTCTTCTTTGATGTGTAAGGTTTTTTTTGGTGATCATTCGTAGTTAGGGTCTTGGTACGTGATGGTATTATATTTAAATGCGACGCAGTTTAAGGAAAGGAAGAAGGGGAAGAGACAAATCGAGCAGGAACGACCCTTGGACACCCAGCACTTGTGATTGATAACTCAAACATCTTATCACAATTAATTGTTTCAAGAGTGGCAGCTTCAACTAGAAATTAATGAAATGGTAATCAGCAAAAGTGACTGCGAATCACGTGGATTTTCTCATCGAGGAGGAGCGACGAACATAGTTAATACCGTAAGTCATATAGATTTCCTTGATCATTGTGGACACCGAGAAAGGGTGTTGAGATGTTCTTAGTGGCGTTGAATAGGTAGCAAACAAATCCTATTCGAATATTTTTATTCATTTTGTAAATTAAACATGATGATATTTCGAATAACTCTATTTACTTTGAGCAATGAACCTCAAATAAACTAATTTGTTTTCAACAACGGATTTATTGACATTTTAATATTTCCATCTGACTCTGGATCATCCGTCGACAAAATAATTTTTACACATTTCACTAAATCGAATTGTACTTCGAATACCACTGTTCAACTTGAACAACGAACAATATGAAATTTCAGAAGGATGCTTTTTGTTTTGTGTTAGAAGTAAATTGAAGAACATAAATAATCAATTCATAAGTCCGTGGTTTGTGTGACGTTTTAACCTGTGAAGAGCACGTGTCTTAAGTCTTAAATCATATGAATCAAATTCAATCAAGTAAATAATTCGACATATGATGCCACGTCATTATTGCTCTCTTGGAGAAGTTTCAATCGTTTTTTTTTTAACCCTTGCGTTCAAGTAATTTAATCAGCGATGCAAGAGCCGAGTTCTTCTATGTATCCAATAAGCGAGCCCCTTTTATACACCACTATCACCCAGTTAACACTACGAAAAATGGGAAACGATAATATTACCACTCCACCGGGAGGCCCGCGTTAGGAGTTGAACCTAAATGGTAATATATATCAAACGGGTTAACTCACTCACCTATGAATATATCCATCCACGCCATCCCAACAAGAAAAATATTAAATATTCAATCTAAAATTATAGTTCAAACAATAATACCAAGTCCCACCTTCCCTTTACCACCTCAAGAATCTAATCTCTTGCATCCAATATAAATAAGCCGGGCTCGAACAGACACGATTGTCATCTTTATCACGATACCAATTTCTGCTTCTTCATCTTTGGCATAATGTTCCTCGTTATCCACGTCATTCTTCTCAACAGATATTCCAGGCTCAACTCAGAGGAAGTGAGCAGTGGCAAATTGATGGTGTTGGTGATGGCTGGTAAGATGGTTTTTGTATGGTCGAGTCCTGCGGATATTGATGTTAGTGGCTATATCATAAATTCGTGATTTATAAGATAGTAAAATTGAATGCTGTGAAGGTTAGAGGAGGAGAAAACACGTCAAACACCTACCACTAGCAACTAACGAATGTCGACGAACTCGTTCCATACCACGGTTTAAACTTCCCATTACCCTTGGAAGAGCAATCGAGTCCCGTCTGCGAAGTAAAATGCGCTGAATTGCTCCATTTAAAGCTTTGGGAATAGGAGGAAGAGGTTTTTCTCCAGTTTGGAAAGGTTTGTTGGAAAGAGAGATGGCAGAGTGGGGGAACTGATTGCTTTTTCTATGTCAATCAGCGATTGAAATTAATTGAAAATATAAAGAATGGGGCTTACGGGTACTTCCGTTCAAATTGTGATTTCAATGGTCTAGATGACATCATACTGATGGCTGATGCTTGTGATTTTTTGTCTGGAGATAAATGTCAACCTTGTTCATCTTGACAATTGACCTGTAAAGGAAGGAAAACGGGTGTATTATGTGTTAGAAAGACATAATATAACAAATGAGGAAGAAATGTCTTCGGTATAATTGAGCTCGGGTAGTGAATTAAGAAAAATAAATTACTAGCTGAAATCAAAGGACAGCAAGCATTCTCGGACGGTACTACAACGAAAAGTTTTGAAGATAACATATTTCCTTTCTTCTTCAATCAGCATGAAAACTTAGTAAAGATCAACAGACCCTAGAAGAGAAAGCCGCTCACCTCGAGGATGAAGTTTGATAAGTATTCGATAACAGACAATGAGTGACAGTACCTGGCCTCCCCAATTTAATGGTGGCAGCCCTCTTGTAGATTGGTGGTATGTTAGTCGAGGAAAATAAGATGTGAGTGTTCTCAAGATAAGAAACAATAATCGATTAAATACTTACAACCTCGATTCTAGAAACCAATTTGACGATGGCGCATCACCTTGAAGGTTTGAGGGAAAAGAATACTCATCATTACAAAAAAGTTTGAGTACTGTTAGGTAGGCTCCGAGTCAGGACCTTATAAAGCCTGAGCATCCATAGTCCCGAGGGTAGGCTTCCTCAAAAGGTTTCACATATCAGCCTCATTTTTTTCTTTAGAAGTTTAGCAGCAGTTCACTTCCAATCATTCCAGACTTAGAGGCAGATGTAGATCTTTTAATTGTCGAGTAGGAAATTAAATCTAGGTGCTTAACAACAAAATGGTGGGTCTGAATCGAAGTCATTTCAAACGGTATCAGTATTAAAACATAGTAATTCCGAAAACTGAACGACAAGCATCATTTGCTAAACTCGGGCAACTATAATATATTCTGATGTAATCAGCAGAGATGATCACCAAACGTCAAATGCTTTGTATCAAATCCATTGTTTGGTAAAAGTGGGATGATTCCTGCTCGAGTAATTATGTGGTTTTGGGGTCGTGAATTTGGCAGCACAGACAACTTCAGGTAATAATAGATCTTTCTCGTGGGTGATTGAGCCACTTTAATAAGAAAGGTGTTGGCTTGTCTGCGGATCCAAGGACTGGGATAGTAGTCGTTTTATTGACTCTAGATCTTACAAGAGCAAAAGAATCGGCTCATATAGGTTTACTTAGCGTTTGATTAAAATCAGACTGTATAAGAAAAGGCTCGGTGACTTGAACCCAAGCAACATTTCAAGCTATCTTAAACTATTATTGACATCTGCCGGTGTTGATTGTGATGTTCACAAAGTATACTCTTGATATTCATCGACTATCATATCACTGATGTCATCTATTCCTGAACGCTCAGAAGGCTTGTCAGCAGGGATAAAATGACGATGCACCAGAACTATAGAAATGTTAGGTTTTGGTCAGTAACGTGTACTTAGGTCCGGAAGTCTTAGTCTTTCAAGATTAAGAATATTGAAGTTACGCACTCCGTTTGAGGCCGGAACATGTAGTAATCCCACCACCGAGCCGCCAACCACCACCGGTCACCTCTCAATAATCTTCTCGGCTTCGGTCACGGAAGAGGAATTGAGATTGCTGTTTGGTCCTTAGCAAACGAACACAGAACTGGCACTTACAAACACCTCTCTTTACAAATGAACAAATCGGAAGCTATCACCTCTGCAACTCTAGCCTACGACTGTAGTAACACTGTTAAAAGTTGTCATCGTGTCTGTAAGTCATGGTGGCTAGGTCATTTATCCATTACTTTGTATTCACGAATGACTCATACCGCCCTCAAGAATTTTAAGCATTGAAGGTTAGCTTGTCGTCGTCAAGCGATGGTTCGCGGTGATTTTCCTAAAGGATACCTCTAGATTTATCGACTGGTCCATCGATATCCACGTACCTATCCTATTGACATCGAAATCGAAACCAAACTCAACAAATTTTTGATGAATCCAGAATCCATACTCTGAATGTTATATTTGATGTCTTGTCATTGAAACCAACATACTCGATCTTGATCACTTCTTTAGGGCTCGAGAATTCTCATTTCTGTATCAAGTAAGGCTTTTGTCAGGTGAATTTCCGTCGAATATAAATAATGAAATAGAAAGAGGCTCTCTTACCACTGAATAATCTAAACACGATATGTTGGAGACGATCAGCCAGGTAAGAGCTTACATTGGCGAGCATTTACTAGGTATGGAAAGCTACATGTTTCTGTTGAATACACGTTGAAAATATCAGAAGATCTATAATTAATCTTGTAATATAAGAAAACTTGATAATACTTTGTCGTAGGTATACACCTGAATAATTGCTGCTTGAATACTGTAGCGGAAATGGGAACTCTCTAAAAAAAGTCCAAGATCGTCCAATTCACTCACTTAGCCATAAGAGATACCACAACCCGAAGTTTGCAAATCTCAAGTACTAGATATAAAATCGACTTTTTTTTGAAATAACAACCTACCCATTCAAAAGACCCTAGCTAATGAATTGCACTGGCACATGGGGCAAAAAGTTTAAATCCAAATACCCAATGAGTCCTAGAAAGCAAGTAGAAAGAAGAAGAAGAAATAATTACTGCGGGTGGGTTGATAATTTGGAGAATGTTAACCTTGTTGTCAACCTTGTCGTCAACCTTAAGCTTCTACAAACAACAAATAAGATTTCAAAGCTAATTTGTGATTTAGTTTACGTGACAGCGATAGAGTGATTTGGTTTCTCGATAGTGAAAGTTGAGATTCGTCATTAATGAAGCTTAGAAGAGATATAGGATTCGGGAGTCTAAGATTGCTTGTGAAGTTATTTTTAAGAGTTGGGAAATATGTTCTTAATCTATAGTCATATGCTTTTAGAACAAACAGCTTTGTTATATGAACTCAATAGATCGTTTGATAGTGAAGTACAGGTAATGAATTTTATACTCTTGTCCAAAGATCTCTTTGACTTCCTCGGTTAATTATTCACATTTCGACTTGGACTATCTTCCTCACTTCATGTTTTCCCCACAAGGTAGAGCTTGTAATATCATAATATCTACTCAGAATAACCAAAATTCGTAAAAACTAATTTAAAAGGCTCCTAACTCCCAATTTCCCCAGTATAGCCCTTAAAAAAAGTTGTATAATTGCAACAAGACCCAGGGAGTTGAAGTTTGAAATCTCGCCCGTTATACTCAGATTATATCAGAAATGAACTAGTCCCCACAATGAGTTTTATACAATGATGATAAAAGCTATACAGAAAGCGGAGGTATTATATAATAACAGTAATTATTCTCATTTTTATTTAATGTAAATTCTATACTAATCAACAATATCTTATAACACAGCTATCGACGACAAAATAGCCTTCTATTAAACCCACTGCTTCAACTTTCCAGCCACGGCTTGATTATTCTTCTTCTCCCTCCTCCTTCCTCGTCCACTTTCTCTCCCATCACCCCAACCATATCCCACAACAAACACTTACAAATCTTCCCTCCCATTGAAAGGATAATCGTTGTAGATGTGAAGAAGGTTATCTTATTATTAAAACTACAATTCTTAATTAATTTTATATAGACACAATCATTATCATACTTTCTATATTGAGCCTAACACCATCATCTCTATCACTTTCACCAGTCCATTATCTCCAAAAACCCCCCCTGCCCAACGATCTAGGTAAACTAAAAATCTAGAATTTCCCATCCACCTAGTGATTCACATCCACATCTACATCCTCACCTCGTCACATTCTCATCTTCCCTTAATTTCTTAATTCTTTAATTCCCTCATCAAACCATAACTCAAGCCTCATTTAAATATTAAAGTCCACCAGTCTTACCACATCAAATAAAATAAAAACATCTAAATTTAAATCTAAATCTAATCAATCCATCTGTACACTTTATATCTCTATATTATACACCTACAAGTTATATATCTATATTATATCATTCATTCAATAAAATCCTACTAAAGATCTCACAAAATAAAATTATAAGATAATTATTAAATCAAAATACTTTATCAAATTATATTAATGAATTACTTTATATATATTATTTTATGCAAACCGCAATATAAAGATTTTAAAATATATAATTAATTTTATTTAAAAATAATAAATACAAAAAATAACAAAACAACCTTATAAAAAAAACTAGAATTAATAATCAAAAATAAATATATAAAATATATTATTATTATAAAGTTTTTATAACATAATCCTGATTTAATATTAAGATGTTAATTTTGTCAAGTCAAAATAAAATTATATCATTTCTTATGATTTGACTGTCGGATTAAATATATAATTATATTGTTAAGACGTTAGAAAAATATATTATTTATAGCATCTACACCCTCCCTTCCTCCCTTCCTCCCTTCCTCCCTTCCTCCCTTCCTCCCTTCCTCCCCTTTCCCCATTCCCCATTCCCCACCCCTCTACTACTTCTCCCTTCACCAAACCACTACTCTATCCACCCTACACTATCTTCTATCTTCTTCTATCTTCCGCCTCTTTTTCTTTGAGTAATTGAAGAGGAAAGAAAAAATAAGGAAAAGAGAGGAGAACAAAAAGAAAGAGTTATAGTAGGTATTTTGTAATGACTCGATGTACGGATCGTCGGGGTGGAGGGCGGGAGGATAGTTGTGTCAATTCCATTTATAAGGATATACTCATTTTCAAATTTACATCGAAACACCTGCACAATGAACATTTACCATAAACCAGCAAACAAGAAATAACACATATAGTAAAATAAAATTCATTTTATATCATCCCCCACAATAATTCTATCTATCATCATCATCCACCACCCCCCTTAATAGTTAACCGCACTAACCACTCTCCCCCTACACTCACCAAAACCAACCAATCCTCCCTCTTCCTCCCCACAAGTACCCCTCAAAGTAACCTCATCACCATCCTTCAGAAACTTTCTCGTCTCCATGCCCACCAACCAAATATCCTTTGATCCACCCCAGGACATCTCAAGTAAACTACCCATTTCCTGATCACCTTCCCCAGTAATCGTCCCACTACCCAATAAATCCCCCGTCCTCATATTACATCCCCCACTACTATGATGCGCGAGCATTTGTTCAAAACTCCATATTAAATTCTTCGAATTAACTTTTCCAATCGTAGTTGTGCTTCCATCTGGAGTTGTAAGATCAATTTCTAAATGAATATCCAGACCGGTGTTATCATTTTCCTCTTTCAAATAATCCAACAATTCACCCGATTTCGACATTTCCGTCTCCAATTTAGCCGCTCGGAAAGGTGCAATAGCATCTTGTAAAACAACCCATGGACTAATACTCGTTGCGAAATTCTTTCCATTAAATGGACCTAATGGAACATATTCCCAATTTTGAATATCTCTTGCGGACCAATCATTCATAAGGACATATCCGAAGATATTTTCTCCAGCCTTTGTAACTCTGATAGGTTCTCCAAGTTCATTTCCTGTACATAAGAAACATCCAAGTTCTAATTCTATATCGAGTCGTCTAGAAGGTCCAAATATAGGTTTCTTAGGCCCAGGAGCCTTGGGATCGAGTATTATCTGACCATTTGGACGTGTAATTGGAGTTCCAGAGACGATAACAGATGAGGCGCGACCATGGTACCCAATTGGCACATGCGTATAATTTGGTTGAAGTGCATTTTCTGCTCCCTTTAAATAATATGTTAGAATCTCTCACACAAAACCAGGCAAACAAAACATATACAAACTCACTCTAAACATAGTCCCCGCATTCCTAGCATGATTGATACCCGCGAAAAAATCCGTATAATCACCAATTCTCATTGGCAGATGATTTTTCCAATCTCCCTCTTTCAACAAACAGTCCTTTTGAACCTCCTCATTATCCTTCAATAATTCCGGATATGGAGTATCCTCCTTAAAAACCTCTTGTATATATTTTCTAACTTCCCGATGAACGGGCTGACCTAAAGCTGCGAACGCATTAAGATTTGGTTCTTCGAAGACGGAGAGGTGATCTTTGAAGGAAGGAAGTTTCTGGAAACCCGATGATTTAGAGAAGGCGAGAAGATCCAAGACATGGTTCCCAATGCGGATGGCTGGTCGATGGATGGTTTGGGAATTGCGGGAGGTGATGATACCAAAGGGGATATTGAGGATAGAGAAGTCGCTGTTAGGGGGGATACGGAGCCAAGATTTGAGAGGAGGCATTTTCGGAATGGCTGGCGAGGAGGGGCTGTGCGTTAAGGACTTGATAACTAGGAGGATGTTGAATTTGAGGTAAATCGAAGAAATTGATCGTAGGTGTAAGTAAGTATGAAGTAAACCACACACAGCTTATTACTCGTATACGATACAATCTCCAACCTAACAAAAATCAACAACAACATCCAATATTTTCCATGCCGACGTCAAGCTCAACTATTTCGTATAGAGGGGTCAAGCCATTGCCATTGCCATTGCCATGGCCATGCAGAGCTTCCGAAGGTTGGGTGCGGAATGAACTTTTTTTTGTGGAGCCGTGGGGAAAACTTTGCTGCTGCCGTACGCATAAAGAGCCCAACGGTATTAATTCCGTCCTGTCACCTCGACGAAATTCCGCGACAATGCAGGAATGCAGGAATGCGGCAAAGACGATGACAGTGATGTGATGTGATATATGATATATCCGAGTTTATCAGATTAGGTCAATTTCTTAATATTCGTTTAAGAGATCAGTGTTAAATACCTACCAAGAGATTGATTGAATTTTTAAAGTTTTAGTTCCAGCCGATGACTACCACCTGATATGAATACATTGGTCACTAGCCTTTGTTGTATATGAATGATATGGGAAGGGCTATTGTGCTTGATGAATTTAGATGAATACATATAAATTAGTAGTACCAGTAAAGCTGCAATTTTACTCCATAATTCAAAGTTTCCACCATATTTCCAGGCCAGTTAATATCTACAGCCATCGCAATAGCAAGCTTCCGCTCCAAATGCAAATGCAAATTAATACACAATCGACCCTATATATGCCACCACCTATATATTCAGCCCTAAAACAAATCCCTCAACTGCCTAAACAATTCATCCCCGTCCCCAAATGCAGGGCCAACACCTCCCACACTTTCTCCTCCCAATCCCGGTGTCCCGTCAATCCCATTACTAACTCCATACCCATTTTGCCCAACTCCAATTCCTAAAGCCGCTTCAAATAAGTGGGTCATTTCATAGCTCATTTGATTTCCCGTCATCGGACTGCTTCCTGTTCCCGTACCAATTCCTTGTCCACTTCCGGGTCCATTTGTCTCGAATCCTGCTCCCAGGCCCGTGATTTCATGACCTGCCAACCCAGCCATCGCAAGTGCGGCAGTACTTTGAGCATCGTCCGCTCCTAATGTAACAGTAAGATTGTTATTTGATGCTGGGCACAGCCCGAGTTTCGGCGCTACTTCTTTTAGACCTTTGATTGTTTTCCAAAGACGCTTCGAAACAAAGGATTTATTAGAGAAGCCCTTGACTAGATCGAGTGCCATATAAAATTCATCGCGACAAATTGAGCTAAAAGTTACTGGGGCATGACAACTTGCGAGAAAAATGACCGCCAATGCAGAAATAAGAAAGTAATTGAAGCAGACTTGTTGTGCGCGGTAAATATCTGTGGTTTGATTAAGATGTGTGAGAGCGCGAATGGTATCTTTTGCAAACTCGACAACTGTAGATGCATGTTGAACATGTTCTTGAATAGCAGATGCTGAATGTAGAACAGGTCGATAAATGAGGATACGCATTTGATTGGCACGTAGGTAGAGAAGTATTTGAAGCCGATGAACTCCCCGAGTTGATGCTCGTGGAGAGTTGGCTGTTGGAAGCTGTAAATGAGGTGGTATGGTTTTCTGCCATTGAGTAATTTGGTAATCTAGATAATCCAACTCCTCTGTATTTATCGTCATCGAAGGTGTAGGGGAAAAGGAGCAGATCGAGCGCCACACTTTAGAACCTATTCTCGAATATGCTATCATAACATGTAGATAAGGGACGGTGTCATCCTAAAAAATCAGTAAAGTCACCAGCGAAGATAAAGGATTACATACAGGTTCTGGTAAATTAGGATCAAGATCTGAATCTTGTAAAGCAAAAGGCATGCCTGTACCAAAACTCCATCTTCGATCAAGTACATAGATTGACCAGAAAAGTTTGGTGATAGCCATCCGTTCTTTGTCATCAATCACAATTCTGAGAAAAGAATCACGTCTGTGGAGACCTAACTCAATTGACATACGCGCGACTTGCCCAATTATACGCCAAGCTAATGCTTCTTCGTCACAATGAAAATGAAACATTGACTGTGGAGTTTGTTAGTATGAAGATGATACCTGAGTGAATTTCAAGTAGAATTGTAGTAAATACAACAAAAACAAAGGAATGGATTGGGAGAGTGGGAAGAAATTGCTTTGTATCATTTGGTAAAGACTGATGGGGATACGAGTAGACGATATATGCCATAAGCATGTAGGCTGGTGCGTGGGTAACAATTACAATTGGTACCAAGCAGCCATTTGAGGTTTTTCGATGCCGAAACTTCGAACAATGGCTCTCGCGCGTGGATTCGCCCACCAAGGACTTATTAGGATACACAAGATCTGTAAAGACAAAACAGGACAGAACGTAAATAAGTGACCTCAATCAAACAAAACCAAAGGGCGTCTAATGTCATTGGCTGAACACGCTGTGTAGCTTTCAGGTAAAGCATTCCAGAGGAGCGGAATTGAAGCCCGCGGGGACCAAATCATATCTCTCGGGACCTCTTTTTGATTTTCCTTCCCATTCTGCAAGGTGCTCTTCTTCGAAACTGGTCTCCAGTTGAAGATTCTTGGAGGATTAGAATGTAGACCAACGCCTGCAATGACGTTGAAGTTTTGGTGGACCTTCGCTTATCCGAAATCATGAAGGGATAATTCTGCGACACACTCTAGGCTCGAGGCTAATATCTCCATAATGAACGATCCGCTCAACAATAATCCAGATTGGCCTTAAGATTCAATGGTGGATCTGCAAATTTTAACCAGAGACAGCATTGTGTAGGTTGGGTTCTTTCCGAGGCTGGTGTTCTTTCTCTTGATTTCCCAGACCAAACATGGTAATGATGATTCATGATCCTTGGACATTTTGCATCATACTTAACAAACCAACTCACTCGAGTTTCTGATTCCTTTGATCTTCCACCACCTTAACAAATATAATCTGCAAAACACAACAAAAACAACAATAAACAAGAATTCCCTCAACTCACCACAAGGACCAAGAAAGGTAAATTTTTGACCTCCACAAATTCATCATGTAAAGCACGATCAGCAGCCTCTCTAACACTCTCGAATAATCGATAAGCCAAATCACTTTGCCCGCATCCCTCGACTATCATTGAAATAGCCATGACAGCTTTCAACTTACAGGAATTAATATCATTAATACCTTGATTGTTGTTTGAAGTGGCAAGGCCATTTCTCACGGCAGCATCAATGAAATCAAAAAGGTTGCATCCATGAATAATCAATTCTTCAATATCCAATATAGGATACATCAGACCCATTTCTTCTTCGTATACCCTACAAAGTCGAATCATCTCGTCACGATTTACACTTCTCATCGGATCTGGAGCTCGAGCCCCATTAAAATTAATGGATGGCAATGCCCTTGGCCGTGCCGGGGGTGGTGATGGCATTGGTGTAGGATCTTGAGTAGCGATTCCTTCATCTGCCAATCCCTGATATCCCATATTATGAAGTGTGTTTTTTGCCACGTCTAAGCCAAAAGCTGAGCTAGTCGGTCCACGAAATGAAGGATGTCTGGGTACAGGTTTATATCGACTCATGGGGGAGAGCGCCTGTGCTCCGGAGTGTTGTGAGATTGACACTGATCTTTCTGATGATGTGCCATAAGGTATGCTGCCATCACCGCTTCCACCACCAGCCGCGCGCATGGCATTGAGATTCGCGTATAGATTATCGACTTGTTCTTGTAATGAGGCTAGCTGTGAGTTCATTTGCCGAAACTCCTCTGATTCCTTGAAGCCATTGGTACAACAATTCGGAGCATATTGACATTCGAGGTTGAGATTTCCGCATCGCTGACATGGTGTATTTCCATTACATTTAATCTTTCTTCGTTTGCATTCATTACTATAAAATGTATATTAGTATTACTGAAGCCTATTTCTTCAATTCCAGATTGTAAAAATGTCCGCAGGAAGTTGGGAATGCTCTTCTTCCTCGGGCGCATATCCGTTAAAGCATCAAGGAGCAGTGATTCTTCAATCATCTTTCAAGGCACCAGGACAGAACATCACACAAAGACGAACAACAAAAATGACCAATTCCACTTACCAGGCGATAGATATATATCTGTTTCTCTTTGCTCTTGTATGTGGAGCGCCTTCTCTATCCCTTGAAATACCATTTGTTGTTGATTCCCCTTCACCGGTTATACTTTTTCTCTTCTTTCCGCTCTGAGCCCCAGTATCCGCGGGTGATTCCGAAGACTGTTGACCATTCATGTTATCGAAAACTGGGATAGCAATGGGTGACTCGGCGATGTAGTTTAAATCGTTAACTTGTAATTCCAGTATATTCATTATCACATTGGGAGTAAAAATGTTAAATGACTTTGTGCATCGGGCTGAAGATGTATGAAAGTAGATGGTAAGGATTTACTCGGGACTTGAAAATAGGTCCCCAGTAGATTTTCATTTCTAACAAATCAGAGGTTCGGGATTTGGTTTTCGGTATTATTATGCGGGGAAGTGTTAACTGGACAAGGATAATTTGGTAAGGGGGTGGTAGCACGTGATGTGATATGAAGATCATGAGTGGAATTATATGAAAAATGGGTTTTCTTTAAGAACCAAACACTGGTAATCCATGAGATGATCCTAAATGATATACATCCAAATGAAACCAATTGATAAGGCGATCAACATCGAATTTACATTTCAATATTCACAAGGTTATCCCCTTTTCCCTATCCAATGAGAGAGAGCTTCATCAATGGGAGCTCTATCAAAGCTGTCTTCATCAAAGCTACGGTAGGTCCCGTGTAGCTTGAACAAAGCAAACGAATGAGCTGCCAATGGGAACATCCTAGCATAACAATTTTAGGTTAGATTTGCTGAAATATGTTTTAATAATTAGTAAGAGAATCTTTGTTGATTGTGTCAAATGACTGACAGCTGTCAATCCATTGGCCTTTACTCGAAATGCGAAAGCTAATCCCTCACCCCATTGATTAAATGTATAAGAAAACATCTCATTCTCATTTATAATAGGTGAGAAGATACAAACCAATAATATATATATCTACTCGAGTATAAATTCGTGAAATTCCAAGAAATCCCCCAACCCAGATATTATGTCATCTCATCATTCTCGACCCCGCTTTTTCCTCGCTTCCATGGAGATGGTCCCACCTACATATTCGGCTTTTCTACCCCCGCGGACCTAACCTATCCCTTCCGCATTTTACAACACACAACACCAACCCCAAACCTCAACCTCCCAATATTCCAACCAAAAAACAAAAAACAAAGAAACCACAAAACAACAACCATTACTAACCACCACTAACCAGTATCTTCATCACCAACTCAAACTAAAGAGAAACTTCACCTCCCACCAGCTCCTTACCTATTTATTCTCGATCATATCATTGCAAGATAAGATCTTACAAAATACCAACAAGCTTCACATATCTTCTACATATCAATCTACACTCAGCAGTTTTGCAACCTTTCTCCGTTAATTTTACTAGAGCTTTTTATATATTGAATTCCGGGTATGAAATGTATGGTAAGCCAATGGTCTATTGCGACAATATTTATGACGTCCAGGAAGAGCTCAAGTTATAACAATCCTCCAGCCGCAGCTGACTAGCGATGTTAAGTTTCTGGCTACTTATGTGTTTTACCTTATACGTTTGGAATATAATATAATAAAATGTAATAAAAAAAAGTGTAATCATCTAAAGCGCTATGTAAATGTTATGCTATGCCATGAATCATAAATCATGATGAGTCGACTGCCAACCACCATCACCTCCATCCCTTCCATTCACGCCAACCTCTCCTTCTGTCCACGCCATGCCACGCCATCCACCCACCCACTCACTGTAAATTCCTCGTCCTCTCCTCCGCCTCCATCATCCACCTCTCCAAAGCTTCCTGATCCCTCACCCTGAACCCCACCTTAAACGGATACGGATCCGTCGTCAAACTAGTCTTAACTGCATTACACCCCAAAGCATCCAAAATCGGGTAGTCCTTCGGATCTTTCGGAGGTACAATTCGGAACGCGGTAATAACCCTAATAAACGCAGTGTAGAGTTCTCGATTTGCGAGATGCGAGCCAGCGCACATGCGGGTGCCGGCTCCGAAGGCATAATGTGGTGTGCCGCCTCCTTCGATGTTGTCGAGGTAGCGTTCGACGGAGAAGGTTTTGGGTTCTTTGAAGTGTTTTGGGTCGTAGTCGGCTGCCCAGGCGTTCTGGGGTTTGTTAGTGGAGGTGCGCCCAATGGAGATGGTTGGAAAGGCTTACCATGTAAAATGTTGTGCCGGCTGGGACAATAGCTCCTTCGTATTCGATATCTCTAATACTAGTTCTTGGTAGACAAATAGGAATGACGGTGAAGAATCGAAGGACTTCTCGAACGAGAGCGGTGACATATGGGACTTTTTCTTCAAGAAGACATTTTTCCCATGCATCTCCATCGGGATAAACTTTCATGATTTCTTCATATGCTCGTTTTTGAATTTCTTGACCATGTTCAGAGGAAAGGTATGCAATACCCATGATCAAGTTACCAGGAACGGTATCAAGACCAGCGGAAACCATAGTTAGACAGATAGATTTAAGTTCACCTAAAGCGAGTCAGTATTTCACTTCAAGAAATATCTCGAAGACTTACTTTCGTTTAACTCTGTATCCGGATCCTTGATAATATTACCGGTAATGCAAGGATTGTCAGTACCATCAGCGATTTGCTTCTTAAGTTTTTCCAACAAGAAATTCAAGTACTTGTCTCTTCTTTCTCTGTATTCAATAGCTTTCGTATTCGACTTCGGTAGCAGTCTTAACAATGGAATGTAATCTTGCCAGTTATTACTCGTCGATCTCAAAATGCTAACAGCTCTTTCCACATGACAAATCTCCTCAAGTAAATCCCTATCCTTAACTTCATGAAGTCTTGATCCATAGTTCAATGTCAAGGAAGTATTGAGAGCAAATCTTTGAAAGTAAGAAATAGGATCAATATCGACTTCTCCGTTCTTACAATCATTGAGTAATTCTTTGATAGAGACTTTGGACTCAAGATCAATGATAGGCATATATGATTGGGTAGCTGGTCGATTTAAAGCAGTCGCTGCAGCCTTTCTTCTTTTTTTACAAGATTCATCCCATGGAGAAGTACCAATAGTAAAACCTTGAGAAGTAGAAACCACACTGTGAAAAGTATGAAGAGTTGGACGCGAAATCAAGGCTGATTGATTGGTGACCCAGAAGTGACGAACTGAATCAAAAGTATTGACAAATACGATTCGCTATCAATAATCAGCGTAAGATCTTGGAAGAAAAGCTAACATCACTCGCCTTATTTCCAAATCGTACTTGAAAGACGGCGCCATACTTTTCAGCCAGTCTTTTAGCTACTAATGCATGAGTGATACCAAATTCTAAAAGACTTCCGAATAGAGGATACCCAGGTATTTCAGGGATATTCTTAATCTTTGGTGTATCTGTGCGATTGAGATATCGTATGATGAAAAAGATAGCAGCGACAATAGCAATGCCTATTGTTTGATGAGACATTATGAAAGAAGATGGTGAAGATGGTGAAGAGGAGAAGAAAGAGTGAAGAGAGAAAGTCAATGTGGATGGGAAGTAGGAAGATTCGAGGGAAAATAGCCGATACATAAATCAACTTTAAGTATCTAAAGGAAGTCTATTCTAATATTGACTCGTGCTTCAGGGAAGAGATGACGATCCAGAAATGATGATCCAGAAACCATGAATCCGGAAATCATGAATGCATCTTCATGTACCTAGAAAAGGAGATCAAATGATTGGTTGAGCGTCGTACACGGATCGGTCGGATCGGATCGTGCAGGCCCAGATTTCTGTATTCCGCGCGGGTTCCCTTCCGTACCAGACTGAAGTGAATATAGAGATGAAACTAGGTTGGGAAAAGCTTTGAACATTCCAGATTAATGGAGACTGTGTGGAGAGAAGATCGATTTAGCTGCAGTTTCATGCATTCTTTGATGCGGAACGAATTCCGTTGATATAAAATCGGTGTGAGTGGTGTGAGTGATGTAAATGTATGCGAGTGTTCAATATTCGTGCTGCCAGATGACTGACTATATTGGTATTACGAGCAATAAAGAAGAAAAGGAAAACCTTGGAGAAGAACAGACAGTTAGATCCGGAGTTTTTATAATTTCTGCTCGGACAGAATAAAGAATTTCATTTTTGGTATTCACCCGCGGAATGATCGGATTTTGCAATATTAACCATTGCCATATGGTCGGTTACACACGGGGGAAAAAGCTTCATCATGGCGGTACAACAACCAACAACTCGATGAAGTTGCCCATTGTCATTGTATTGAAAAAGGCTTTCGTAATTGAACTAGGTAGGTATATATTCACATCCTTCGCGTCTTTATTTAATGAATTTTCAAAATTGGCTTTTGTGATTTGATTTCTATATAATTCCTTGTAGCTTCTCATTTAATTCAACTCTTCACATACCCTCCCTTACACTGCCACCAAATAATTACATACCATTTCTAAACATGCCTGTCACGAACTTCAGTACACCAGAAAAGTACAAATATCAGAATGGTTTTGGTTCATATCATGAGTAAACCTTTCCTCACAAAATCCACCATCAACCTCTCTAACATCTTCGCAGATCCGAAGCTATCGCAGGTGCTCTTCCAATAGGTGCCAATTCCCCTCAAAAGCCTCCTTATGGTCTGTATGCCGAAAAGTTATCCGGAACAGCATTCACAGCACCACGACACGAAAACCAACAATCATGGCTTTATCGAATTCTACCATCCGCATCACATCAAGCCTTTACTCCTCGCGAAACTTCATCTTATAATACAAATCCAGAAGGGAATAGGTTACATCAGATACCAAATCAATTGAGATGGGATCCTTTCGATCTGGATGAGACGGTAGATTGGGTACACAGTTTGAAATTGGTAGCTGGAGCTGGAGATCCCACATTAAAGCATGGAATTGGAATATTCATATTCGCAGCTGGAAAAAGTATGGCTAAGAATGAAGCATTCTATAGCGCTGATGGAGATTTCTTGATCGTGGCACAACATGGAGTACTAGACATACAAACTGAACTTGGAAATCTTCTCGTTCGACCAAATGAAATTTGTGTTATTCCTCGAGGAATCAGATATCGAGTTGAACTTCCAGAGGGACCCGTTCGAGGATATATCTTGGAATTATATTCGGGACATTTTCAGCTACCGGAATTGGGACCCATTGGTTCGAATTGTTTGGCCAATGCTAGAGATTTCCAATCTCCAGTTGCTAATTTTGAAGAAAATACCAATGGTCAATTTAAAATCCTTTCGAAGTTTAATGGACATCTCTTTGAAGCCATTCAAACACATACGCCTTTCGATGTTGTAGCTTGGCATGGACTTTATTACCCATACAAATATGATCTCGGACGTTTCAACACTATCGGTAGTATATCATTCGATCATCCTGATCCAAGTATCTTCACCGTCCTCACTGCCCCTTCAGATCATGCGGGTACCGCCATTGCCGATTTCGTCATCTTTCCTCCACGCTGGCTCGTAGGTGAAGATACATTTCGACCACCCTGGTATCATCGCAACACCATGTCCGAATTTATGGGTCTCATCGGTGGAGAATATGACGCGAAAACAGGAGGGGGTTTTCAACCCGCTGGTGCTTCTCTACATAATATTATGTCAGCTCATGGTCCTGATGCAGGTACTCACGATAAAGCATCGAATGCGCCATTGAAACCAGCCAAGGTTGGAGAGGGAAGTATGGCGTTTATGTTTGAGAGTTGTTTGATGGTGGGAGTTACGGAGTGGGGTTTGAAACAATGTAGGAAGGTTCAAGAAAATTATAATGAGGAGAGTTGGACGCCTTTGCCGGCTCATTTTAAGATTCCGGAGGGGGTTAAGAGAATTAATCATTTAGTTTCGGGAGGAATTGAAATGTGAGTTGACATTGGAAGATTTTGGGTGAGAACGAGAAGACGGAAGTTAATGAGGATGTTGCACATTATAAGCTTACTTGAGGGTTTTCGTAGTAGGTAGTAGGTAGTGGATACTAGGTGGTTTTATATAGCACCTACATAGTTTTTAAGTGTTTACAAATTACAATATCAAATATCATATCATCAAAAGTCACCCCATTTACATGTAAGAAAGATTATATATAGATATAGATATAAACGGATCCACCAATCAATCCCAATCACCCCACCTCGTAACCAGTCAAAAAAATCCCCAAAAAAGACCCAAACCAGATCTAATCTAATAAAAGAAAATAAAAGAAAATAAAAGATGGAAAGATACCGACTTTTACTACCCTGGGTTATGAAAATGATATTTAGTGATAGTATTTAGTATTTAGTATTTAGTAGCTGGCATTTAGTAGCTATCTCATGATAAGTCTTATTTCGCTTCTTTCCGCGCCTTTTTCTTTGCTAGTTTTCTTGGATTTTTGAGGGGATTTTGGAGGAGGTTTTGGAGAGGTAGAGGTGTGGAGATGTGATGTTGTGGGGGTGTATGGGATGGGAATTAAAGGGATGGGATGGATGAGGAGTGGATGGGATGGGATGGAGTATGGATAGGTGAGGAGATGATGGATTTGATGGTATGGGGTATTATGGGATGGATGAGGAGGGGGTAGATAATAGGTTGGGTTTTTGAATGTATGTTGGAGTTGGAGTTGGAGCTGGAGTTGGTGGGGGGTTATAAAGGTAGGTGGTTAATTGGTAGTATAGGATGTTGGAAACGGATGTTGGAAACGGATGTTGGAGAGGTGTTGTAAATGGTGTTGGAGAAGAGAAGTTGGAAAGGGATGTTTGGGAGGGGTGCTGAGGAACAGATGTTGGAGAGGTATTGGGGATGTTGAATAAGAAGTCGGAAAAAGATGTTGGAGAGGGATGTTGGAGAGGAATTCTGGACAGGTGTTGGAAAGATGGTTGTGAGGGGATATTGGAGAAGAGGAGATATGGAGAATTGGGTGTTTCGTTTCGTTGGTTTGTAAATCTGATGTATCACATCGATGAACCCCTCTCTGAAGTTACTCTATTAGTAAGATCTTACATGACATCAATAACCCGATATCATCCGTTTCGCTCAATTTGAACTCAACGTTACATATCTAACATGCAATCATGGATTTTATGCATTTGGTAAGACCCTTCTCGACCTGAGTGTCTGGAGACTCAACGATAGGATTGCGTGTCATCGTTCCCCGTGGCTAAGGATAAAATGCCTCAGATTGGCATGAAATTTGCACGATGATGATCGGTTAACTTCATCGGGATAGATGTAAGGTGATTACTTTGTATTGAATGGTTCGGATCATTGAAATAAAGTTTTGCATACGAATGTTTCTCCTCAGAGTTGAATTGATGCAACTGGTGATGTAGGATCCGAGCGGTGTTTTGCAATGTTGGTTGGATGGTGAGGATTCAAGTGGATTGAAGTGCATGATCATATTACCCCTCACGAAAGAAACCAATTGAATGATTGTGTTACCCCTCTTTTGATTTGACATGATGAGCTAGAATTGAACTTAATTGACGGATTTGATTTATTTGATACAATTAATTATCTCTTTCTCTTTTTGTATGAATACAATTTTCCCTCACTGCATTAGGATAAGTATATCCTCAATTCATACACTTTTATTTCGATAAATTTGATAGGTTTTTGACGAACAGACAAAGAATCATCAAATGAACTGATGTCCCCAACCAATATGACGTGACAAGTCGTCAGCAGATTTCATTGCGAAACCTGGGGTATGACCCACTTCCCCAGTTTTTAGTGCAATTTTGAAAGGAAAGCATCGGAACTTGACTTACCGGACAAGGGAACAGTTTCGTACACTAAGCTTCTTTGGGTGTTTGAATCTCAGGGGAAATACTATATATGGAATGGGGTGATTTGAGGAATGGTATGAGTGGTATGAGATGATGAAAGATTGTACCACCAATATCCTTTCAAGAGCATAATGATCTGAGGAATCGAAAGTCTCGTGAGCAAATGTTGGAGGATTTTGACAAATGATATGATGGAATTGAGAAGGTCCAGGATACATGGTTTATTACTTGAATAACTTCCTGCAATTAAATGGAGAAATTCATCCTTCGAAGGTGGTAGTTACCTTTATTTAATTCGGATAATTGGGACCAATCACCTTATTGTTGCGTGACCTGATGGATACATGAAGTAGTTTCCCCTCATTTGAAAATCTAATGACTTCCTCCTTCTTTCCTCCTGCTATTCAATCCCACAAACTCATACACATCCATTGATACATTAACACATCAACATCTCGTACCTGAATTTATCATACCAACATTTTCATCCACATACTTCACCTTTTTTGATATTTATTCCATCAAAGAAAGATTCTCCCCAAGCATCAACTGTCAAATACCTTTCTTAGTTATTTGATCAAACACACCATTCTGCCTTTGTCTCTCGATAAATATCGTGAGGTATCGTATTTACTACATCAAGTAAAGCAAACCACTTCGATCAATCATGTCTGCAGACACAGCAACTCAACCAATCAATACAGCAAATGCTTCTCAAGATGCTGATCCTTCACCTTTAACTAAGGTTGACTCGGCTGTTCAAGGTTTATCGAGTAGTCCTACTGATGAAAAGACTACTAAACATCGGAGAACAAGTTCAAGTGCTCCTGGTGTATGGAATATTAATGACTTGGGTATGTATCTTTCCTTTCATGCATGAGTATCCCCCCATCTCTCCTTATGACATAACTAACAACCTGAACAGAGAAAGAGGGAAAAGAACTAGAGATTGCGAAAGAAACTCAAAAGCTGAACTGGTATGTATATCTTACACCCCACTTCATCAAATACAGCCTCATTTCAACAACTTTTTGAACAACGGCTGATGACATACTTATCACATAGGCGTATAAACAAATCACCAATGGCTCTTGATGATCCTGAAAAGGCTTTCCTGAAGAAATCTCTTACTACACCACCAGTCAAGAAGATTGACTTACATTTCCCTCTTGGGTTGGAAGTTACGGCGAGAAATATGAAGGGTGTTACTATTAAGGATGCATTAGATGCTATCTATAAGCAATTCAGAAAGAAGGTATGATCTCCCTAGCACTTTCTTATTTTTCATGAAAAACTTTATCTCTCTCATCTGCCACAATTCCAAACACAACGTACTGATACATCTCAAATCACAGGCAGATGATGAACTCGAAAATCCAGTCCTCGCAGGTTTCGAATGGGATAAAGACGAATCATGGACTCGTCTCATCGTTCACTGCAAGAAAGAAGGAGCACCACAACCCAAGAAGAAGAGCAAGAAAGCCGGTAAAGAAGGAGAAGAATTGTAGTTTTACTACTATCTCTCTCTACCTTTCCTTATCTTTTCTGCCTACTCGTAAACTACACTTGTTGTTCGGATAGAGCATTGATGGCGTGCGAGATTAAGGATGATTTTTTTTACGGATTTTGAGAATGGATGGGTGCTTGAATTTTGCTGGTGTGATATTGATGGATTTTGCTTGGGTTATGAATGATTTGCTATGATATGGATGGGATGGGATAGGGAGTCGGATTTGGTGATAAGTGGATGCGATGGATTGAGATCGATGATATTCCTCTCCTTTTTTAACTTGTTAATTTGCTATCTAAGGTTTTAAACCATAACTTTATACGAGATATTTAGCTAGCTGAATTAAAAGCTTGGCTTCATTTTATTTGGGTTTTCCGCTAAGGATATGAGTTGGAGTTTGTAGGTCTTGATGCTGTTATATGATTGATGTGTTGATGTACTATCTATGTGTATACTGTTTGCTTTGCCTACTTACTAGATATTGCTATAGAATATGAGATACGACAGTGGAATTAAAATGAAGATTTAAAGGTGTTTGAAGCCCGTTCTAGTTTTTCGACTCTTTAGTTTTGTATATAGAGTGTGGTGTTGTAGTGTTGTATTGTAAAGTATTATAGTATAATATCGTGTTACATTAGCAACTTTTTCTTGATCTAAATTTAAATTGTTTTGGTTTTAGGGTTTTCTCTTTGGAAAGGGGTTGGAGTTGGTTGGGAGTAATTGATGGACTGGCAACTAGATGGGTGAGGGAGAATGTGAAGGAGGAGAGGATGTAAAGGAATGAGAAGGAATAGGGAGGTGAATTGGAAATGGAAGGAGAGGGAGAGGGGAGGGGAGTGGAAGGAGCTGGAGGGAGAAGTCATGGAGTGGTGGGGAGTGGAATTGAGTGGAGGGAGGAAGGAGGAGGGAGAGTGGAAGGGAAAGAGGAAGGAAGAGAAGAGTGGATGGATGGAGAATAGATGAGAGAAATAATATATAATAAGAAATAAAAAATAAAGAATAAATAAAAATAATAAATAATAAATAATAAATAATAAATAATAAATAATAAATAATAAATAATAAATAATAAATAATAAATAATAAATAATAAATAATAAATAATAAATAATAAATAATAAATATATTAAAAATATAATATTAAATTAAGAATTTATTTTATAAAACAAATATTTGAAAAGTTTAATAATATTTAAATATATTATAATTATAATTAAAAGATTAATATTTTAAAAATATATCAAAATATAAAAGATTATTAAAAGATTAAAAATAAGAAATTAAGTAGATGAAAAAGTAAATTAATTTTATTAAGATATATTTCAATTCTGATAAAATAATTGTAATTTTTATTATTATAAAGATTCTTAACAAATGTCACGATTCACGGTTTTCATTATAGTAGTATTATTGATGTCGGTGATTTACATGCCGACTACAGGGGTGTGATTTAACCGTTGCTTTCAGGGGCCTAATCACTTACGAATAGGATTCCGGGATTCCTAGGATATCGTATCCTAGGGCTATGGTTCCTAGAGGAAAAGCTCCTGGGACAAGTGTTCCAGGAAAGGAAAGGCCTCAGGAAAGGAGAAGCCTCAGGATCAATCACGTGATGTGCTAGCTCTGCTAGCCAACTAGCATAGCTAGCATACAAGGAAAGAGATTAGTATATAGTCAGAATAGTTTCATAGTTTAGGAGCTTCGTGCTCAACTTAGTTATCAATTAGTTTACCTACCTTCCAATTGATCTAGTAACGAATTCACTTTCAAGTGGATAACCAGTGATTAATAGCCTTAACCCACAACTACCAACCATACGAAACCTCAGGCAGCCGCTGCCTCGACCAGATCGTTACAATAAACTAGATTTAGTATCTCTATCTAGAAATCTATAGATAAGATAATTCATGATAATGAGTAGAGATTATTTCGTGCTGCTACTTTAGTTTATTACAGCTGATATGGGAAAGTTATAGTTTTGAGTAGCTTTCATATCTCTTGATGGGAATTCTGTACAAGTTAGATAGGAAGAATAATTAAGTGGGAATATAAGAAGAGAATATTGTTATCTCATGTTTTGAGATTAAGACAATAGATTAATAAGTCTAGTGTTTTAATTTTTGATCACTTTTAATCTCGGTTATCTTTTTATATCAAAAATCATCATTTTCAATTATTAATAATTCAACAATAAATAAATACAATCAATTGAAGTTTTAATTATAGATTTTTATATAATTATTAATAGATTCTGAGATTTCCAGATTTTTAACAATTTTATTGATTGAGAAATTGAAATTATGATTTTTAATTTATATAAGATTTAAAAACTCTAAAAAAAATTTATAATTTATTTTTAATTATTTTTTTTAGAAAGTTATTCAACATTTTAAATTTATATATAAATCTTATATAAATTGAAAATTCAAAGATTTAACCTTTCAGATCTCAACGAAATCAATTTTAAAAAATTTAAAATTCTTAGAATTTATTAATAACTATATAATGAATCTCTGATTCAAATTCCATTAAGTTATATTAATTGATTATAAAGTTATTAATAGATGAAAATTACGATTTTTGGTATAAAAAGATGATCGAGATTAGGGGTGGCCGAACAGTAGGGTACTAGACTTATATCATTCTAAGAGTGTGAGATGTGGGAAGGAGTGTAACTACGGAAACTAAAGAATCAAACTTGCAAACATAAAATAGCTGGTTCTTTCATGCTAGAGAACTTCAATGCTTATAAGCGTCTTGGCAGAAATCCTTGGTAGGGATAGTACGGCCAACTGTGGTGCTCGAAGGGTTGTCTATAGCTTTCAAATTGCAATTGTTTCCAGTGTTAAGACTTTAAGAATGGGATATGATTTCATATCGAGTTCATATTATATCTTCGTTCCAGTCGAAATTATCTCGACAATGAGAATTATCAAGTCACTACATCCAAGTAGTGACAGCAATTATCCACCAACATCGAAAATCGATCCCGCAACCAATGATGACCATACATTTGGACAATTGAAAAATTTCCCTTAACCTTCAATCTCAATTCGCACATCTAACCTCAAAATTCGATCAGCACTCTAAACTCGAAAGTTTCCTCCTACGGTTTAAAATCATCTGGATAAAGTATTTTTTTGGTTTTGGTTTTGATTTATGTAGTTTGAGTTGGTTTTCGCACTAGGACGGGCACTAGTCGTCTATAATGAAATATTTATGGTAGAGCCCTCATAGTTGCTTTCCTACATCATGACGGAGGTTTTGATACATAGTAATCATTTAATACAAGAATCAAGAAAAAAGGAGGGGTGAAGATAAATGTTGATAGGAGTTCTAATATCTACTTAATTAACTATTCCCACAGAAATCTTAAGGTTGTAGTATAGGAAAACCATTTATTAAAACAGATGATATGAGAAGGACAAGCTTTTATCTGTGAATATATCAAAGTCTAAAAGCACAACGCTACCTTACATTCATACTCAAGCTTACCTCAAACAAACCAAACTCCCGCCTCATAACTTTCAACCTCTCCATCAATCTCCAAACATCACAAAAACCCAAACTCGGAATTTCAAATTTCCCCTCTAAAAGCTTACTCCACTTCTCCTTAGGCGTTGGGATTTCAGTATGAAGCCATAGCTGCCCACTAATTTCCGGAGTCGTCATCTTCTTTTACTTCCTCCATCAACTTAGCTAGATATTTGAAGTAATAAACATCTTTTAAACGCCCGGAGGCTTGTCAGTCACCCGAATTTTCTCCCATTCCCACCCGCATACATGCCTCTCGAGTTTCCTCTTATCCTTCCTCTGCCCGTTCCCCTCTTCCACTTCCTACCCAAGCACCAGCACATATACATAAATACATAAACCCATAGACCTACAACTAACTAATTCGTAAAGCAGAAAAAATGAAACAAAACAAAGAGCTATACGTTCATAATATCAATAGATTCAACCCACCTCCTCAAACTCCATCTCATTACTAAATACCTAGATACACAAAAAATTCTAAAATATACATCTAACTACTTTAGCTATATCAATATCTATCATATTCCCGTGCTCACTTTCGCGTGTATTGCTTATAAAACAAACAGGGATACGGAATCCTATTATTTAGACCTCTAAATTCTATTAGATTGTAGAGGTCTAATAAAAGAAAGAAGAAATGTAATGAAGAAAAAGTCAGGATTAAAAGAGTAAGGAAGCTTTAAGATAAAAAGGGTTGAAAGTAAAGTAATAAATTACTGCTGAAGCGAAAGAAAAGAGAATAAATCTTTTTTTCTTAATCACAAACATCTTTCGGTATTTTATGTCAGGGTTATGGGGCGGGTTTTACATGTTGGTATCTTGGGGTATTTTAGGGGATATTGTAAAGGTGTAATTGATGGAGGTGATGGAGATGATGAAAATAAGAAAGAGCCAAAGGATGTATAAAGTGTCATGAAATCTTCTTTGATAATCCGTTACTTAGAACTAAGATCTAGAGAACTATTTACTGAATCGGGAACCTGACCAGTGGCTAAACTATCCAATTTCCGGTCAGGACTAGCAGAAATACATTCTTCTTCCAAGGGTCGGTCCCCCGAATGATATGTCGACACTGTTCTCCAGAGTCTAACTAAGAAACAAAATCATTGTGAAAACATTTAGAAACATGTCCCTACAGAATCATTCCCAATTAATTCTTCAAGAAAGGAGTCCCGTCCTAACCCTGCCATTTCACCTTTCCACTTCTCACCAAATTAACCATTCCAGTAGGCAACAGCCCCTTATCCACCACAGCCAAACCTCCAAATCTCTCTCTCATTTCTTCCCCATAAAGCTTAATAACCCATTTCCAATATCCCACATCCATACCCTCAAATGCTGAGGCAAAACCACCCTCGATTGCTTTTGCTACCACCATATCCCATTCATCCCAACCCGCCGTTTCTTTGCCTGGTTGTTTAAGTAGGTTCTCAAAGACCTTGAGTAGAGTTACTTCCCCACTGCCGCTTACTTCTTCTCTGTAGCTGATGAATTCGTCAAAAGGCATAAAATTTTGTGGGTCAAGTTTGTCTAAATTTTGAACCTGGAACCGCTGAGCCATTAGCATTTTGACCTGAGGGGCTCTGTTTTCAAACGCGATTTTGGCCTTTCTGTACGACTCATGTTCGGCCCCGAAGAAGTCGCTCATTAATTTCTCTGGTTCTTCGTACACCCCGTTGCGTAATTGTAGGAGTCCAATAAAAGGGTTGTGCAATTCAAGACCGCCAAGGCTAGTTGGGAAATAAAGGTATCCGTCAGGGACATCATCGATTCCAAATCTCGTCCTCAATGTATCTTTGAGATATGAAGCCACATTTGTATCTGTGAATAT